CCAAATAGAGGGGCCCGATTTAGTCCCGAGCCGCTGCTTAGACAAGAAGAAGCACTGGCAGAGCTCGATGCTTCGATTGATGAATGGATCGATAAGCTGGAGAGAGCCGAGAACAGACGTACCCGCGTTCGGCAGAAGCTCCTTGAGCACATCGCCGCAGCCGCAACACTTTCTGTTGGTCGGGAGACACCATCACCGGTGCAGCTACCCGTTATTCAGGATATCGCCACGCCTCCTCGAAGCCCGGTCAAGACCACCTTCACTAGCCGTCCCGAAAGTGCCTCACCGCCGCCTGTGTGCGTGGTGGCTCAAGTACCAAGCATGATTTTCGAGCTGCCAGCCGTTGAGGAGGCTGAAGAGGAAGACAAGGACAAGGACAAGGACGGCCTCGCTCGAAAATCCACTGTGAAGAGCTCTGCCGGAGAGAGCATCCGCATCTACGCTGGCGATGAGCTCTTTGCTCTCTTGACCGACGTGGAAGATGAGATCTACAAGATGAACAATGCCATGCCGGAGCCTGATGCAGATCAGCCCGGATCTCTGCTACAGCCTAGGGATGAACAACAGAGGAGCAATGTGAGGCGTAGCGCCCAACCAGATTCTCCAACCCTTGCTCCCTCGCCAATGTTACAATTCTTCAACCCAGCCGCTACCTCGAAATTCTCTGTCATGTCTGCTGCTCCTTCTCCGCTCGCACCAGTCCCTCCTCTCAAAGACCTGCCACCGAAAGAACCGGAAATCTTCTTAACGAGTGCAGTTTTCAAACCAACATAAGCCCTCTTTTTCCTACCGATACTATCATGAGTTTTTCGCCCTCTTTCGCCTCGCCATTTATCATCTTCTTGTCGCTCTTTTACATGAATGCATCTTGGTTGCGAGCCTAGACCATTTGATACCCGGCCATGAACCTTGTTTTCTCTCGTTGTTACACCAGTCACTCGTTTACAGCCTCCATACCTAGCGTTGCATAAGTATCCGGAGTATCAGCTCATTATTTGTTTTCTGCATAGTTCAAACGTTATGCATCAGTGGCTGGCCGATTGACGCCATCATCGCTATGCGATTGCGACCTGTCTGTCATGCATGGCTGGACGCTGTCCGGGGCAAGCGGAAATGCCATTGCGGAATTTTACCTATCATATTTTGCCCATCTTCAGGCTGTCACTCGCTCTACCTGGACACTCTTGTTCACTTTCTTTCTTTCTTTCATGTTCACTTCACTTCTCTTCACTTCTTCCTTTTGTGACTTACTCTTTTTCTTTAATTTTCTTGCTTTTACTACCTCTTTTTTTTTTTTATTCTTTTGCCAGTCATAATTTTTAGTTTATATTAAGCCTTCGCGGCTGGAGGGAAAATCTCCGATTTGTTTGTTGGGTATCACAGCTGGTTTGTTTGAGGCAGCCTAGCAGGGATAGATAGTCTGGTTCTCGAATACGCCAAGGAGGGGACCGTGATGGTACCTCCAAGGCTCTGAAACGAGCGAAGTCTAGGCATGCGAAACGAAACAACCAGCGGGGCGGCTGACGGCTGGAGCGGGAACAAAAGCGTTGGTATTTTGATGCATAAAAGCAGTGTATGAATACTTGTAACTTTTTACTTGTACGATTAGATAGACAGCAGCAGACAATGCCAGACAGGGCTTCTATCAAATCAAAACATTGGAATCCACTTTGGCCGGTGATGGGGATCTGCATCATGACTAATGCTTCTGCAGACACGGCGGCGGTAGGTAGTCTTGCCTCAGGTCGGCCGACCAAGGGTTGGATTCAGCCGCATGTCTCGAGATTCGGATATGTATCTATCTGTACGAAGCAAGTGGGTGGTGCGATACTGACGCCATCACGTCGAGCTTCAAGCTCTCGGCCTGTCAAACTACATGTCGGTATACTATCTTGACTCTGCCGCGCCCTCGCTTCGAGTTCTGCTGGTCTCTCCGTGTGTCATCCGCGACCCTCGAATCCTCCGGAGCATGCCCGGCAATCACGGTTGATGAAGCTGGAACTGCACTGAACCGAGCTGAAGGGTCGTAAATCCTCACAAAAAGCGTCTAGCAAGAGGGGGAACGGGACGGGGAACAAGGTAAATGCAGCACCGCGCTCGCCTAGCAGGAGAGGGAGAGCCAAGCGAGGCGCCACGATGAAGCATATAGATGAACCAGGCTGGCTCATGATGCTGCAGTGACTTTGCGGTATTTGGTGTTGTGGCGCTTGTCAAGTGACGAGCTTGGCCTGCGTAGCCTTGCATTGCATCCGATGCTACGTCGATGCCTATGCAGGCACTGCGACTACGTACTAGTATCTGATACTATTTACTGCTAACCCCGTACTAGATACCAAATAAGAATAAGCTGTACGGTGGCTGGGGAGTTTTGGAACGGTAATGCTACCTGAACGAGGGGAAATGCCACATCTACTTGTACTACCGGCATGAGTGGGCTGGTTTGTATAGGCGATACCTACATGTAGGTACGCCCAGGTATATGCATGTGCATGCATGCAAGCGAAGCGAGGCATCATTTCTCACAGAAAGCGATAGCAGTGGTTGCCATCACTCACAGGAGGTACCTACATTAGTGCTCTGTTGACTACAAGGGGTAAGTGGCTAGCTACCGGATACCAACACTATGGGGCTGGCTATTGACAACTCGGATATTGAGTAGTATTCTAGACGATTTGCTAGCTGGGAGATAGTGAGGAGAGGCTCTAGAACGCTCTCCCCGCATACACGACTGTACTGTTCTAGGCACTAGGCGCCGCGATACTATTCCGTAGACACACGAGGCCAAGACATTATAGACACGAGAGAGGTGCAAACGTGGCGGTTTCAACGGTAGGCCGGGAGTGGTGGAGTGGAGGATCTGATGCCGGAAGGGGCCAGAGCTCCGGGGGGCCGGTGTACGAGGACGGGTTAGCGGGATGCGAGGCGAGTTTAAAGATAATAAGGTAGGGAGAGGGGAGAGGAGAGTGCGATAGTGGCAGCGTATGGATGCAAAGTGCTGGATGATGGTGATCATCCCGAGTATACGTGGCTGGGAAATGAAGCCGTATACTTACATGGAGGCAGTATGCGGGAGGTTCAGAAGATGGAAGAAGTGAGCGAAGATGGAGATGACGATAGACAGGGGAATCATTGATTGTGATGGCATCCTGCATTAGCCTAATTGTGCTTCGTACAGGCTTGGATGGAGATGGTGATTTGATTATTCGTAGGTTGTCGTCTTTGCTTGGTAATTGGTCAAGCTTGCAAGGGCGAGAGACCTCCGAGTAGGCAAAACTTGGGCAAAGGCAGGGGGCACAGAGATTTGAGCTGACAAGGGGGGAATAAGCAAGAGGAGAAATAAAAATAAAAAATTTAAAATAAGAAATAAAAAAAGCTGGGGAAAAAAAAAACAATAATTTAAAAAAAAAAGAACGAAGAAAAGAAACAGGAAAAAAAAGTAGTACCAAAATAAAACGGTCGGAATGTGGCCGGGATGGACCCCCGTTGGCAGCTAAATGGGGGCTTTTGACAGGGAGGTGCATGATATTGATGCCAGGCGAGAAATTGACAGAAAATGACATGTACCTTTTTTCTCTGTTTTGTTTGCTGCTATTTTACTGCAAAAGTAGTACATGCGTATGGTTTTTTTTTTCCCCAGTAGTGTCTTTATTTAATCCCTTTTTGTTCTTGTTTTCTTAGGCGAATATGGAGAACCCCTGGATTTGGGAAGGGGGGAATAAGAGATAAATGAAATACTAGATGGCTGCATATGAACCTTGAGGGTTTGAGGGATAAGCATTCAGCAGGTATTGCAAGAAACTTCCTATTTTGCCCTTCTTTCTCCTCTTTATCTGGCCCACTCCCCAAAAGAAATATACACCAAAAGGGGACTTTTTTTTCGTCTTAATCTTGGACACCGGGGGCTTGTAATGCATGACGCAGCAAAACGGCGTCGACAATCGTCGCTTTACCAAGGCAGGGCCCTTTTGTTCTGGCAGGTTCCCTAATTTCTTCATAGAAGCCTACATTTTACCCCAAATTAGATAATGGATAGAGAAACTTGGGGGAAGTAGAAAGAGGTATAAGGCAGCCAAGGGTTTTACACTTCCTGGGCTACTGGCACACTTGCAGCATGAGATAAATGTCCCCCTCTTCCTCAAAGAAGTGATCAATTGCCGATCCGCGGATACAAGGAACCCGGCGAATGATCCAGACCCCGAAGTATTCGGCATGCTCTCGGTATATACAGACGAGGTTTCGTTGCTAAACCCCCCTCTTTTTTTTTTTTTTTTTTGCGCGCGTATACTCGAGTTGCATTCCGCGGGCCCCCAAAATATCGCAGCTAGTAAGCGAAAGAATCACACCTCGCTGGTTGTAAAGGAGGATGAAGGAAAAAGTCCCGCAAGCGCGGGATGACGGATTGCGAGCGATACGATAAACCCTACTTTCTTTCCGAGATGGAGGAATGTGAATAGAGTAGACACAAGGGACATGAAAAGGGAATGGAATAAGGGTTGGAACAAGAGCTTCGTCTGCCCATCTAATCATATTACAACTATTCTTTCTAACGATTAAGAAAATGGAATGAAAAAAGGCAGGGCCACACTAATTTTACATGACTGCTTCAAAAGTGATATTGTAGGTAAGTATGTTGAAGAGAATAAGACAAGCACACACGCCTCATCCCATCGTGAAAGAGTCCGTCTACACCCAGGGCTAAAAAAAAAAAGGGGGGGGGGGGGTTCAGTAGCAAAAACCGCATCCCAATCATTCATCCAATACTCTTCCGGGGGAACACTACTATAAAGAGCAACCAAAGATTAATCATGTTTCCGCACTCTTTTATTCCCATCATGTATAGAACGAAAGAAGAAATTGTCCCCGGATATCCCTCCCAGTGGTTTCCCCGTTATCAGAAATCTTTCATATGCCGCGTTATAATCTCCGTCCCGCTTCCATTGCCAATAGCTTCAGGTGGCGTAATTCCGTACTTCGTATTTTCGTACCAAAAATAATTAAGAAATGCGTAATCAATGCGTTAGAACCCTCACTGCCTGCAGTATTAGGCCAAAAATCAATCCCCTGGCAACCTCCTCAATCTGCAAACAGTCAAACACACGCCCGAGGGCCTCGCCCGTGGCCGACTGCCCCATCACGCCCATCAGCGCGGCCGGCACCCCGCTCTGTATCAGCAGCCTACGCGCCTTTACGGCCAGCTCTCTCTTCTCTTCGTCCGTCAACTGGGCCGGCCAGGATTCTTGCTCCTGCTCCGTGGGCATGGTATTCTCGCGTATTTTACGCAACCCTGTCGCGATCCCTGCGTCGGACGTGTTGGCGTCTATCACTGATGACTGGATAAGAGACTGCACGGTCAGCAGTGAAGGGTTTCCGGGGCGTAGCAGAAACGATTTCGCAGCTGTCAGGAGTGTTCGCCGGATGTTCCAAGCCGAAGAAAGGGTGTACATTTCATTGATGACAGCAAAGAGGAGCTCAACAGCCACCCGGGTTTCAGGTTCCGTAAGCTGGGTATATTGCCGGGCAGGCTTCGCTGGACTCTTCTTTCCCGATAACGCCGGCGCGGACGCCGATGGGTTCAGTGCTTGCGAGCTGTTGCTACGGCTCTGATCCTCCATGAAACTCGCATTTCTACGCAACTTGGCTTCAAAGTCGTTTGCCTGCGACTCATAGTCATCGCTAATCTCATCTGGCGGCGGCGGAAGCTTTGTAAAGTCCAGGCTTATCGACGACGGTGAACGGAGAGCGGCCAAACTAGAAGCCCTGCTGTGCTCTCTGCTCTGTCGAGCGCTTACTGAAGTAGAAATGGAGTCAACTCTACCTCTTTGGCTCAGCCGTAAATCTGTCTCGCTGTTGTTGGGGGATTGGACGAAGCTTGGCATTCGCTCTACTCTGCCCGGCTGGGTTGCAATGACAGACGACCTCTGGCTATCAAGACTGGCGCGTTCCGACCTCACAGGTGATCGCGCAATGCTATCAACCCGGCTGCCCGTAATCGATGATGTAGATAACCGGTTTGGATTCGGGGGAGTAAGGTCGATGGACTGGGTGGTCGACTTTCGTCCCAGGCCGCCAAAGTGACCAAAGACACCACTAACGCCGCCGACAAGAGTCTTTCCACCCTCTACAGCTCCCTTGGGGCCAATGGATAGCACCTCAAGCATGTTCTTGCCCACAGTCTCCCAGCCAAACGATTTGGAGTTGCCATGCGTGTGCCCCTGTGATTTTTCGAGAAATCGCTTCATTCCCTCGCTTTCTGCCAAGGCTTGATACCAACAAGCATCTCGTAGATATCTCTCCAGTTCACCTCGAAGCGACTCTCGGGTGTGAACCTTCCAGCTTGGTAGCTCTTTGTGGAGCTCCATGAAGGCAGTGGCGCCGGATACGGCAGCAATTCGTCTCAAAATCTCGTGAAGCGTCTCAAAATCTGAATACCGTCTTACAATCATCCAACCAGGATAGTGAGAAGAAGACGGCTCCACCTGAATCAGATAGTCTATAGTAGGCTTGTTTCGAATCTTTCCCGTGTCGCCCGAGCCATCGTCGTTTAGTGTGAATGAAGCGTTATGCAAAGTAAGAGGCTCCTTTTTCGGTGCCTCTTCTTCATCCACTACTGGTTGGCCCGGCGGGACAATCTGATCGAAACTTGTAAATGACTGTTGATCTTTGTTTTCCTGTGGAGATGATTCTTGGCTGACGGAATCAGCTGTAGATCGCGGCGTATGGGGCGTGTAAACCGTATCGCTCTTGGACGAGACGCCGTCTACTGATGCTCCTCGAGGCGAGAATCTGTTGGATGTCGGCGAAAATGCTTCCTCGTTCTTCTGAGTATCCGTATCTCGAGATGCCATATCCATGCTCTGCTTTGACCGTTCAGATGCTTCAGTCAACGTGGAGGTCCTTTTCCGTCGGATTTCATCTTGTGCAATCATGGCATTCATTCGTTTCATTTCCTCCATGGCTCCCTCTAGTTCCTCGTCTGCTTTGCTTAGTTTTTTCTTGTGTGAAGTTTCCTTGCGACGAGTCTGGCCCTGGTCGTTGCTACCACGTCGGGGCTTCGCAATGCCAACATTACCAACGTTGCCATCCAAGTCGGCAAAGACGTTGTTGGCCACATCGCGGCCAGTCTGCATGCCGACATCAATTGCTTGGTTCAGATTCGGCTCGCCTGCTTCCAAGAGATACACGATCCATCCGTTGATCCACTCGGCCCTGCTGCATTGCTGCAGAGTCTGCTCGAATACTGAATTTGCGAGAATCTCCCGCAAGAAAATTCGCGCCGGATCACAGTTGTAGGCATTCTTGTCGAGGAATCCAAGCATATCTTCGGATATCATCTTGAACTTTGTTGCTTGTTGCCTCTGGTTTAGCAGATTCGCAAGACGAGAGTCGGGATTCTCGGCGAGATAGTTGTATATGGTATCGGCAGCGTTCAAATTCGCATCGGGCGGGAGGGCGGAAAATGCAGCCGCCAATTCAGAAAGAAAAACGATTATCATGGAAGTTGAGTTGGTCAGGAGGTCCAGGAAAGCGTCGGCCGGTCGCTTACGAGTCATCCGGTTCGATATCGCCAAGACAAAAGACGTGATTGACTTGCGGCAAGCGAGAGGAAAAGCGTGATCCGAAGGCACAAGTGGACTGTACCACCACTTGATGTAGTTTTGGATAATCGCATCGACTAAACCACTCAGCGCTTCCTTTGTCTCTGGGCGAAACTCGTCGAAGCTTTTGATGCGACTCTGGTCTTCATCTTCATCGTCCGGCGTCTCCAGCGACCGCACAGCCGTCAGATCCGCCCAAACTCTGTCTAGCACCTTGTTGCTCTCCTCGCCGCGAATGGCCTTTGCCAGCTCCGGGTTCTTCGATTCCCAGATGATGAAGGAGACCACGCCGCCGAATGCTCCTATCAGCACAAGCCCAAGCCGCCCCAGAACAGCATAAGTCACCGCAGAGACTCCCACGCCTAGCCCCGCGAGGGTTGACGGCGTCGCTGTCGCAAAGAACTGGATGGCTCGCGAGGCAAAGGTGACTTCGGGGGCCACCTGATTGCCCTCATTGGCGCCGGAAAACAGAGGCTTAGACTCGCATGCTAAACTCCTGGACTCGTAATCGTCGTCATCATTATTATTGTAGTCTGGCGGCGCGACGTCGCTTGCGTGTGTGGTTCCGACTCGACTCGTGGCGTCGGCCGAGGCCTGCTCGGCGGAGTCGTCGCGACGCTGCGCAAGGCCAGTTGCGATTGAGCTCATTGGGGTTGAGCTCCTCGACTGGCTTGACCCCAACAAGCCGGTGTCTCTGTGTCGTCAGCGTGTCGTGATGTGGTGTCGGAGAGCAGCAGAAAACATGACAAGTAAGCGCCAATCCCGCCGTAAGATGTAAAAGAGAGAGGGTCTGGTAGAAGCAGATGAAATGCGCGGTTGAAGCCACTGCTGCCCAGTGTTGGCAATCGTACAGTAGCAGCAGCAGTATTATGTATATGGCGTGGTGCAAGGGAAAGACTCGGATGCTCCGCCGACTCCGTATTTCGTATGCACCGGTATGGAGGATAAGATCAATCTGATGAGGCTGCTCCCACAATTCTCCTTTTAGGGGACAAATGCGGGTCGATGTCGCATCTACCTCTAAATTTGGAGCTCCGGCCTCCACTGATTCTCAACCCCTGGTTTCCAGCACGCGCTCTGCATTCTTTTTGAGCAGAGCTGAAGGAGCAGCGCCTGTTAGGGGGAATAGGAGGATGCAAAACTGAGGATGGGCCATTTCCAAGCCAATTGCTCGATTTTCTTTTCTTGACATGTAAATAATGAATGATTTAGCTAGAAAAGCAACAGACTTGCCCAACTGAACGCAGCTCTGGAATGCAGTGGCAAGTCCAGTCCTCACGTGAGCTTTAGTGGCTGCCCCGCCTGAAGCTCTCCAGCTCCTAAAGTGCCCATTAACCACGCCTAAACGAAACGCGCCCGGCCCGCTTCAGTTACTCCACGCGCCGTAGCGAGCATTCCTCAACTCCCGTCCCTGGCCTGGCTGATCTGATCTGGGTCGCAAACGCAAATACGATCCCTCGTTTACGATCAAGCTTCTGGGTTAGAGATATTACGCTTATATCCCCAAAAGACATGCCTCCAACGACGAAGAAGCGACGAGCGAGCAGCGACAGCGAAGACGAGGTCCCCAGAACCTCTGCCTCGAAGAAGAATAAGAGCGCCGCCGCTGCCAGTGCGCCTGATGGCAAAGATGACGATGGAAATCCGTTTTGGGAGGTGCGATATGACGGCTGGTCAAATTGTTTTGCGCTCTGGCTTACACATTGACCTGGAACAGTTGTCAAACAAACGACGTGTAGGAGTCTCCGAGTTCAAGAAGCTATGTTTCGTCAACATCCGCGAGTACTACGAGAAGGATGGGAAAACGCTCCCAGGCAAAAAGGTAAGCCTATCGCGTTCTGGGGACCCCCGAAGCAGCCATGCTAGAGCGCACAAATGCTGACTTACGGCGCAAGGGCATTTCGCTATCCGTCGAGCAGTATCTTGCTCTCCTCAAGGCGGCCCCCGGTATCAACGCGGCGCTGCGGGCAAAGGGCCAAGATGTCGAGGATCCGGACGAAATGGACATTGAAGAGCCCAGCGTCTCTACGAACAAGAAGAAATCCAAGTCGGACAAGTCCAACATTGAGGCAACTAGCGATGAAGATAACGATGAGGATTAAGAGATGCTCCTAGATGGAGAGTTCTAGGATTTCGTGTGTAAGATCGACTTTTTGGGCATCTTGGTTTACCGTTGGAGTTAAGATATATACCCGAGCACCGCAGGTTGGTGTTTCAACACGGGCAGAGAGCTCGCGGATTCGGGATTACGACTTGTGATGATGACCTAACACATGGTCAATGATTTGCGTAATGGTTTATTTCCTTGAATTTTGAAGGGTGATAATCTCCCTCCCTAGAGATATTTGATAATGGCAGACATTTAAAATGGGCAAAGGAAATGTATACCATATGGCTCATGCCGTGAATCTCCAAGTATACACACATGCAACCTCTGCCTATTTGATGACGCCACATAGGACGATGGTTTATACGCGGGGATGCGGATCTGGCTCTTGAAACACTGGCTGCCTGTTCAAATCCAGGTTAAACCCTGCCAAACCCTGAAGAAATGGATTATCATCTGCATCCTTTCAAGGCCTGACCATAAGTACATGGCAATTTCAATAATGCTCGTAAATCCTGGGAGTCTCGGGATCTATATAGAGTTGCAGTGAGATCTCGTGTGACGCATCTGCGCCGTATGGGGCACGACTTTACACCACATCAACACGCTGAAGACTCCCCAGGCCACTAGCAACGACTAAAATAGCGCCCAAGCCCGCTGTGATTGGCGCAGAGAGCGGCAGGACCGAGTGCACGGGGCGCCTTGCTTCGCTATTCATGCTCCCCTAATGACTAAACTGTCATCTGGTGTCGATCACGTCAATCTCATCTTCGTCCACGCTCGTTGTTGCGCCTCGCTCTTCTTTTTTCTCTTTATTCTCCTCTTCATTCTTTCTGAGACTTTCCCCTGTATCTCAGGGATCCCTGTCTGACTATTGACGATTTGGCCGTAAACAATAGGGCCACGTGTTGCTTGAGACTCACTGGATGCCATCACAGTGTGTCTTATTACACCGTTCTCGGCCTCCACCGTCGTCAAAAACGCCCCTTGCGTCGGATTACGGATTACCTAACCCGACGTCAAATCGGAAGCGTGATTCCACATCACCCAGCCGTGATTCGGGGTCGCTTTTATCTCTACGCTTTCCCGACATTCACGGGCTTCTTCTCTTCTCTTTATTCCATCGGATGGCCATATGACATACAGTTGACAAGCGGCGCTTTTTAATGAGTTGACATTATAATACTTTTTGGGTTTTCACTTATCTCGGTTGCGCCGGCGCGACTGAATCTCTCTAATCATGGTCTCATGGCAGTTTAGGCTGGGGCGCACGGAGTCGGTGGACAACTACGACGGAGTTCTGATTTCCCTGGAACAGGCGCATCTTCACAGCCATTCGGCGCGGGTTGGGCGAGTCGAATTTGAGACTCAGGACGAAAGTGCAGACGATGAGGACGATGTGGGCTCAGCAAAGGACGATCAGGGGGAGGGCATGCTGCTGATGAACGCGGCCGAGTACACCATTGAGGGATTGAGGGCGCAGATGAGGCAAGGCAAGCGAGGGGAATGGACAGATTATGAGAGTGAGTGTTGATTGAAACTGGACAAGGGAACCGCCGCTAAACCGATAATAGTAAAATCCAAGCTCATCAACAAGGCGATTCAGGATATTGGCATGGGACGGTATAATTGGCAGCTTTTTATCCTGTGTGGCTTCGGGTGGTTTGCTGATAAGTAAGGAAGATTGGTACCCTCTCTCTTATTATATATGGAATCAGCTGGCTAACATGCAACGTCTAGTTTATGGCTACAGGTATGCCGGATGAGACTGGTAAAAGTCGCCACTAGTTTACAAACATCACTAACAACGATATAGGGCGTTTCGCTAACTCTACCGTCACTGTCAGCGGAGTTTGAAATACCGGAAAAGACAGTCAGGTATACGACAAGCGCTTGCTTTGTAGGTCTCTCCCTCGGAAGTTTCCTGTGGGGGATAGGATCAGACGTCTTTGGCCGCCGAATTGCATTCAACATGACGCTGCTCATTACTAGCATCTTCGGCATCCTAGCTGCGTACGGCAGAAGCTGGGGGGCCGTGTGCTTCCTATACGCTGCATTTGGCTTTGGTGTTGGTGGAAATCTACCTGTTGATGGCGCCTTGTTTCTCGAATTCCTGCCGGACGCCTCCAGCTCTCTGCTCACGCTACTCTCCGTATGGTGGCCTATTGGGCAACTGGTATCTTCACTCGCGGCGTGGTTCTTTATTGCGCAATGGCCTGTAAACCTTGGGTGGCGTTACTTCATCATGACCATTGGCATCATCACCTTTGCCATGTTCTGTATCCGATTCTTTCTCTTTCACATGTTTGAGTCACCAAAATTCCTTCTCAACAAGGGTCGCCAGAATGAAGCCGTTGCCGTCGTCCACGGTATCGCCTATCGGAACGGTGCGAAGACGTGGCTCACTTCAGAAATTCTAGATCAAGTCGCGGCTGAGGATCCTGAGCAATCCAGTCCCAACAACCAGCGATACTCAATGTCCTCCGCCCCGCGGTCCAATCTCTTTAAAGAGAAGCTCAAGGGGTTCTCGGGCGAGAGGATACGGCCACTCTTTCAGACCAAGACGCTGGCTTTGGCCACCACTCTTATCTGGATTTGCTGGGCCACTATAGGAATGGGTAAATTTCTGACTCTCGTTTTGAATCAAAAGAAAATAATTAATCATAATCATGCATAGGATACCCGCTTTTCAACGCCTTTTTACCCCAGTACCTTTCTCATCACAGCGATGACTCGCAAACTGAGGCCATGCAAGACGAGACATCAGCCATATCCGGCACCACATATCGTAATTACGCCATCACATCGGTAATGGGCATCCCAGGCAGCCTCCTCGCTGCTTATCTGGTCGACCACTCATCTCCTTTCTTGGGCCGCCGCGGCACTCTAGCCGGCTCTACCGTCGTCTCAGCAGTATTCCTCTTCATCTTTGCCGCATATGGCACCACATCCACCGCCCAGCTCGTTTTTTCTTGCATAGAAGCCTTTGCGCAGAACATCATGTATGGCGTCCTATATGCCTTTACGCCCGAGATTTTTCCAGCTCCTGTTAGGGGTGCAGGCACTGGAGTTGCCAGCTTCCTTAATCGATTGACGGGTTTGATGGCTCCGCTTATTGCGGCGAATATTCCTGGAGACGGCTCGACGACACCAATCTATATGTCTGCTGTTTTGATACTGGCAGCGTTTGTGGCCATGTGTTTGATTCCGATTGAAACACGCGGGGCACAACGGTTATAGGCGCTTTTTGGTCTTTATTAGGATATTGGTCAACACCTTTAAAAAGGAGGTATAGATACACTGCTTTCTCAGCATATACATTTACATACACGAGCACATATTGAAGTTTGGAAAGAGAAGACGGCTATCTATCTAGGTAGCTAAGTCTCAAGCATTCTTGACTAATCGAGTCAAAACTCATTATTGGACCTTTGCAAGGATAGAAATCCCATTTATAAAATTTGAAATACACTACGCTTATTCTACATATTTCCAATATTTAACAAGACTCTTATCGGTTTCCCCTTGCGCCGGCTGGAACGTCTACTCGCCGCTTCCTCAATGACATGCCCAGGGCGTCGCGGACCATGGGATCAGCTCGAATTGTGTTTTGGACCAGCCACTCTCTCATCTTTCCTTGCAGGTTAGAAGTAGCCTCGGCATCTCCCTTGAAAGGCGCCATCTCCATGTCCATTAGCCTCGTCGCATCGACGTCGAACTGGCCGGCGATGGCTTCTAGACGAGTCAGTCCCTGGCGCAGTAGTTCGTCTTCGTCTCCGAGAGATCGCTTCGATGGCGATGCGTCCATTACCAACAGCGGGCCGATTTGCGACAGGGCAATGTATATAGTTATAGTGAGTTTGCGTGTAAGCTGTATCAGTTGATACGGTAGGTACGGCGGGTGAGTAGCCGTGTGCGAGAAGATGAAGTTGAGGCCGTCGAGCAGCGTCGGGAAGTTTGGTCGAGTAACAGCGTGGATCTCGAAGACACAGAGCGTCAAGAGTATGAGCCAGCGGTAGAACTTGCCAAAGTCCATGTATCCCAACAGGCCCAAGACATATATCGACCCGGCCGCGACGCCATAGTGCGGTAGGATGCCCGAGAAGACACCCCGCGTGACAAAGTCTCTGATGGTGACGCACTTCTGCCAGGCCACCGTCTCGGGTCCGAAGCGCTCGTAGGCGAAGCGCTTGGCGGCATCCTGCAGCGTGTCGCTCGCAGCCTTGAGGTGGATGAAGTAAGAGGCCGAGTCGGCGGCGACGCTGCCCGTCTTGTCCGGGTGGTGCAGGGCCGCGAGCCGGCGGAAGCGAGACTTGACGTCGCGGTCGGTGGCGGAGAAGGGCACGCCCAGGTCGGTGTAGAAGGATCCCTGGCGGCGAAGCTCGAAGTCGGCCTCGTAGATTGTGTAGGCGAGGTAGAGCGTTACGACGAGCACGTGGATGTTGCGGCGGTGGCTGTTGAACCGCGGGCTGCCGGGAGCCGGTTTCGGGTCGCCGGCGCGGATTGTGAGGCCATAGTAGATGGTTTGGATCCACGATGTGGCAATCTGTGGTTTTACGTTTTCTTGAGAGTTAGCTGCCTGGTGCTTTTGGGGTCGCGTGCGCAGTCAAAGTGTGGCGTAGAATGGGTTGAGTGACTTACGTTGGGGAGGAAGGACCACCCTATAATGGACAGGAATTGCGACATGGTCTATTGTCTAGCATTGTGATATTGCAGTGTGTAACTTTTGAAAGAGACAATGTCGGCTATAAAAAGTGCTGGTGTTGAGGACAAGCTGGCCGACAATCTTATCGATAAAGACTGATGTAATTTTGGGCAGGGGTCGTTGGATTGCCGTTCCTAGCAGCGGCAGCACTATTATAGGTGCCGTGTCTAGGTGCTGCGTGGCAGTTGGTTTGTTGTTAGTTTAAATGCATGTAATTAGCCCTGTTACTTGGAGAATAAGTACATGTTTCTAGGCATTGTCACTGTGAATTGATATCCCTCTTTGTCCATCGATTGCGCAGTGGTGAACCTTGGTACACAAACGATACATGTACTCTATCACCGATAGAATCATCTTTCTTTCACGGCGTCTAGAACAAACATTTTTAGTCAAAACCAATGCAGTGCAATGGGGAGAATAGTCTTTGCGATGTCGGCAATTTTTTATCCGTCTTGGCCACTTGTGCTCCTTGGATGCAGTCATAGTCGGTAGTCGAACAGGGTAAGGGTTTTGAACAGGCGGCTGCTTAGACAGAACACCTCTCTAATAGGTCACCAATTTACAGTTTGGGCAAAACACTAGGAAATTTATATACAGTAAAAATGGTTACATGCTACTCACACTGTTCGGGCCCGTCTGTTCGAAGGCGTTTTAATTGATTACCGGTTTCTTCCTTGTGCATGGAAAACGGCGGCTGAGTTGGACGTCAAAAACACAGCTGATGCCGCGGCGAAGCAATTGGCTATGTCTGATGCGATATTAAGCATCAGAATAAACCACATCTATTTGGGCGATCTTTCGAGTCCAGTCTCTCAATACTCTGCTTATTGCTGCTGGCCTAAGAGAACACCTAGATGGGAATGATTATGATCCTATCCATTCTCTTACTTTCATGTTGTCAATGCACATCTATTTTAATCGTCTTTTATAAGGCACACTCTTATACTATCAGCTGTCTCATGGATATAAATTTTATAGCTGATATTGACCGTCTTAATAGACCTGGACTTGAGCTCGTCCCCTCATTTTGACGATCAAAGATGACACTTTTCTAGTAATGGGAAGTAAAGAGTGTGCAACTAGTGTAAGCTTCTTCAGCAGGTACATTATTGAGTGTAGCACACTGGTAGTTCGAATTGTGAGCTTACTCAGATGTTTGTGAATTATAATAACAAAATCCAATGATGCTATCCTTATAGTACCTATGCCAAATCTACAGTTAAAGTTATATACGAGAGGAAATTCCATGTACAATCTCTCTATGCTAGCAGAGCAAATATTTCATCAAGAACTACAAGAAAACAAGAAACGAGGGGCCTTTTGCTTTCCCTCATAGAAAAACATGCACCTGTTTTGTGCTCCAAAGGGTCTTGCAGCCTGCAAGCCCTTTAGAAGATATCGGTCTGAGCACCAGCAGTAAATCCCATCCTGGAGGTGTAGGTGGGCACCTTCTGGCCATTCTTCCATTGAACGTTGTTTCCGCTCGCCTGGAAAGCAGCAATCATCTGCTTAGGTCCTCTAACATTGGGGCCAGGAACCAGAGAAGGAGTCTTGGGCTGCTGGCCTCCCTTGGGGTTGATAATCTTGCACTTGTGGGGAGCCTGGTACATGTTCTGCTGGCCATAGCCATCGGGAATCCAACTAAGTAAAGACTGTTAGTATAATAGCTTTTATTCCAAGTTTTGTATATATATTACTTACACAGTGGCGCAGAGGCACTCCTCACAGGCCTTCAGGTTGGGAATATCGTAGGTAACCAGACGCTCAAAGGGAGTCTGAGGAGCGGTGGTAAAGACAACAAAGTCCTCCATCTTCACATCGTAGATGTTGGACTTGTAGGCAATGGCAACAGCAGTACCAGCAGCAGTGGATTTGTTACCGGCGTGCAGGTTGGGGCTGTTGATGCCTCCAGAGGATGAGACCAGACCGGCGGCAACGACGGCAGGGTTCGTGACTGAGAAAGGCTGGGGGCGCTGGTCTTGCTCCTTTCCGTCAGCATAGAAGCCCGTGGAGTTCTGCCAGTTGGCCCATGGGACCTGGATGACTGAGTTGGCCTGGATTTCCCAGATACCAGTTGGTGGTGCGAGCCAGCAGTTGCGGCCCTTGGACAGAAACCAGCTGTCCTGCTGCAGGTTGAAGAGAGGGTCGAAGACAACGTGGTTGGGGTCGGTAAAATTCGTGAGAGGGCCCTTGTAAGAGTTCTGTGGAATATGTTAGCCTTTGTCGACCATATAAAATCTTAGTAATCATAAATATATACCTCGGGGCAGAACATTCCAGGAGTATAAGCAGCAAGGTGAGCAGTAACACCTTGGAGAGTAGCCAAGCCGAACAGAGCGGCGGCTCGAAGGGACATTTGAGACTGCTGCATTGTGGTGGTGAGATGGGCAGATGTTTTTGATGGATCAATGGATTAGAAGTTGAAGTATTTCCATCGTGGGAGGCCGTGATGTTTATATATCGAGGGTGTGGGTGGTCAGTGTCCGCCAATACCAGGTGAAACCTTGCCCGGGGAAGCTCGCGCGAACTTCTGGTATCCTAGGTTCATCAAGCATATTATGGATCTGCAATAGGCAAAGGAGATCTGTGCCGTCAACATAAAACACGTTCATTAAGGAGCTGCCGCCATCAGGGGTACGATTTACGATTAGTAACCGGTATACATCTACTAATCAATCCTTTGTGTAGTATCAGGATTTACAAAATATTCGCCATGGAGCAATTAGAAGGACTTGGTGCCAAGTTGGCCGTCCACGCTGCTAACAAGTACATGTAATCACAGTCAGCTGAATGATTCTGCTTTTGGAAGCTCTGATGGTCATCGTCTTCCGTTATGGTAGGTGTCCTCAACTTGTCAGTCGAGACCGAGGCTGAAGAACAAGCGCGATGACTGTGCAATCAACACATTGTAAGCCGTCATCTGAGAACTTGTATGTATTCAGCAGGTAAAATCACCTTCCTTAAGTGTTAGATGGCCGTAAACCAACAATCCAAGTTTAGACGATACTGGCCGATCTGTTGCTCTCAAACCTGAGATATCATGCCCTTGTGCGAGGCTTTCGGCCCTCGGCACACTCTAATTTTGTCTCACCCGTCAATTGGCTTATTCTGAAACGCACAAGCGCAAAACCGCGGAGCATTTGGTGTAGATGCCTCTCAAAACTGCTTGATGGGGCGCCTAATTGTTTCTACATCTCAGCTAGCCCCCTTTTTTTATGGGCCACCTACTCTCCTATTTGTGAAACATTTTGGCACTCTAATATATTTCCGACTTAGAGGTGGCGCCAAGTGTAATTGTATTGCTCTAATAGGAAATTTGCGACTGCCAAAAAAGATCTGTCAGCACTATGAGATGCTCGATCTGGAAGTGTTGCTCTCCATATATGGCAATGTTGTTGCGATTTAGATGTGAAGCCAAGGCCGCAAATGTGTAGCTTGGCGACAATTCATTCCTCTTGGTAACACTATCTGACATTCTCCGGTTGTTCTCGATTGGCCGTGCACACAGGCCATCAGCGTTTCGTAGACTGCTCCTTCGATTTAGGAGTATGGAACGCACAGCGCGCCTTTCAACATCTGATTCAGTTTTTAGTAATAGTCAAATATGCTGCGGGAATTAATATTGAATGATGAGGCAAAGTCAGAGATCAATTCGAAACATGGAGACCACTTTTGGAGCACCGCTTACCAACGCCGCCCCATCTTATAAGCAGTTACCGGCTTCAAAGGTCCAAAAATGCCAGGCAAACAGCTACAAATATCTGGTTACATGGATGAGTTATTACTAGCCGATGCCATGCAAGATACATAGCCATAACGCCAACAAAGCCAAGAAGTATATCAAAAAGATGGAGTATTCTTTATCGTTACATGCAGGACCTCCTCCTATTGTGTGGCACCAGGGGCAAAATACCGACCTAATGCGAATATTCCATTACAATAAGCCCAAAGTGGCTATAAATGTTTTTCTAGCGCTGATCGAGATGTGGACTTAATAAAAGGGAGGCAGGTGGGTTTCGGTACAGCCATTGAAGGCTAGCCTCCGTCCAAGCTGAGAATATCCTCGGGTAGCCTATGAGCCGTACGATAAACGAGCTCGTATTTGATTGCAAGGGCTTCGGTCGCTGTAGAGAAATACCCAGGCTTGATAAATTTCAAGACGAATGGGCAAGGAAGCTGTGTTGTCGTCGATGAAGTGAAAGATGCGTGATTAGAGCACACGGTTGGATCGGTTGTTTTGTCAGGATTAAGGTCGTCTAATTGTCAGTGATGGCTCGGAAACGTACACTTGGAATGTCTAGTAGCTTGTCCAATTCTCAAACAATTGAGATATTAATGGTAGCAGCGGTGCCATATTATCGACACATGTGATGCACAAATATTCGAGGTTGCAATTAATTCATTACAACATATACGGTAGCATACCAGAGCTACATGCTTCCCAGTGCACTTGTGGAACATTTCAAGAAAAGACTGAGAATAAAGACTGCTAGATTCTATTTGCTCTGAAATAATTCTGAGATGCGATGATCACGGTGTTAAACGGCTAGGGGACTCTGGAACCCTTATTCAGCATTCGGACGCTACGATATGGGAGAGCTCGAAGAGCAATATTTCACATGAAAGTCCAAGGGTTTTGAACTCCAGACTATCATTGAATGAACATATAACTGTGAATATACAAAAGCAATTCCCAGATTCGCATGTCAGAATAAAAAATACAAAACTATTAGAAAATTAGTGAATGGTATTGCTAGTTGTACGATGAGCGATATGCACACGGCCAGGTAAAGTAGGTAGCTTTCCACTTTGCCAAGGTTTCTTTTGTATTTAATTCTTGACTTTAATTAGAATCATGACAAAGGTTAAAAAAAAAAACGAAGAAGAAAATAAAAAGAAAGAAAGAAAGAAAGCATAGTCATGATGAATCCGAAATGTATGTGCAGATACAAGACTAGGAGCTCGGAAATTCTTGCCCAGCCCACTATTTAAGCTACGACAAAGCTGAAGCTTGGCACGCGGGGCGAAATCGTGGATCACTAACAACCGCCCAGCCGTGATCCTGCAATATAACAAGGGAAATAAGCTAGAAGTAGCTGGAGCTATACGAGAGGCTCCTTTAGGAAATTAAAAGAGGGAAATTCGACGAGGGTGTCTGGGTATATTGGAGATGGCGTAGCACAGATTTCAGTGGATTAAGAAGGGAGATATAGGGCTCCTATAAATACTCGGCTATTAGTATGAAGGAAATATGCATGTAGGTAGCACATATATCCTCTACATCCTTTAATGGCAAGTTTTTCTCTCTCTTCACAATGATCACCAAGATTCTACATCAAACAATAGCGTTTGTTGGTTGCTTGAACGGTTCTCATCATCAAATCTTTCCATTCTTGGCCCCATTTGGCCTATGACATACAAATTTCACATCATTCTGTTCCAGGCCGCAGGATACAGCAAGCAATCCTCCAGAAATAACCAATCGAATCGATCCCCAAGCCACACTGAAAGAGGATATCACCAATGGCTATGCAGGGATGGCTGAAAACCTGTTTGAAGACAGTTGCTCTACCTGCGGTGATAGCTGTGATAGCTTTCCCTCGGGTTGCTAAAGAACAAACGCCATTACTTCTGACTATGATCGTGGTGCTGAATTAACTAATCTTTCTGCATAGAATCATACCCACTTCAGCGATCAAATCGAGCCACCTCTCCTGATCATATCTCTCTTTCTCTTCGACCTTCTTTCCAAATACCTCCCATACTTCAATAAACTTGTGGTTACTCTCCTCCGTGGTACCAATGTCTTTGAGGGCTTTCATCATATAGTCGTGCTGCTTCAAAAGCTGGAAATCCCGCCGCGCCTTTTGCTTTTCCTGGTCCGTCGCCACCAGCAGGCGTACCTGAACGCAATACAACACCAGCCCTGCCAGACCTGCAGCCAAAGCGGTTGCGATGGATGAGCCACTCACCTCCCTCAATGACGAATCATCAGTTCGGGGACCATCCATCTCGACTTTGGTACCTGGGAAAGTAAAGTTGATATTTCCTAGATTGCCGACCCAAGGATCGGCCATTCCCGATGATGTCGCCGCTCCGATGGTGAATATCTTTTTCGTCGCTTTGGAGGGATAGGTTTCGCTGCTCTTGGCTCCCTTGTCGCTCGCCGAACAGAAGAGGAGAATGTTTTCGTTTGCCGCCGCTCCTATGGCCAAGTCAAGGAGCCGCCTCTCTTCCTCGTCCTCGGGAGGATCGATGGTCCAAGACATGGAAATGATGTGGACCTTCTTTCTCACGGCCGCCAAAATTGCCTAATACGATATTAACCAGTCTGTCTCGTAAACTAAATAAAGGTGGTAATATGGACTTACTTGTGCGGCACTCTTGGCTGTAATTTGTCGACCGCCCTCTTCTGAAGCATGATCCTCCAGCCTTAAAACATAGAACTGCGCCCGAGGACACAGCAAGTGAATCTGCTTCGCCATGATGGTCCCGTGTCCCGTACTAGACACATAGTAAGGGTCATTAAGATTGTGCTCCTCGTCTCGCGTGCAAAACGTCCGCCCTCCGATGAAGCTGAATTCCAGATCCTTGACGTCTACACCGTCATCAATAAGAGCGATTTTAATTGGCTCTTCAATCGTCTCATCAACCTTTCCGCGCTCGTAGTAACGTTCCGCATCGAAGAGCAGTCGTCGGAAGTCCTTCATACACTGGATCCACTCGTGTTTAGTTGTGTGCTCGGCTTGGTCTCCAGCCATGAGGGCGTTGAGATCCATCTGTTCTCTCTGTACAATCGGCCACTCTTTCAAGACGTTGACTTCGGGACATAATTTCTTCATACGGTCACAGAAGTCTTCAACATTCTGCTTGGTTCGTTGACTTGTTTCAAGACCCTGTTCCCGGAAAATTGTTTTTGTTAGTAAAAAAAACTGTACTTGTTCGACTTGGATATTATGCGGCCATACCTGTTGGATGTGTAGATGAACTGTTTTCAGCTGACTTAATCTCTTCAAGCCACCTTCTTCACTCCATCCTCTAAGAACTGCATTATTGCCGCTCCAGTATAGATTGACTTCGCGTGCTTTGGATGCCACCCTATGTATGACCTCAGAGCATAGATCCATCCTTTTCCAATCCCAAATCTCCACGTCCATGAACTTTAATGCATCTTCAATTGCCTCATCGCTGTGAGCAGGCATCGTTGAATCGTCAATGATGACCTTGAGAACGGTCTTGACACCTTTCTTTCTCAAGCGATCAAAGATGTAGCACAAGTCTCTCCGGCCATCTCCATCTTGTTTTGAGGAGCGCCCAGATCCTCGGGCTCGCTTGCTATTTGCTGTATTCACATTCACCTCCACGCTGATTCTTGGAATAGCGACATATTGGAGAATGTCCTCAAACTTGAGCTTCGATAGCAAATTCTCAAGCCCAGTCTGGGTAATGTTCGCATGTCCCGATAAGTCGAAATACAGTTCTAAATCTATAATGGTGGTTAGCGAAAATCTGCACCCCAACTCAAAGAGTTCCGCTTGAATGAAGATTCTTTCTCTTACCTGAAGTTGTATTACGTCCATACAATATTTCCATGGCCTCATTGTAGCTGCGGGAGCGGAGATAGTGCAATTTCAGAAGACGCTCTACATCCTTCAGAACGGTTTCATCGACTTTGGATTTATGGCCGCTGTCAGTGACTGATCTTGCGTCTGCAGCTTGTTTTACTGATGGGTCGGGTACGTGTAGAGCCGTCCTCCTCAGATCGTCTCTATTCACAAGCGGTGGTGCTGTGCCCGTCGCTGGCGAGCTCACGTTCATTGCGGGCTGCGCTCGCCCCCCATACTTGGCACGAGAGTCGGTTTGAACGGTCGGTCGCCTATCTGGACGGCTGCTTGGATCTGTACCTTGCCCACTAGGATTTGCAGGTCCTCCAGGCCCTCTAGCTTCTTGAGATCTTGGTGCCGAATCTTGATTTTGCGCAGAAGAATCGATTTCGACGCCATCGGGGCGCACACGGGTATTGCCCTTCTCACCCCCCTTCTCCTCTTTCAATTTCTTCTTTTCTTTATCTTTCTCTCTTGCCTGGGCTTTCCTGACGTTTTCTTTGTGATGAAGATATGGCGACAAATTGTGGTCGTTGAAGTCGCCATTCTCATTATGTTGAACAACGATGTCGCTCTTGGCAATTATCTTTTGTATAATATCCAGCTGTTCCCTTTTACATTTCTTATACTCCACAGCGAGATGAAGTGGTGTGTTTCCATCTCCATCTTTAGCTGCCAAAGTCTCAGCATCTGCTCTTTCGATGAGGAGATCTAAAAACTTGACTCTCTTATCAATGCCAATGTGCAGGCAGTTCATCTTATCTTTGTCGTTGCTGGTGATGGCCAAGATGGCACTGATATTTGGATGGGAGTCACACATCCACTGCACCATCTTCTCTTTCTTCGCCTCGATGGCGAGGAACAGAGGTGTATGACCCGATCGATCCAGAGAGCTAAGAACATCATTTTCGTGTTCCACTAGATGCTTGATCAGTGGTTCCATCTTGCTGTCTAGTTTTGGTAACTCTTTCTTGTCCATTGCCGCCATGATGTGCAACGCTGTCGGCTGGCGTAGGTCTCCGGTGTTTGAGGCCAAGACGTTTCCATCGCCAGCTTTGAATGCCTTTAGCTGGCTGCTATTGGTAAGATCTTTATCTCCATCTTTGATTGCTTTCAAGACCTTGTCAAGAAGATCTTTGACTGATATTTTGCCATTTCGGGTGTCAATTTCTCCATCTTCTTCGTCACTGTCGGATTCTTCCTCGCTCGACTCATCGCCAGCTTTGGACTCTGCTTTCTCAACCTCTTCACCCACTACTAGGGAGTCAACCTCCCTCTCTTCGTCGTCAATTAGCGGGCTCATGGCTGGAATCTTAGGGGTGGCTTGATAGTAGAGAGTTTGAAGACAAAAAAGTTGCTAAGACTTGTTTGCAAGACTACATGAGCTTCCCCGTCCCTCCCGGCATGGTATTGGCGTGGTCTTCAGCCGCGATTACCACCAAGTTTGGCCCCCAGTCGCGTGGCCCCTCTCTTTTGCCGCCTCAAACAGCCAGGATTTATTGGAATAAGCGTGAACTGCAAGGAGACCGTTGCTACTCCACATGATCATTTAGAGCTACCAAAGATGTGCGCAAAGTAGACTCAACGTACTTGTATTCCTCATGCTCCCAAAATAGTAGTTTTCATCCATTTCGGATGGCAGAGGCCAACACTAGTTGACAAGCTAGCGAGACTACCAGAAAGAGCCCCGAGCATGGTTGCGTGAATTTCTGCCTTCATGTTGCGAGTTGCCGTTACTCAACACGTCTAGCGAAACACGACAAGAAGCCATTACAGGGATTCTCAGCCAATTTCGCCCTCTATACAGTTTGAATAGCAACAGTTTGTACGGACCCGTAGACTAATCACGATGCCCCTGTTAACGTCGCCAGTTTTTCTGGGCTTGGTTTCTGGCTGATTGGTCATAATGGCATCCCGTGGACGACAATCCGCCGTGCTAGTATTCGCGCCCTGCAGACAACAGCCCAAGCCTAGGCAGGAAATTCCTGGCGAAAGACCTACAGTATAGTCTGTGCTCGTGCAGTCCAGATTTGGAGGTCTATGACATGGCGAATCATAACAGTGATCTTCAGTCTCTGCCTATGTTTAGTTCGTCAGCCCAAAGACTTGGCACTACTAGCAACATCCCAGCTAAACTTGATGGACTTGTGGAGACAGTTGTATAGTAATCTTTAGTTAATCAAGCTGCGTTGTTGCGTTGCTGAACACTATGCCTAGTAGAGCCTCATCCTTCGTCTTGAGCTTTGTGAATTTTACCCAAGCTGTCCAGTCATTCTACCAAGCATCAATATGCTCGTCCGCCATCACTAAGCTTCCTCCTTCTTCTTCAATTTCTTGTCAAAGATTATGTCTGTAAACTCGTCCAAGTCGATAGAGCCCAAGTTCTCTGTATCGTATTTCCGTAGCTTGTTAGTGGAGGGCATCTCAGGGTCGAACAAAACCGGGTCGTCTGGAGGGGTTGAGCCAAACAATCGACCCATTTCAGACTTCCAATCCGCTTCCACCTTGATCCTCACTTTACACTGAAACTTGTTCTCGTCGAATCCGCGGTTGAGCAAGATGGCACAGCGCAAGAAGCTTGGTACGCCTGACTTGAGCATGGTATTCTCGTGAAGGACCCAGCTCGCACCAACGCCTTTGCCGTAGTCGTCGCTGAAGATGTGCCCCGTCACCCTGGCATCGTCGCTCGCTGTATAGCTCACAGTCTTCTCCCACTTGAGGGTCCCGCCAGCGTTTGCGCCTAGTTCACTCACGCCGGCGTTCATTTCAGCTCCATGAGTCACCGACTCCTCTTGCGTTGAAGGCAGTAAAGTCACACGCCCCGAAGGCGCAATGGCTTGAACTTGAGGCGAGGGAACTCCAGGAACAGCATTGGCAAACTCGAATTCCAGCGACGCAGACACAATCCGCCGTGATCTCCGAGTTGTATCGAGGTAAAAGTCGTAGACAACAAGCGTTCCGCTTTCTCCTGTTTCTTCTGACAAAACTCCATGGATGACATCTCGTGACTTGCAACGAACTTCAATTATGCCTCGACGCTCCGTCACTGTCTGTCGCTGGTAGGGTGCAGAGGGGTCATTGCGAGTATGGTAGCCGCTGCCACGTTCTCCCGTCTTGTTGAGCCCGATGCTCACAGAAGTGTCCTCGAGATCTGAGTCGGGATCTGAGTCGATGAAGGCGTCCACAGTTTCCTCATCTGGAATTTGGTCGTCATTGATATCGCGGTCCATGGTTGACTTGGTTGACTGCCGTACAATGCGTCGTATAGAATAGTAAGTAGTCTCTTGGTTGGCCATGGACTTGAAAGATCAAGCCCCCTTCTAGTCTGAATTCAGGATTACAAGACATAGGTAGTTGCTGCCGACATATGTACCTGCGGCTGCATCACGAGGCTGCAGTCAATACATACTATAGCGTAGTGCCGCGAATTTAGCATCGTCCCACCATCTTTGTCTAATCCTACCCACTCCCGTCGCATGTGCCGAATATGTACCCATAGGTAGGCCTAGGTATGAGCTGCGGGGAGAGCTCGGAGAGTTCGTCAGCCCTATCTTTGCCCGTACTCCTTGTGTTACCCTTCCTTGGACTGTTGTTGGCTGATTAGTTGACGGCAATCAGCATGTGAAGTTTTGCATCACTCCCTGCTTCAGCAACTGGCTTTTTCGCGGAAGAGCTGCCTCTTGATCTCATGATTGTCACAAGAGAGGCTATTGACGCAACTCGGTTTCCTCTCCTCACGAGGGTTTATCCTATTGGCTCGTCTATTCCCATGGGCTGAGTTCGAAACAAGCAGGGTTCAGGACCTGTTATTTAGCGCCCACTCTTCGTTCCTTCGCATGGAACGGCCCGGCTAAGGCTACAGTGCGCGAAAACGATGCGGCTCTGCCGCGCAACAAAGTGCACAGCCCCTCTTGTCATAGGCAGGATGCCTCTCTTGGAGCTGCTTGCATGGAGCTTCAGGTAGCATCAGAGGCCGTCTAATCAACGCGTAGCAACGAACCTGAGCCCCGTCCTCCTCATGCATGTCAGATCTTCGGGAGAGTACCTTTGGGGTACTTGCGGCCACTTGGCCGGGGTCGAGTTCCAGCTCCACCGCTTCAGCTCTGCTCACCTTTCTGACGAGTTGTCTGACTGGACTCTATGGAGGGGAAGTTGAGCGTCATAGGACCCCGCGGCCAGGTCCTTGAGTAAAATATTTTCGTCTCTAGCCATGGCCTAGCTGGATTATACTTCTCTGCGAGGCCTTGATCGTCGAATAATAAGGGCTCGCCATATTTGGAGTGGATATCTGGCATCGCTCTATTGCGGTGCGCTCGAACAACGGTCGATTGATGTCGGTGAGCCCTCTTAACCACGCTTTGCTTCACTGTAACTCTTCAGGTTGGTGTGACCCTCATCGTTTCTCCTGCAATTTATAGCGGCTTGAAACAAGTATCAGCGTGCTAATCGTTCGCGCGCAGTGACATTTATTTTCATCTTTTACGCTCAATCTGCCTACACAAGTATTCAAGCTGCACCAAACGGCTGCCCCCCAGACTTGGGTATATGACACAGGCAGTCTTGGCTGTCTATGCCTAATACCTAGGCTGCTTGAGCTCCTCTTATCACACTGAAAATGTCGGATTCAGATTCTTCATCTGCCTCTAGCGCTTCCGATTCACGGGCCGGTTCGCCAGAGCCTGAGTTGGCGCCCACGGAAGAACAAGAGCAGACCGCGCAGCCAGCCGCTACTGGCGAGAATCAGGATGAATCAACTCCTGATGAGAATTCAGCTGGGACTCCAGAGAGCGAGGCAAATCCGCCAGAAGAAGAAGAAGAGCAAGATCCAGATGCTGAGCCCCTCCACGTTACATGGAAAGGTGAAGGGATCTCTGAGCCTTCCGATTTAGCTGTAGAGTAAGTGTCTACTCATAGCCAAGTAAACGATTCATATGGCTAATTTGCAACCATCAACACAGCTTCGTAGTGATCCATGGTGTTTATGGAGGCTGGGAACACGAATCCCAGGCTGGACCCGGCTCTGGTAACAGTGAATGGGTTGCGTCTTATGCCCAATTACTAGATTCGCCATCCAGAATCCTCCGTTTCGAGTACGAGCCGCTTCAGCTGTTTTGTGGTCGAAAAAGTCGTCAGGCCATCCGAGACTGCGCTCTGAAGCTATTGCGAGCACTAGCTGCCAGGAGAAAAAGTCAGAGTCAGGTTTGTGCACTTCACAGATGCTATGCTGTCAAACGAATCTATACGATTAATCTGACCAAATTAATTTTTAGAAACGGCTGATTATGTTTGTTGCCCATGATGTTGGAGGTCTCATAGTTAAAGATGTGCGTTTGAGTTCAGTCTTTTCGTTTTGCGAAGACGGTCGCTAAATCTCTTACAATATAGGCCTTATCTGCGGCGGCAGCCGATATAGCTTCCTGGGTAGACATTACGGAAATGAGTCGTATTCTGGTATGGCTATGGATCCTTATATTGGATGCTCAGAAAACTCTGTCCCTAACTTGCCACAGGTTTTTCTCGGCTCTCCTCACCGAAGTGTTGACCACTTTGGTATGGAGGACACACTTTCTCGATTTCTTTTTGGTTCATATGACTCGGAAATCGCGGAAATTCGACCTTCTGCGTCTGCAATTCCTGGATTTGCGGCCGCTGCTATGGAGATCAACGGTCTGTTTGTTGAATCGAAAATTCTTCTCCGCAGCCGAGCAGTTAGTGTCTATCATCAAGAAGGATCTTACTCAAAGATCAACAAGGTAAGACTTGAATCATATATGAACCAACATGAAACGATGCGCTCTAACATCAACTCAAAGGCGTTTGACACTTACAGCGCAACACTTGGTATACCCATGGAGAAACGATTTGCCGAACCAAGCGATTACGTCAACGACTACTCCTCTGTTACGAGCTGTCTTGGAGAACTGCTGAAGAGTGAGATTATATACCCAACCTTGTTATGCCTGTGAAGTTGGCTAACGTTAACTTTTCCAGCCTTCAATACTCCAGTGCCCGCAGACCAGCTTCGTTACGAAAGAACAATTCTCACTCTTGCTTCGCCCATCTTTCCTTTACAGAGCAGTAAACGTGACAATGCAGTTGTTGAAAGCTCCCCAGAAATCAAGGCGTGGCTTAAACACCGTGGCCCGCAAATGCTCTATCTTCACGGTACGAAACACGTCCGCGAAACAGCAGAGCAGCTTTTCTACGTCATGGAGGAGCACGCTGCCAAGAGCTCAACCACAATCGTCCTTTACTTTTCTTTTGATCGATATGATGTCAGGTGTGACTCTCTTAGAGACATGCTTGCCACTTTTCTGGCCCAAATTACGTGTCTCTATCCTGCTAGCGGAGATCGCATCAGGAGCACTTTTGCTCGTCTCGAGCAGGAACGTGGATGGACAGAGGCAGATTTGATCTATCTATTCGAGCGCTTCAGGTTTACTGACCAGGTAGATCATGTCATGTTTGTTATAAATCACTTGGATGAGTGCACAAAAGGCTCTCGAAAACAGTTCCTCGACAACTTCGCATACCTTTCACAGGCGAGTGAGAATTCATGGAAAGTCGTCGTCACAAGTCATAAACCGGGAGCTCTTTCAGAAGAACTTTCAGGGCCTTGGTGTATTAATATGGATCTTGATGCGTCTGAGGAGAAGCTGATAAGCGTTGCCGATACTGATTCCAAAGATGGCATGGCACGACTACTCACAGCACGCCCAGAGCTTCATTTTGAGTCTCGTGTCATCAAAGATCAGCAGCTGTACATTGACAAATTTGATCCCCTATCCAAACATATTATTTGGGAACAAGCGGCTGTACGAGAAGAATGGCCATATAAGACTACGATTGAAGAGTTACTCAAGTCGTTGAAATTCGACCCCAAGGCATCGGCCAACGAGGATCAAATCCTGGAGCAGCTTCTATCTTGGGTCCTTGGAAATTCTCCTGAGCCAGCAGTTCTACGTCAGCTCCTCACGTGGCTCCTCTACGCTGTACGGCCGCTCACTATCTGGGAACTCGCAACTGTGGTCTACCTTGGATCGGATCCCGACGAGGGGCACGCCACTCCCGATTCAGCGGCGATAGAAAGCCTTGTTTCCAAGATCAAGGTGTGGCTCGCCGGCGTTGTTGTGATGCAACACAACGAAGTCAGATTCTGGCATCCAAGGCTACGGAATATTCTTATGGGCAAAAGCGAGGGTGGTGAGAAATCCGCTAGTTCTCGATTTTTATGGGATGAGATCAGGGAAACCGCTCACTCAGATATTGCAAACTTCTGTTTGAGATATCTTTCCCAGCCAACGGTAAAGGAATATATCAGCAAAACTTTCTCGGCCACAGATGCGGAATCCTTTGAGTCACCTACCTTTGCGGATCGAGGAAATTTATGCTCTTACGCTCTCCAAGCCTGGACGCATCACTATCTGCTTAGCTCTCCTAAGCCCGACCTGTCCAAGTTTCTACCTCAATCGACAACTTCCAAATTAGCAAGCAGCTGGGCAAAGGGCTATTGGGCGCTCTCAAATCCAATCACTAGGAGTACTACCTGTTTAGACACTCTGTTTCCAATTTTCGCAAGCTTGGGCCTAGTTGATGCCATTGACGCACGAGATGACGCAGATACATGCCGGGGCTTGCTTGAAGCTGCCTCAAAAGGCCAATCGGAAGTTGTTCGGACACTCATGAAGAAAATTGACGTGCCAGAATCCACTCTTATGGACATTATTGTGGCCGCTGCGGCATATGGGAATGAAGAAATGATGATAGATATGCTTGACCGCATTCTTTCCAAGAACCCTAAGCCTGATGTCACTACCTGGTCACCGGTGCTACTTCATCGATCAGCGTGGATTGGTTTGGATCGGTTTGCAGACCGAATCCTTGACCTGGGATATCCTCCAGATATTGAAAGCAGCTGGTCGTCTATCATGAAAGCCTCTCCGCTCTCTCAAGCAGCCCGAAACTTCCATGTCGGCATGGTCCGAACCCTCATTAAGCATAATGCGGATATGACCTCCTGCCATCTTTTCGGCAGAGTTCCCATCCATCATGTCGCCGGACAAGGCCATGCTGAGATTGCCAAAATCTTAGCCGAGGAAGGGAAAACTGACATAGAAGTTACGGATGAGGAGAACAAGACTACGCTCTATTTCGGGTCCTTATGGGGACACCATCACGTCGTTGAAGTGCTACTAGGGCTGGGAGCAGATCCTAATATGGGTATCAAGCCTGATGACACCCCGCAGAGCTGGTCGCCGCTTACGGTGGCTATTGATGAGGGTTATGAGAAATGCGTGAAGCTTCTGCTTGACAAGAATGCCAACCCAAATCTTCCTGGACCTTCAATGTGGGGCACAGCTCTACGATATGCTGCTGTCAAAGGCCATTTGAAGATTTGTCAGATGTTGATTGCCAGCGGCGCAGATCCCAACAGCCAGCTGATTTCGCCTCCAATCCTTACTCAGATGATTACTGACTACGAGGCGAGCGAGAATCGGCTCGAAATCTTCGACTTACTTCTTTCAATCAATGCTGATGCCAACGCAAAAGATGCCGACGGCACGCCTGTGCTGATTCATGCCTGCAGAAGCGATCTCTGCATGGATTTCGTCCCGAAGCTTCTGGAGCACGGCGCAGAGGTCAACGGCTTGAATTCCAGCGACCAGTCTCCATTGTATTTTTCCGCGCTGGACAAGAAAGAAGATCTTACCAAACTATTGATAGAGAAAGGCGCAAAAGTCAACGAAGTCAACTCAGAGAGCATTACTCCTTTGTACTTTGCCGTTCCCGATGCCGATATAGTTCGTATACTGGTCGAGAATGGCGCGGACCCAAACATTGGAAAGAATGCAGGATTCACATCTCTTATGCATGCGGCTTGGTTCGGCTACAATGACACTATGACACTTCTCTTGGAGCACGGTGCGTCTCTGGAAGAAGTTTATGACGGAGATGACGAGAGCCAGAGAGGATGGACAGCTCTACAATGCGCGGCATCGCATGCTCCCAAGGAGACAATTCGAATACTGGCTGAACATGGAGCCGATCTCAAACACGTATCAGACAAAGGAGTACCTATTCTGCACTCGGCTGCTCAAGAAGATGATGCGCTCTCTGCTCTTATGGAATATCCATCAAGGATTGACGTGAACCAAGTCGACGGGGATGGGAAGTCAGCTCTCCATTACACCAATGTGCCTTTTCATAATGTGAAACTCCTTGTCAATGCTGGAATAAACATAGACATCCAGGAAAAAACAAGGGGTGATACACCTATTTCCCTAGCAGCATACACGGGAAATCTAGAGCGTGCCAAATACTTCATCAAGCATGGCGCCAACATTCATCTCGGATCACCATGCGATGGCGCTGCTATCCATCAGGCATGCCGATTAAGTCACATGGATCTTGTAAAATTCCTCGTTGAGAATGGAGCCAATGTCGATCAGGTCACCAACTACGGCTCGTGTGGAACTCCTCTGCAGTCTGCATGTTTGCAATTCGCAGTTGGTGAAAACCGAATAGTCGACGAGATAGTCGACTACCTTTTGGATCATGGAGCAGACGTCAACGTAGAAGGTGGCTTTGTTGGTTCCGCCCTCCATGCGGCAGCGTACGCAGCGACGCCGAAAACGATCAAGACACTCTTGGATAAAGGAGCAAAAGTTGATATAAAGGACTCAATGAGTCGTTTGCCTATACATGTCGGAGCACTCAATGGTATCGAAAACTTCAAGGCGATCCTCGACGCTGGTGGGGACATCAATTCGAAAGATGTCATCGGACGGACCGCATTGAGCTGGGCAGCACAGCCTGGAAGAGTGCAGGCCGTGGAGAAAATCATATCACTCTTGCCTAATAAAGAGGCTATCGACGAGGCAGATATCGACGGCTGGACGCCGCTATGCTGGGCAGCTCGCGGCACGGATTGTTGGCTGTCTGCAGATCATGCTAGTGAGCCAGAAGAGCAAATGAAGACGATGAAGCTCTTACTCGAGAACGGGGCCAACCGTTTTGTAAAAGCCTCGGTTGGTAGGGAGAAGTGGACACCACTGAAGATTGCTAGGTTCACTGGGCAGCCAGAAGAAGTGATTGAGCTACTGAAGCACGGTATTGTTTCTGAAGATGAAAAGGAGAAGGAGAAGGAGAAGGAGGACGATGATAAGAAGGCTCCAGAAGAAGAATCTGAAGACGATAAATCCAGAAAGGGAGTCTTCAGCTCAGCAACATGTGATAGTTGCAGATGTGTAAGCACCCTTCATTCTCAAAAACGAACCTTTGCACATGTCGCTAACCAAACGATGCAGCGTATTTACGGCTTTTGCTATCATTGCAAGGAATGTACTGATTACGACATATGTTGGAAATGCTATACCCATAAAGAGCTGGTCCATTTCTCAGATCACATATTAGAGGAAAACGGTCCAGAGTTTGAAGATTCGCCAGAAGATGAGGAGCATCACGATGCATCGTCGGATTCGTCGGATTCAACAGATTCGGACTCAGATTGAGTTGTCAGCATATAGCCAAGGAAGTTATTAGTTAGAGGGCTGTTTGGGCTAGAGTTAGATATAATGAATAAATTTACGAAGAAATATCACAGAGCGCGAACGTAGTGCAATCAAGAACATAAATAGCATAAGTTTAGTTTTATTCATAACCCAACAACTTCTACGACTTCTTTCTTACTTTCACGAGCAGGAGTCATCGTCGTAATACATTGTGCTTAACACATTATGGGAATATGCGAAACAAAGAAAGGAAAAGGAAAAGGAAAGAAAAAGATGAGAAAAATAATGTTTATTATGCAAATGCTGGAAATTACTCAGGTGAAGCAAAGGATCCTCTATCTCATCTTCAGATACTCTTGAAACAACCCCCAGCCAAATTTCTGAGCCTCTTCTTGTAAGATTCTACCGTATACATTGATCGACTGCAATGCCACGCCTTCATACCGTACTAGTAGAGCGGGACGTGGTTGTGGCGCGGGATGTTGTTGTTGGGCGAGACGTGGTTGTTGCACGAGATGTCGTTGTGCCTCGAGATGTCGTTGTCTCACGAGAAGTTGTTGTTCCTCGAGATGTAGTGGTTGCGCGAGATGTAGTTGTTTCACGAGAAGTTGTTGTTCCTCGAGATGTCGTCGTCTCACGAGATGTTGTTGTTCCTCGAGATGTGGTGGTTGCGCGAGATGTCGTTGTTTCATGTGAAGTTGTTGTTCCTCGAGACGTCGTTGTTCCCTGAGACGTCGTCGTCCCATGCGTCGTAGTAGGTGCATGGGTTGAGGTCGTCGGAGAGGAAGTCGGCCTTGTCTCATGTGTCGAGGTAGATCTGTTCGATGTAGTTGTTGCACGCGATGTACTCGTCTGATGCGTGGATGTAGATGTACGTGATGTTGTTGTTTCATGCGTTGAAGTAGACCCACGCGACGTAGTCGTGTGTGAGGAGGTTGGCCTTGACGTAGAAGTCTCACGGCTAGAGGTGGATTCACGGGTTGTACTTGTCCCATGTGTCGAACTAGATCTCTGTGATGTGCTTGTCCCGTGGGTAGAGGAAGATCTTTGAGTTGTAGCTGTACTCGTTCCATGAGATGTACCTGTTGAGTGCGTTGAGGTAGATATGTGTGATGTACTTGTTCCATGAGTTGAAGTAGATCTGAGTGATGTGGCCGTGTGAGGAGAAGTTGACCTCGATGTGCTAGTCCCGTGGGTGGAGGCAGATATATGAGTGGTGGTGGGGGAGGTTGACCTTGATGTATTGGTTCCATGAGTGGAAGTAGATCTCTGTGATGTACTTGTTCCATGAGATGTAGTTGAAATAGATCTAAGTGATACACTTGCCTCATGTGTTGAAGTTGATCCACGAGATGTAGTCGTATGCGGAGAAGTTGACCTCGAAGTTTCATGACTTGATGTAGATCTATGAGATGTAGTAGTACCGTGAGAAGTGCTTGATCTACTGGAAGTAGTAGTCTCGTGGTGGGAGCTGGTATGAGACGTGCCCGTACTATGCGACGTTGCATGAGTCGATGTTCCCCTTGCTGTAGAAATCTCGTGTGTGCTAGTCGATCTGTGAGAGCTCGTCGTTGAATGAGAGGCGGTTCCAGAGTGCGATGTACTATGGGGGCTGGCTCCATGAGATGAAGAGGACACATGAGACGATGTTGGCCTATGCGAAGTGTTGGGGACCTCACTACGTGATGTAGTGGCTCTATGCGAAGTCGGCATGGATGAAGTAGATCGATGGGAGGAAGTGGATCCATGAGATGAAGTCCCGCCACGAGAAGTAGTCGTATGTGGCAAGGTACTAGTTCCGTGAGATGTAGATCTATGCGTTACAGTAGTCTCATGAGAAGACGTAGTCGGATGAGACGATGTTCCACGCGAAGTGCTGTGAGATGAGCTGAGCCCACGAGATGAGGTAGAGCGATGCGATGTAGCCGGATCATGGGAGCGGGAGGCAGCCGATCCTCTTGATGAAGAGCTATGAGATGAGGAAGTTCCGTGCGACGATGATGGCCTATGAATTTCGGTTCTGATGGATCCAGATCTATGCAATGTAGAGACCCCATGAGTCGACATAGATCCATGAGATGTGCTGATTCCATGAGAGGAAGAGTGGCCATGAGTTGATGTAGACTTATACGAGTCAGTGTGATGCGAAGATGTCGGTCTCGTCGAATGAGTCTCGTGCGGAGAAGTTGGCCTGTACGAAGTATGGTGCTTTGACAAAGTGGTAGGCTTGTCTCCATAGGTAGCCAAAGCGGGCACTTTTATGACAACAGTACCAGGTCTAGTTCCAAACCCCGGTATGGTGTACGTCTCCGTCTTGGTGCCAGTCCAGTAAATGGTCTCTGTAATGTACTTTACAGGATTCTTCACGATGACTTCGCCGCAGTCAGTTCCTTTGGGAGGCACGGTATATGTGACTGTTTTGCTGCCACCCCAAGGAACAGTCTTGGTGACATATCCGCTGTGAGGCGTCTTGATCACAACCGCGCCAGGCTCGCCTCTGTGAGGGGGGACGGTGAAGGTAGTAGCAGTACTTCCGGCCCAGGGAGCAGTTTTGGTAACATATCTAGACTCATCGCAGGGAGTCTTTACGACGACGGTGCTTGGCCCTTTACTTTGGGCAGGTGGGATTGTCACCGTCTTAGTCGTAGTGCCAGTCCAAGACATGGTAGTCGTAATGCAGTCTGGGTTCCATCCTGGGATTTTCACAATCTTGGTAGTCGGGCCCCAGCCAGAAGGTAGAATTGTAATCGTCTCAGTCGTAGGGCCATCCCACGACTTTGTAGTGGTCACACAATTTCCTTCCGGGATGGGAACTCCAGGCGTCACGTAAGCTGGGACTCCTGAGCACTCCATCGTAGTCCTATGTAACATGTCAGCAACATTGTATAAGCTAAGTTGAACAGAATATACAAGACTCACTGAGCAAAAATAGTGGAAGTAGTTTTACCACAACACACATATTCCGCTGGGTGGTGTATCACAATCTCCGCGGGATGAGGGCACTCCGCATTATGGGCATTAGCAAGCTGCAGGAAGATACCTGCGCCCAAAACGGCCGCAGACCGAACACCGAGCCAGCTCTTCATCTTCAACGATTTTCAATGGCAACAGATGGTCTTGCAAAAGAATGACACAAGTTAAAGAGAGTAATGTTGCTTGCTCTTCAGTAAACAGGCCGGACTATCACGGTCTATTTAAGATTCTACGGGCCTAGCTTCAACCTCAGATACGTGTTTCTAATCACCATGGAGTCGCGTCGGTTTGATTGCAAAGCGTTATTATGAACTCATTCTTTCCGTTCGCGCCAAGAGGGACTCCCTACGCGATGAGTATTGGTGCTTTCTTCGTTAGTTTGCATATATACGGAATGCTGCCCTGACGCTTGTCAAGAAGGCTAGCAACAACACATCTGATCGACACATTCTTCACAGCAAGCATACAAAAGCTATCTTTGACACTTTTTCATATTATAAAGTTATCAATTCATCAGAAGACAATAGAATGGCATTATAGACGACTTGAGCTATCATAATCGGCCCCAAAATCTGCCTCTCACTATCAGCCATGGCGACCCAATTGTATGAAGTTTTACCATTGCAATGGCTCATACTAAATCTATATCTTACAATGTCAGTCAGCTTATCATACTATTCCAGACGCCGGAGTCAGGGGCCTGTCTAGAGCTGTTCTATGGGGCAAGGCGAGTGAGACGAAGGTTCCACCCTCCCTCAGATCGACAAGTGTGTTGGGACCAACATGAGACAATAAACTCAGCTAGCATGACTAGTCCCAGCCTCATATCTCGTGCAAAGCAAGATAGTGTGCTGATTTTAGGTAAATGATGCTACTGTGCCTGACCGCTCCCTTTGGACGATCTTCAGCGCAATGCAAAAATCTCCGAAATGAGGCATTCTAGGCGATGGCGCCGGCAAAAGAAGTTTTATACCACGAGATGAATCTAGCATACCAGCTAAAGTGAATTGAAAATTCCAAGGGGTAATATTTTCCTTTTAGCGGATGACCGCCATGATCCTGATATGTTCGCGTTGGCGGGCTTCCAGAAAGATGTGTTGCTAGAGTGTTGGCTGTGATTGAGCCATCTCAGGAAATGAAGGCGAAGCCGCTTGCGGAATGTATTTAGTCAAAATCAAACACAGCAGCAATCTCGATATACCCCGTTTAAGTGTGATACAGCGCAGTATGGCGCAGCAAGGCCATCACTGACTGAGAAAAGGACGGAAGAGCGAAAGAGAGAACAGTTGGGTATAGCGCCCTGAATATAATTGGTAATCAGTCTGTATATAATACAGGAAGCCCAAATATGAGTTTTTCAATTAGCTGCGTATGGCGTACAGCCACTTTAACATGCGCAGTAGCGAATTAGCGACTCTCTCCTTCGAAGCAGCCGCATTTCTCCCTAGTTAGATGGCTATTTTGATGCTTGCGATAACAATCGCTACCCTGCAGTTCTCTGAAAATAATATTTTACATGTATCATTTTGTATAGATCTCTTTAGTTAAAGTGAATTTATCATATGGCTTTATATACATTCTGCTGAATTGTAGAAATCCTATTTCATATATAACACCTTGGCCCCATACGGGACCTAGTTCTCGGCCTAATTTGCCTGCTGCCGAAGTGCCATGATCTTCTGGAGCAGCTCAGGAGGAATCATGGGGTTAGGATCCTTTTCAGATAGCCCTTCGACTCCGATCTTTAGGAAATTAGGCTCTTCCGAAATTTGCTTGCTCAGAACAGTCTTCACTTCGTCAACATCCCAGTTAGCCCAGACAAACCGGCCATGCAGATGTTCAGCCTCTTGGCTAGCCGCCCAGACCGAAAATTGGCCTGGAAGGTTTTCTGAAAGACGCGATAATTAGTACCATGAGCTTATAGAAAGGAAAATATGAATGGATGTGGGGGCCATACCATCGTCAAAAGGGATTCCCAAGTCCTCGCTTGCACCAGACTTGCGAGCCATGTCGGTGAGAACGCCACCTGGGTGGAAGCATATGATCTGCATGTCGTTGACTTTGGTATCTTTGGCAATCTGCTGAACCAAGAGCGTAGCGGCATTCTTGGTCAGGCCGTAACTTGGGCGCTCTGGGGCCATTGACTGCCACATATATCCGGCAATAGTCGAGAGGTATACCAAGAACTACAAAAGCGTCAGTCTCGCCACGATTCTGATACAATTCAACCAGAAATCAGAGATAAAATCTAACCTTGCGGGAGCCTTGTTTGCTCGTCTGCTTATAGAATCGCTCGGTAAAATCCAACGTGGAGCGTACATTGGCCTCAAAATCCCGCCAGACGTTTCCAAGGCCATTCTCGAGAATGGGAGCTTTTTCGGTATGCGACGCCGCATTGAGGACCAAAACATCGACATAAACCCCATTGCGTTGGAGATCTTGCCAGAATGCTGCAGTAGATTCGAGACTTGCAACGTCACAGACTTTGCCCTCAATCACAGCAGATGATCCAAAGCCGTCTGCTTCTTTGGAGAGCTTCTCGGCGGCAGACTTTACAACTTCTTGACGGCGACCCAAGATGATGACATGTTTGGCGGAAGCTTTGATGAAGCTGCGGGCGACGGCATATCCAATTCCACTGTTGCCTCCGGTAACGACAACTGTCTTGCCTGCTTGGCTGAGTTCTGGGCGTGAGGGAGAGATGGCCGCATAGGGCTTTCGGTGGTACTGCTTCAGGGATGGGAGACTCATGGTTGCTGGACAAGTATTGCTGCCAAGATTTTGTTTCGGTAATAGTGTTTGCTGATGTATCGTGGTGATGGCTGTTGAAGATGTTGAGGAATATTGTCGTTCTTTATCTGCTTTTTATACACAGCTCCTACTCCTCCCATTTTCCACATATAACAAACCCGCAAGGCCTAGGACCAAGACATGGGCCGACTCTCTCTCCTGACTCTCCATTATTCTGGTCCGCAACTCCAAGTCCGCCTCAAAGCAGCGGAGTTGAACATGAGGAAATCAGTTTATTAATATAAATTCCCTTCAGACTCTCATCACCCACATACATAATTTGTCTTTTTGGTGCCTTCCGATGTGGCGCCTACAAAATGCGTGACCGGCGGCGGGTTCTCCGTCCGCAAGTGGAAAATTCCCCGCCGGCGTCGCCTATAAAACCCCATGCAGAGGCCCGAGTCCCGGCTCCGCCTGGCGGAAGAAAGCCCGCCGGGATGACAAATTTCGGCCCCGGGCCTTGAAAAGAAATAAGAGCATCAGGCGATAGATGGGCAAACCCTCGAATCTGATATCCAAAAGAAAAGACTCCAGCCCGCCATGTCGGGTTTTCCTCCGCAGAAGCGCCTAGCCTGCATTGCGTGCACTAAAGCGAAGCGCGGCTGTAGCAAGCAGACGCCTTCGTGCCGGCGCTGCTTGGAGAAGAAGGTCATCTGTCGCTATCCGGCGCCGCGCATCACGCCGCCGTACGATCTCGTCTTTGCGGAAGATGGCGCCGTGTCTGCCGTTCCAGCGTCGAGCGAGAGGAGTCTGCTTCCGAGTCCGGCGTCTCACGGTAGTGGCGAACGGCAGCAGCAGCAACTGCAGCAGCACGAGAGCCACACGCCGGCCCGCCAGTCAGTAACAGCAGAGGATCTGCGGCATCCGTGGTTTCTCTCGCCATCATCATGGACCATAGACCATAGCACAAACTCGATCCCCTCTCAAATCACCTTTAGCGATGAGGCCCTCACGTACTTTATCAGCCAGCTTCACACCTGGCTGAGGCAATACGCGAGCGAAGGCCATTGTCCCTTTATCCACCCCCAGCTATGGAAGATCCATCTGCCAGACTGTATCCAAGATGCGTTTGCCTCCCTATCAGCATACCAATCCAAGACTCCCGCAACCGAAAGGATGGTTATGCGCATCATCGAGAACCGCGCCAATAACCTAGTCGGCGGCCATAGTGCCAGCGCCAATGAAGATTTCGGAGTCGTCATGCTTGACTCTGCGTGCCACCTCGCAAGGACGCAGGCTCTCCTGATATACAAAATCATCCGTCTGTTCGACGGCAACATTCGCGCCCGCGCCCAGGCTGAAAAGCACATTGATACTCTCTCGCTGTGGGCTCGACAGATGTGGCAGAGCGCCAATCTTGCTCTCTCTTCAGATCACGGCGACGCATCGATTGAGGGCGGGAATAGCAACGGGCCGGTCGATACGCAGCTACGAACAGACGGCTCCATCACGTCTACATGGCAGGCATGGATATTCTCCGAGTCCATCCGCCGCACGTACTTGGCCGCGACGCTCACAGAGGCAGTGTACCTGACTCTGAAGCAGAGCTGGGCTCCTTGCCCTGGCGGCATCATCTTCTCCGGCGGTGCGGGTCTGTGGGAGGCAACTTCGCCATCCTCTTGGTTCAATCAATATCAACAGAATCTCGTCAATAGTGTGCGCTGTATTGATGGGAATCAATTGTTTACCAGTGCCAAGCCATCGGACGTGGATGAGTTTTGCCACGCCACTCTCATTGTATCCTATGGACTAGAGAGGTTTGACCGATGGTGTAATGAGAGTATGTGAATGGGTCTTTTTTGTTTTGCAATATTCCAATGAATTGTATGATACTATGGCTGTTTTTCTCAAGTATATGTAGCCTTTATTTCGTAGTTTATGTCGCTTATAGTAGCCCAATTGTATAAAAATATATGTTTGTACGATCGTACCTTTGGCCTGACCATGGAGTTTATCATAGATGACACACCATGTGAAATGAAAAGAAATAATGTATGCTCCCAGTTAAGACGAATACGTGTACATCTAAGCCTCATCCATTTCGAGAACATGGTGGTTCTCGCATCAGTCCAGCCTTACTCTCAAGTATGATGCTCAACCGACCAATCAATCGTGTACGTCAGACAACGGAATAGCTGCACCGCACTGGCTGGATAAATCGGGCTTCGTATTCGCGACTCCACAGATTCGCTTCTCCTTGCATGTGACGGCAGCAAGACTAAATGGTAGCCACAGCTTGCGCTTGGGGAATCGCGTGCCGTTCAATGGGCCAATCGCGTGCCAGCAATTGGCACCCTCCGCAGCCTATCCTTGACCTAGACTGGAGTTCGCGACGGATCTCCATAAGAAAATCGGGATCGAGGCCCATGCGGTGCTGAGCCAAACACGCGCAAGAACAAACACAAGTGAAAAACCAGGACTGCCTGTGATTATTGAATTCAAGAGGGGACGATGGTGTTCAGAAGATGTTTGAATCATGGAGAAAATGCAGCAAACCAATACGCGTATGTAATGTACAGCGTCCTCAATATAAGCAGATGCATCAGCTTCTCCTCTGCCCTACTGTTCATGATTGCGAAATCAGCCCTGGAACAGGGATGGACAGAGGCAGTTGAGCCGCCTCCATGCTAAAAGATCAGGTACCTGCACCTGTGCCGCTCTGCATGGCACTATCCACCACTCTATCGCTTTAGTGGTACGACGCAGCCTTATAATCCATCGAGCTGCTGCTTTCGCCGTCGCAGCAGCTGAACTTGTCCAAGCTCGCCAAAACCACATTCTCTTCTTCCCAGCTGCACTGGTGGCGATACCGAGTCGCAGAGAGTTGGAGTGCTGGGAGCCGAGCCGTGCATCATCGTTATTTGCGGTTTGTTTACTTGCTTGTTATCGAGCACCTGCAGAAGAATCAACATTTCTGGCAACAGGATGCTGCTGAAGAATCTGTGGCGCGCCGCGCTGACGGCTGCTGGTGAGCATTTCCCATGCGTTTGCGTCCTATGCTTGCTTATGATTTCCTTTGCTGTGCCTCTTCTCGCCGCTGTGCCCACGCAAAATTGCTGACCAGCGATCAACGTTATGCATAATCTATAGCCTTTGCAGCAGCCCCGGCTCGCGCCGACGACTCTGCCAACCCCACGGGACAATCAACCTTCATCAGCCCCGACGGCAGCCTCGCCTTTGCCTTCACCGTGCCCGACAATGGAAACACAGACATCTACTTCAGCCTGCGCGTGTCGACGGACCGTTCCTGGGGCGCCATCGGCCTCGGCAGCAACGAAATGGCCGGCGCGCTGTTCCTGATCCTCTACCGCAGCGACAACAACGAAAACAACGTCACCTTTTCTCCCCGCCTGGCCTACGGCAACTACGAGCCCAAATACTATCCCGACCTCAAGTTCCAGACGTTCAACGGCACCGGCGTCAAGGACGGCTACATGACCTTCAACGCCGTCTGCAATGAGCACTGTCGAAGCTGGCCCGCCGGCGGAACTGGCAAAGGCTACATCGACGTGTCGTCGCCCAACCAACAGGCAATTTACGCTCTAGGCCCCAAGGAGAGGTTTACTAGTGACGATCCAAATGCAGGCCTCAAGATGCACAGCGAGCACGGCACCTTTACGATTGACATGAAGCGGACCCAAGGCCGAGCTGACCTGCCTGTCTTGACCATGGACTCGGTTAGCGAGGGCACGACGCTCAACAGCCGGTCCACGGGCAATTACGATTGGAAGGCCGCTGCGCACGCTTCCTTCATGGTCTTTAGCTTCATGTTTCTGATTCCCTTGGGTTCGATCCTCATTAGGACGGAAAAATGGGCCAAGCTTCACAAGTTCAATCAGACCTTTGCTCTCTGCCTTGTGTTGACGGGCCTTGCCTTTGGCATCCTGACAAGCTTCAACTATCGACGGGTAAGCTTCCTTGGTTTTCTGTCTGGGTCTTATTCTGTTCTATTACACATGTCACTAACATTGGGTCTCTTTTGGTTCTAGTCTCGTGGATTTCACTCCCTGCATCAGATCCTTGGTTTCATCACCATCTTTCTCATGCTGAACCAGGTCGTACTTGGCGTCCTTCATCATCTCAAATGGCGAAAGACGCAGCAAGCCACTAGATTCGGCAAAATCCATGTCTGGAATGGGAGAATTGTCATGATATTTGGCGCTGCCAATGGTTACATGTAAGACTTGTATTCCCCCTTTCCTGCTCTACGCTTCAAAGTTTGCTGACGCTGAATTTTGCAGTGGTTTTGGCTATGCGCTCGATCGCAAATACGCCCTCGTTGTCCTCGGCATCGTCTTCCTCTTAGTCCTTTGCTTCTTAGGCTACATCATCTGGGCGGCCAAGCGCAATATGCCGCGCCGCCAACAGGGACCCTCTGGATTTGAAGGCCTCAACCACAGCTACCAGCAGCAACAGCCACAGCCATGGCGAAATACTGCCTACTCGGCTGGCGCCTACTCAGGTGCTGCTGCGGCCCCAGTATATCCCGATCATCCTCCTCCGGGATACGAGCCTCCGTCATCGCAGAGTGAGCTCCAGAATGCTGCCTCGTGGGGCGCGAGAACTCGTGATGGAAGGAGCAGCTATGAAGACGAGCCTCTTGATTTAGGCTCAAGCCAGAAACCAAGGGAGTTTACATAAAGATGTTTCTAGTAGTCTGCATGTATGGCGTTGAGGGAGCATGGGAACAAATAATGATTATTAATGAAGTGGATAATAGGGGGATAGGACTACGATTACAGTTATCTTATGGCTTTTTCCTCTTATGATTGTCAAAGCGACTTGCTCGCATAATGTGCATCTTCGTACATAAATTTCCAACGTCTAATGATGAATTATCTCAATGCTGCTTTTTAATAAGCAGCATAGATCTATCAATCTGTACTCGGCTCATCTTCTTTATCGCCTTCCAGCCAAATCTCGTGGCCATCGCCCTCCTTCACCACTAGACTCGTCAAGCACGCACAAACAGCAACACTACTCAATGCCCACCACACCAGACCAATAATGCCCTTGTTCAAGCCAAACCCATACACAACGCCACCCACCATGGGTCCAATCGTCCGCGCCGCGCTACTAACACTCTGCCCAAGCCCGTGAACAGTGCCCAGCACGCTCGGGTGCGGCGAGCAGTTGTTGACGAGGATGGCCTGGCTGGGCAGCGCAAACGTCCGGCCCGTGACTTGGAAGAATAACACGCCGCAAATGGCAATCCATATCAGAATGCCCGCCTTTGCCTCCGGGGGCGGCGCGGTGCTCGGCACGACGGAGAGATAGGGCACGAGGAAGTAGGCCACGGGGAAGAAGAGCAGGAAGAAGCGCCACGACTTGATGGTGCCGAGGCGGGCTGATATGGTCGGGTAGAGGAACAGCTGCATGTTGATGCCGATGAAGCCCAGGATGGCCATGGCCATGCCGACGGATCGCGGCTGCAGACCGAGACCGCCGGTGAACCAAAACGGCAGACGAGTCTCTCGGTCCGAGGTTGGCGTCGAGAGGAAGACGAACCAGAGCGAGTTGAACGTCCCCACGTGGAAGGTGAGGAAGAACTGCGCCACCAGAGTAACGAGCACGTTGCGGGTGAAGATGCGTCGAAAGGCCAGTCTCTGCGTGTACCGCTTCGTCGACTTCCGCCTGGCCGCGTCCTCTTCGCCCGCCCTCAGCTCAACGTCAGAGGGCGGAACTGCCGAATATCCCTCCGCCTCGGGTGAAGTTCCAAACCGCTTTCGATAGTGCGTGAGGAGTCTCTTGCCCAGTCTGGTGCCCAGGTCTGGCGGCCCGTCTCTCAGGACATCGTGGGTTTCCTCGAGGCCCAGCCAAACAGCCACGGCGGCAAAGAATAAGAAGAAGGAGCTGACGATGTTGGGAGTTGCGTAGGGGAATTTAACAAAAAAGGGCATGTTGCCAAAGAGATTTGGGTAGCTGCCAGCTGGATCGGAGAGGATGCCGCCGAGGATGGGGCCTATGATGACGCCGATGTTGAAAGTCATGGGCAGGAGGAGAAAGGCTCTTGGCTGATATTTCTTTTCGCGGATAATTTCGCTGATCCTGTTTTTGACTTTGTTCAGCATCCAACACCACCCACCTCACTAGATGGACTTATGACGAGAAGCACTTACATCGTCCGCATCACACCAATATTGCCATTCGTAGCACCGCCAAGCGTGCGGAACAGCAGCGCCTGCCAAAACGTCGTCGAGAATCCAAAGCCCAAACAGGAGATGCTCGTCCCCAACAAGCCGATGAGCAGAACCGTTTTGCGCCCCACGCGCTTCGAGTCGGCGATGCGACCCCACATCATCGCCGTGAGGAACTGTGAGGCCGTGAAGCTGGCGTGGAGGACGCCCGCCTGGCTGGAGATTGTGGAATCGGGAAGCGACGGATCGAACCATTTAAGCTGGTAGAACATGTAGGCCTTTTTTTCAGAGCGGCAGACAAAAGAAAGCCCCAGTATGAGTTACAACATTTTGAAAATATATTCCTTCTTCAAGTGAGAAGTTTGAGAGAGGGGGTGTTTGGATCTTGGTTTGGCCAAACGCTTGACAGTCGTCCAGCCACCAAGTTCGGTGTAAGTCTCACCTGTAGTGACGTCTGAACAAGCGGTTCGCTCATCCTCGCCATGGTAATAATGAAAAGCTGGTCTTTCCGAGGCAACTCGCTCCATGATATCGGCCTCTTGCTCTCATTCTGGCCCACAGACGGAGCGGTAGTAGGCGAAAGCGGACCATGTTCCGCATAGCTGCTCACGGATTCGGCGTCTATTGAGCTTCTGAGTTGAGCATCGACGGCAACTTCGCTGACCGAATCGTCATCGTCGCTATCGGATTTGTTGTGCCTCATCTATTTCGCTTTTTCTGAGGTCACGCGGCCTCGATAGAGCAACAAAAAAAAAGTGGGCGGTATCGTTTGTGCTTGTAAATATCACTCTCGGCGTCAACTGCTTGTAATGGAGTTGAAGCAATAACACAAGATTTCAAGTCGGGATATCAAGTCTGAGATCAGCAACAACTGCGGAAATTAAAGGCACAAGACGGCGAAGAATCAAGAGATTGGGATAAGAAGAAAAAGGAAGAAATGTTTTTTTAGACATCTCCGTCGATGATGCTACCCAAGTCAACTTTTTCGCCATCCTTCCCAGTCGCTCGGCACAGACGAGCCGTCTCTGCCGCCCCAAAAACAGAGACCCCTCCCACCAACTGAAGCTGCAGGTACCTTGCTGAAAAGAAAAAAGAAAGAAACAGGTCAAAGGCAGCCAATCTCTTTGCTTCTCACGCGCAAGGGCTAAGCGACAAGAGGGTTGGGTCGTGGGGCCGCGGGGGTAGGATGGGAACAAGAGCTGGCCGCGTATCCGCGCGATAACGGAGTCTTTGCTTTTTACCGCCGATCCCCAAAAGATAAAAAGTTGAGAGGCTTGGCCTACAGAAAGGCGGTAACATTTGGATGGCGATGTGGATGGAGGAGCCAAAGAGGATCTGGAGAAGCTGGAGATGTGCTTCTGCATGGTATTTTATTAAAGGTTAAATTCCGCTTGCATCGAATCTGCAATACAACCGAGACACAAGTCGATCTGGAAGGTAGCATTAGATCAAGCCTCTGCCATTCCAAACATGAGGAAAAAGGCGCCGCCACCCGCTTCAGCGCCGGGCGGGTCCGGCACCGGAGCCCAAAGCCCGCATCGTGGTCGGCAGCTTCCGTGATGCTTGATCCAATGTACATGAGATGCAGACCGCAGATTCATCTTGAGCTCAATACGTGGGATTATGATGCAGGATTTGTGCTTCCTATATTGATATTAAATAATGGTAATACTTCGTGATCCTTTTACACGTATATAGCCAGAGATTTCTCATCAACGTCCATCTCTACTCAATCACCTTTATATCTCAGCCTCTCGCCAACTACACCCAGCGCAATGGCGATCCAGCTCAACATTGGCGCTCTCGATGTACAAATCACCGCAGAGCCTCTTACTCATGAGGCCTTCTCATCCTTCGGAGACGTCGTCTCCAACCCCCGACCCGACGTCCACCCCTCCTCATTCGATGCCCATGCTCAATCCCTACCGCCCAACGCCTTCTCAGCGAACCAAGGCTCCGCAATCCAGTATCGAAATGTAAGCCGCCTCAAGAATCTCTACGGCCAAGCTCCGAGCTGCAAGGGCGAACCCATCATGAGCATCTTCGTCTGCGCTGCAAGAGGTGGCGCCGACGGCTCATCTTCCGGGGCAAACACATTCACGGTACGACACCTCGAACGACACCCATTCACAGCACAGACCTTTACACCAATGACATCTACCGCATCATCGTACCTGGTCATTGTCGCTCCGAGCCTCCCGCCTAGCTCTAAAGACGAGGATTTACCTGTGCCGACTGGAGAGGGGCTACCCGGGAGAGGGTTTCCGGATCTCAAGCGCCTGCGCGCCTTTGTCGCTACAAGCAGCCAGGCTGTCACTTACGGCGCAGGAACTTGGCATTCTCCAATGGTAGTGTTGGGACAGACGGGAACACGGCTGGATTTCGTGGTATCGCAGTTTGCTAGCGGTGTTGCTGTTGAGGACTGTCAACTGCTCGAGTTTGTTTCAGACGGCAAGGATGAGCCTAGCATTCGGGTTAAGATACCCCAAAGAGATTGGTCAATTAAGCTATAAGCTTCAATATTCACGTTGGTCAGGGAGATACACGACCCTTAATATCATCTAGTGCCGCTCCGGATGCTTATTTGCTACCCGGCCGACTCGTATTCATGAATTCGCAACGTTGGGCTACACATCTCATTGGTTGCTTAGTCATGCTACATTCACTTCCGAGCTGGGAGAGTGGGGAGTCGCCCGACAGCCCAAGGGCGCAGCATGACTCAATAAATACTCATACTGATAGAAGACGCGTGTTGAAGAATAACTGATTGATGATTTATTAATCGTTTTCTAAAAAAGGGGGAAAAGATACAAGATTTCGCAATCATGGGAAGTGTCATGTATTCCACCGATGCAAAAAATAAGCTCGAAGACCTGTCTGGCATTGTTTTGAAGCCAGGCGAGAACCCCTATGAGGCTTTCATCCGAGCCTGCAATGACAAGCCTGTAAGTGCCCAATAGATCCAAGTTATATACTTGTCAAAATTTTACAAACTTTGCATCCATAAAACGAAATGCTCATGGTTCATCTTCTGTAGCAAGAAATCCAGGCGTTATATCATGCCCACCGCACCAAACGCAACGCTCTTCAGAAGGCAAAGTTCTTGTCCCCAGACTACAAGGAGCTCGTAATTGACCAATGCCTCCTTCGCCTTGAAAATCCAGAGATGGAGCCCGGCTTCGTCGATGAGCGCAACTGCTTGACGGTTTGGGCTCGCCCCCCAATCCACGTGGTCGAGTTGGCTGCACAGATTCAAGCACGTCTCCAGCAGGCTTCGCCAAGTGAGTACCTATTGGTTCGAAGCCAATTCGCAGCAGCATAGATCCAATATTAACTCGGATATTCATATAGAAATCTGGCTCATGCCCACTCACAGGATGCACTTGACCACCCTTGAAGTCGCCTTCTCAAAGACTCCCCCGGAGATTGGGTCTCTCGTCTCTACTCTACGCCCTGCCATTCCCTCTATTGCTTCATATACCCACACTCATCGGTCTCGTCTTGTCAAACCCATGGTATCATACGACCTCTCCGCTTTTGCTCTTTCGTTTCTCCCAGCTTTTGGAGAAACTACTCTTTCACCAGCTCCAGTCACACCTGATGTGTCTTCCGACGCTGTGGTCCAGGGAGACGACTACACATATCACCACCTCCGACGAGACATCTTTGACAAGGTCAAGGATGCAGGCGTCGAGATCGGATCTCGATACCAGGTCCCCAGCGCGCATATTACACTGGGCAGATACCTGACAGACGAAGAGCATGATACTCCCGAAAAGAGAGAGAAGTGGGTCAAGGCCATCGATGACATCAATAGCTGGCTGGAGAATGAGGTGTGGGATCAGAAAGATGCTCAGTTTATCGGCGAGTGGATTGTTGGACAGGAAAAAGGACTGGATATTCGTAATGGCCCTGTGTGGTATGGACATGGCCGCACTGTTTTGCTGGGCGAGGGTTTTTAGACAGCGAATTTTGTGTAGACACATCTAGAATTAGATAGACAAGACGTAGACATCGATACAAAAGACAAACGGGAATACACATGCCATAGAATCATCCTTTTGAATCGATTGACTTTCATCTTTTTCATGTTCGCTAGTCTGAGTTTTTGTCCCGTGAACTAGAGGTTGCCCAGCAAGAGACACCAGGTCGTAGTGAATTAGAATACTATCTCGGCTTGGCTTTTTCCAACCTTAAACACTGCGAGGCATATCCCAGTACAATCGCATGAATGCGGTCATGAAGAAATCTTTTGTATTTCGTTTCCTATGAGCCGCCGTCCTCTACTTAAGGACCAGTAACCCCCCTTCGCCAAGTTCCATGATGCCCATATGCCGCGAGGAGAAGCATGAGAATTGGTAAGACCGGAAAACAACGCATTTAGAACACCAGAGCAGCACCCTTCGTCTTCTTGTCACCACTGTAGCCATCAAGTTAGTAAATGCCACGCATAAAAGGCCCACGCTGATCATCACATACCCGAGCTCGAAGTGCTTGCATCGCTTCAGGGCCAGCTGCAACTTGGTCTTGCACTTGACGCACTCCAACCGCAGGACGACCTTCTTGGTGGTCTTGGCCTTCTTGTGGAAGACGGGCTTTGTCTGACCACCATAACCGCTCTGCTTCCGGTCATAACGTCTCTTACCCTGGGCGAACAGGGAGGCCTTGCCAGCCTTGTACTGGGTGACCTTGTGCTGGGTGTGCTTGCGGCACTCCTTGCCCTTGCAGTAGGTGTTTCGGGTCTTGGGAATGTTGACCTAATCCGAGAATATGTCAGCCATCTGTTGGGTCGCGGTGGTTGCTCAAAGGCGACGGTGCAAGTCGAAGCGATCGCGTGTCCGGCACAAGGCAGTCTTCGTCGATTGATCAATATTCCAGCATTAGATAGTCACAGCGCTCGGGTTTTGACGATGGAATTGTTCATGTTCGGAATGTTTTTCGATATGGCGACATGATAATTCCCCCCCATTTCCTCCCCCCGCCGAGATGCGATGCACAAAATATCGTCGTTCTCAATCGCAAAGACTGCCATGTCGTGCGGACGCAAACATTCGAAAGGATCGTTTTCGTAAATCGGGTATCAAAGGGGTCGACTGAGCATCGATGGTGACAGCAGCCAATAACGTACCATTTTGACGACGGTGTGCGGTGTCGTTACTTGAGTGTTTGGTGATGCAAAGTTCCGGGAGTAAAGCGAAATTTGGGAGAGTTTGGTGATTTCTCGCTTTGTGGGCGATAGGGTCAACGCTATTCCTGATTGGGGCTTCGATAACGAGAGCGTGGCTTGCTGGGGCGAGTCAGAATCCATGCCTCATTTATTGGGCAGAAACAAAAAATCCCACCAGCCACACGTGTGTGGCGCATGACACGTTCCCTTTCAGGGGACCCCACCATTGGAGAGCGATTGAGCTGGAAGGCCAGTTATGGTTGATGATGGTATCCTTCTTTTAGAGACAGCAAGACGCAACATCGCCAAAAGTCGCCAATCGCCAAAATGGACCCGTATTCCGCAGAAGGTGAATTGATCAACATTCACACCCACTTCTACCAGTCACAATACCAGGAGGTCATCGATTTCGACACATCATCCTTCTCCGCTGAGAATGAGCTGCCCGTACGAGTACTGAAGCTCCGAGCCCGCATCGCCCTTGGCCAGGCCGAAGACGTTGTTGCAGATGTCGCGGGCGAGGCCGTTCCCGACCTGGAAGCTGTCGGCGCTCTCGCCGAGTACACTCTTGGAAAGACCGATGCGGCATTGACGACGATTGAGAAGTTGGCTTCATCGGCGGCCGATAACGTTACCGTTCAGGTTGTTGGCGGCACGGTTCTACAAGCTGCTGGAAAGTCTGAGGAGGCACTTGCGCTGCTTTCGCAACACCAAGGAAGCTGTAAGGCATACTTTTATTACACCATGGGTCTCAGAGTTGCTAATGGCTTGCTATAGTGGACGCTGTCGCCTTAATAGTCCAGATCCACCTACAACAGAACCGATCCGATCTAGCTGTGAAGGAAGTTACCGCTGCACGAAGATGGGCGCAAGATAGTCTCTTGGTTAATCTAGCTGAGGCTTGGGTTGGAGTCCGAGTGGTAAGAGCGATTGAAAGAACGATGATGGGTGTACAAATGCTGAAGTATCAATAGGGCGGCGAAAAGTACCAACAGGCATTCTACGTTTATGAGGAGCTTGCGCAGGGCTCTTCAACTTTCTCAGTACCCAGTCTCATCGCACAGGCTGTTTGCGAGATACATCTTGGCCGTCTTGAGGAGGCCCAGTCTGCCTTGCAGCAGGCCATAGAAAAGGACCCAAAGAATGCTGAAGGCATTGCCAACTTATTGGTTTTGAACTCCATTTCCGGAAACAGCACCGACGAGCTTCTCGAGTATGTATTCACTATTCTTTGTTACAGAACGAACTGCTAACATGCCTCAGATCACTAAAGCAGGCCAACCCCAACCACCAGCTGCTATTGGACTTGGAGGAGAAGAGCAGCCTATTCGACAAGGCGGCAGCCAAGTATTCAGCCAAGGCATAATCATAGACGAGATTCAATTTATACAGCGAGTTACTATGTTACAATGGGGCGAATGATAGAGCATCGGAGACGACAAGGATACGAGCCAAAGCCTTTCACACGCGAAGTGCTTTATAACCCGATCCAACATCCATCTCAGCCTTTTGAAGTCGAACGACCGCCCCTATACCTAGAAAGAGAACCTCACGTCCAGAGACTATGTGATGCTGGTGGCGCATTTAGTAATTAATTTTGAAAGTTTCTATTTACAGCTGGGCGGCTGGATGACAATAGCAACTCGAAGCTCAGAAACCGCTACCACTTCCATAGTCCCGCAGTTCTAGCTCTAGTTCACCAGCACTTATGTCTACCCTGCATTTACATAATAAAAACAGAATCATTGCACCATGCCTGAGCTTGTATCATCATGAAGAAAATATGACATGATTATTTATTTAAAGACCTTCATAGAGTTGGTTCTCCTTGTGAATGTAGTCACTCAATTTGTAGTCAGCGCAAATTAAGCTGATGATTGCTTGTTATACACTCAAACCACATCTATCCAATTAATCCTCCAGCTCATCCTCCGAAATCTCAAGCTGCAATCGAACATTCTTCTAAAATGCCAACACCTCTTGGGGGCTTCGACGATGCAGATGGCCATCATTTCCACCGAGATTCAGACTATTCGACTCCTCCTCATCCACCAGCACCGAGTCTATGCAGTGGCTTAGCCTGGAAAGCTGTTCTCTCGAAGCTGAGAACAAGTCAAATTCCGGAGTATCATCTTGCGACCCCTCTAGCAGACTAGCCTCCTCGGATGCATTAACGCGTACATTGCTCGATGTTGTTGCTGCACTATCCTTCTCCTGAGCGTCCAGACATCTTCCCAGTGGCACATCGGTATAATACTGCTTGTACTTCAACAGCGTCAAAGAATATTCCTCCACATCTGCCGCCCCAGGCATGGTCTGTCGACTGAGCAGCGAAGAATTCGAACCCGTCGATGAAATTGTTGAGTGAACTGATTTGATATCGTCTCCAGAAAGTCTTGATGTGCCATTATTGGCTGATGCCTCTTCGAGCCAAGCTATGATGGATTTGACAGAACGGTTCTTCTTTTTTTGCGAGGTGTTGACATTGTCTTGGGGGTTGGAAGGCGAAATGCGCTGGCCAATGTTGGATGAGAAGCTGCCAGACAAGCCCTTTAACGGTCTCTTTCGATCTATGATGCTTTCTTGCGTGTCTTGGAATTTAAAATTATCGGCCGCCATCTTGTAGATTGCGAGTGCACTTTGTGTGTAATGGGCGACTATGTGTATGGGCGAGGTGTGATGGTTCACTTCAAGTATGGAAGGCGATAATTCCATGGATAGGAGAGGAAAAAAATTGTAGTTTTTTGTCAAATACATAATTCATAAACCCACGGCCATTTTCAAACGAGGCACATGTTCGAAAGACGAATGAAGCAAAAGTGAAGCAAAAGTGAACTTGCAGGCAAAATTGGGTGTTTGTCCACATTCTGAATTCTAAATTCTTGATCATCCCACGTAAAACGCCAAAAATCCTGCGTGAACCGGACCAATACATCCTGTTTCTCTGCTATACGAGCAGGAATGCACCATAACCCATCTATCGAAACAGCTTTGTACTCCTTTTGTTATCATGGTTAAAGCGCACCGCGTACGCAACAGCCACCAGACAATAAAGCCACGCGCTTTGTCGCGGCGTCTTGCCTTGTGCTATATTACTTCTCCCTTCTCCCTTCTCTTTCAGACCCCTTTGATTTATTTCTTCTTGGGGCCCAGGCGCGGGGCGCCAATGTTGGCGCCCCGCAGCTTGACATTGAGCACCCTCTCCATCTTGGAGAGAATGGTCTGGTCAGGCGTAGCAGTACCGCGCTCGTATGTAGCAACAGTTGCTGATGTCTCGCCAATCTTCTTGCCCAATTCGGCCTGGGTCATGGTGGGCTCGAACTTCTGGCGGGCCTGCTCGATAGCCTTGCCAACTTCCTTTCCGACTGTCTTGGGCTTGATAATGTCATCGGAGCGGTCGACCTTGGTCAGACGCTGGCCTTCGCTGCCACCACCGGTCTGGTAATATGGTTAGTTTCGCTTTCTACAGGCAATTGCTATCAATCTGGATGGCTAATTGACATACTGAGTTGGTGCTGGCATATTTCTTTTCTGTGCTGATGGCAGCGCCGGATCTCGCGGCAGCGTTCAGCGCACTCTTTCCACGAATGACGGTCTCGCGGTCCGAGGCACCAGCACCGCGAACGCGGCTTCCAATCTTGGTGGCGGAATCCCAATCTTCAGACATGGTGGTTGATTAAGATGGTGTTGAAGCGGTCAAAAAAGCTGTCGTGGTCTTTGATATGATCGCGTCGGGTATATATAAGAGCGATAAATTCAATGGATAAATTCAATGGATTGGTATATGGATGAGCAAAGTCTGGAGATGGGGCGACTGCCGGCAATATATCCCTGGAGCAACGTGTGAGATGGAGAGTGGAAGAAGGGCTGCTAATCTGACTCAACCGGCAAGACAGATTTAGTCGACGGCGCCTCCGTGGGGCTTTTCGCGCATCGCCCTTGCCATGGAAGGTGCTAGAGTACCCCGGCTTACCTAATGGCGTCGATTGGCTGTGAATGACGGCATCGACATGGCCATGACTAAGGGCGTCTGCCGAATAGCGAGCGTACTTGGAGAGCAACGCTGAGAGACACCTTGATGGGCAGTTGGCCTTTCAGAGGTAATTCCCATCATTTCTTGCTCAAACCCCTCTTCACGATATTTTCCTTCGTTGTGTGAGTCTGTACCATCACGACGCAGCCCGTTGTTTTGCAATTGAGCAAGCAGCATGGAGAATATCACCTGAAAAGGCATCTCTATTACAGGACTGGTCACCACTGCTATTTCTCCGTCTCATTGATTGGACATCTTTATGCATCTCAGTGCCTGCCGCTACTTTGGTAGCGTCCCTTTTTCTAGAGGCTGATTATGGCTCTAGAACATATTCCTTTCGCAGTCTGGCCTGTTCCAAGGACGACATAACCACCCATCATGGACGGCTTGGCCGATGATTCACCGTTCAACGCTGTTATAGTAGCCGCAGATTGGATTGACAGAGTGCGAGAGAGCTACTGGCCAATTGTGTTACCAATTTTTATCCTCTTTCTTCATGTGGTAAATCGTTACTTGGACCGCACTCTTTTCTTTACATGTGCTGCTTGGAATCTACGCTCGTCGCTCTTATCAATGTGCTATAATCTGGCGCGTTCCAAATATACGCTTGCAACATTGACCCTGGCCTTTGCAATTTGGATAAGCTATCGATTCTTTGGGGCCGCACCAAGAGGAGCCAGCCAAGTTCTTGATGATTTGAAAACGGGTTACTTGATGCCATGCCGAGTAACGCACAAAAGAAAAATCCCGAAAACACATGCTTTTTCTTACTCATATCTGACTGTTGGCGTACTTGTGGGGTATAGAGGGTGTGTCAACGGCTTGATCTCCGTGGATGACCCAGATACCCCCACAACTTGGCTATCTGGTATTTGGCGTTTGAAGAATTGGTTCCGTGTGGACTCTAGCGATTACCTAGCAAGAGGTAGCAACAAGCTTGGACTTCGCGGTAAACTGGATGACTATCTGATATCTCAGGTATGTCAGAGGCGAGAAAATGACGAGCGAATGGAAGCTGACTGATACAGGGCGCGAATCCGGCCGACTATCCGTCTGCTTTTCTTGTTACTGCGCCAAAATTTCTAGGATATCAATTCAACCCGGTCTCATTTTGGTACTTGTATTCTCCTGATAACGTACTTTCTGCTATCGTTCTGGAGGTGAACAACACTTTTGGCGAGCGAAGACCATACTTGGTCTTTCGTGACACCGCAGAAGACGCGACACGAATCTCTGCCCCTGGGACTGCCCATTCGAAGCCTCCCGATACGCAGATAGAGGCTTCATGGAGGAAGGATTTCCATGTTTCTCCGTTCAACTCTCGCAATGGCTCTTATTCTTTGTTGGCTAGGGATCCATTCAAAAATAGTTTGAGAAGCTTCTGTGGCATCGATATTACCATTAATCTCACCTCATCAAAGGGGCAGCCAAAGCTCTTTGCCCAGCTGCGCTCAGAAGGCGACGCTATCATGGCTTCACAGATGAGCCCATTGGCCAAGATGAAATTTATTCTCACATGGTTTTGGGTTGGATTTTTAACATTCCCCAGAATCGTCAAGGAAGCAAGTTCCTTATTCTTTTCCCATCAACTGCATGTTTGGTACCGACCGGAGCCATTGAAAGACAGTCTTGGTAGGTTGGCAGATGATACTGAGAGGAGACTGGAGCCGATTTTTCGCCAATATCTACGTTTTCTTGTCGAGCAATCGCCAAATCCGCTGACTGTGAAATACGTGCCGAGCGGGATCCTTGAAAGTGGAGAAGAAACCTTCATTTCTTCCAAAGCGCCTCGTCAATCAGAGCAAGCACAGTACATGGAGATCCGTATCTTGACACCTGTCTTCTACTCTCGATTTGTTCACTACGCCCATGACTTCGAAGCCATGTTCAGCGAATTGGCTGAAAATCATACTATCTGGGTTGATGAGCCTGAACTATTACCCAAACTCTTTTTGAAGCAGCAGCCTCCACCACTAAATGTATCGAATTTCGGGGATTTTGTGTACTTCAAGCTGATACAAGAGTTGCGACGTCGACCAGCAAGGATTGTGCGCCCGATGACGTCCGCTGACAGAGCTAAACCCGCGATAAATGCAGAAGACGTTCGAAGATTTCGAATTTCTCCCATGGATGCATTCGTTCTTGGGCACTCGAGTGAAGAAACTCGAGGCTCATATCGGACTCTACTCGTCCGAATATTCCTAGCCGACCGGCTTTTCTTTGGAATGACCGAGATTGTCTACGCATTAGAGTTGATCGGGCGTTTTGGCGTGGCCTGGTGGTTGGCATCCTTCTTCTCGCCGCCAAAGGATGTCACTATTGGCACTTAGCGCTGCATATAAGGATTTAGATGCAGAAGCTTCTCGGGCCAACGTCTCGGGGCATCTGAGGCTTATTACGTATCTTGTCTATATTCAGCTGGCCGGCTTCCACATACTTTGCCTCCGCGTATAATACGCGGAAACATCTATCCGTCGGAAGGTATTTACTAATTCTACCGCCTCTGTTTTATGCTACACGAGTCGCACTCTATGGAAAATAGTAGCAAGGCTGACGTTGTAATAGCTAGGATCATAGCAAAGGCCCGCAAAATGATTTGAGTTTCTGATCTACCGAGGAGAGTCCCGCAAGAGTCAGCACATGGCTAGCCGTGCGGCAAAATCCAGCAGAGATGCAATAGCCGCATCTAACAAGACAAGCATGATACAATGGGCGGCGAAATCAAAGGCACCAGCGTAACGACCGAGCGGGCCCGCCTGCAGCTCATTCCAAATTCTAACAATTTGAGGTGTTTTGTCTATTCGATATGCTGCATCGGCTGGAGTCTAGGAGCCACTTTTCGATCTAAACAGCTCATGACAAATAGCTGCAGCCAATGGGTGGCGAGACCCGTGGCTATATTGCTTGCAGCGACATCCAACGGGGAATAGTGCATAGTACTGCGTGCCGGGCAGCTGATGGTACTTTGCTCCAATCTTAGCTGATCAAACTGAGAAGACGGTATTTGAGTTTCGGAATGCAGATGCCCTGGACCGGCTCGGGCGTCAGATAGGCTATCTTCTCCAATGACGGGGATTTTGGAAGAATACCGCATTACCCCCGAATATGTATATCGAAAAACAAAAACCTTGGCTGAGAGAGAAAAAAAGATATAAAGGCCAATGATTCTCTCTCCAATATGCATCTCCAATCCTTCCAGCTAAGCTTCAACCAACGAGCCACCAGCAATAGCTCCACGTCACAACCCTGATTGAATCCCACGTCATCGACAGCGCCGTGCCTCAAACAGCCCCGCCAAAAGCTGAAATTACATTTCGGTATGCTCCAACCACCAATTGCGAAATCCCCCGCCAATCTAGTTGCGAAGCTTGTAATAGCTCTCCTCTCCAAGGAGCTATATATCTTTGCCTTTATCCATCTTTACCAAACTTTTACACCTTCATTGACGTCTCTAACAACTCTTTCTGCATTAGAAAAATAACCAGTTACTTCCCAAGAACTATACATAACCTCCAATCACCATGCCTCTCACCGGACACTGCCTCTGCAAAGCCGTCACCTACACGGCCGACGTCGACGCACCCCTCGTTACCGGCTACGATCACTGCGACGACTGCCAACGCCAGACTGGCTCAACCTACTGTATGCAGACACTTGCCTTTGGAAACATCGTGTTGAAGTTTACATGGACATAATTGCTGACTCAATTCCTGCCAGCTCTCGTCGCCGTCGTCCCCAAAGACAAGCTGACCATCAACGGCCCCGTCAAGACGTGGACCGGCACGGCCGCCTCCGGAAACAAAGTCGACCGACTCTTCTGCTCCGAGTGCGGCTCTCCCATTGCCCACGACCCTTCAGCTGCCCCGGAAATCATTGTCCTCAAGGCTGGCACTCTCGACACCGAGATTAAGAAGAACTTGAAGCCTGTGAGTTTTAATCACCCTTGAGTCTCGAGAATATCTGTTTCTAACCTACCATAAATAGGACACTGAAATCTGGACCGCCGGCAAACTGCCTTTCTGCCAGGAGCATCTGGCCAAGCCTTTCAAGTTCATGCCAGAGTAACTAGTTCAAGGCGAAAAATAAAATCTAATAATGTAATTATAAACGTATACTTGTTCATAGGCATAAAAGCACAATTTTTGGCGAATTGATTCCACTGTACACTGGTGCGGATTCACTTTATCTACCCATGTAGGTACTGATACTGCATCATATAACCACGGCCCACGTGTAGATCATGAAAATGAAAGTGCATTACTCATACTCGATTACTAGAATGCCTTTGAAGGCGTTATGATACAATTGAAGCCCATCCCATTTGCCAGTCAACGCCTAACCTGCATATCCCAATGTTCCCCCAATGATCTTTCTGTTACAATACACCTATGACAATAGCGCCAGCAATCGCAACGGCTAACCCAGACTTCCCGAATGAAGAAGAGGAAACGGCGCCAGATGATTCATGATCAGAGAATGGAGCTGACTCAGGATTCTCCCCCGGAAGTAGCCACTCGAGGGTTGTAACAATTGGCTCCAAGCTGTTGGTCAATGTGAATGAGTTGGTTGGCAGAAAAGGAAGGGTTGGATCGATTGTAATCGATGGATCGATAGGTACAGCGGTGTTGGTTTGTTGCACATCGAAGCCATCAATGCAAGTCTTCTGAGGCTCTGCAGCCCCTGCAGCGGGAGCGGCGGTTTGGTTGAAGGCCCAAGGACCTTGTGACGCGATTGCGGTTTGGTTCACGCCCATGAATGTTTCGACTGGTGAGCCATCGCTGCTGGTGGGCGTGGGAATCACAGTGCCCGCTTCAACCGGTGTAGACAAGGTTGAGACAGCTGCGGCTGTTGGAGTCCCAGTGCACAAAGCTTTTGATGCCGCATCCAGGATCTTGCTCCAGTACTCATCGTTCTCGCCATGAAAGCCATGCTCCAAGAGACACTTCTGGCACTCATTCCAGGCAGAGAAAGTGGTTCCCTTGCAGTGACATTCTTCGTGAGCCTTGGCATAGTTGGGCTCATTGGCCTCAAAGTGGCATGTGTTGTCTCTGAAGATGACTTCAACACATGGAAGAGTAAAGTCGTTTCCTGGCTGAGGTGTCACGCTGTCAACCCGACAGACATCTGAATGGTTAGAGACGCCAAACTCGCTTTCAGAGCAAACAACGGCGGCGGATGCAGAGACGGTAGTCATCAGAGCTGCTGCAGCGGCAGCAAGAATGGTGGCGGCGTGATATTTCATGGTGAATATGTCTGAATAGAAGCTGAGTCTATGATGAATGATGATGCTTTGGCCCTGGTGAAGTCCAAAAAAAGCAAATAGAAAAGAAATTCTGTATGTAAACAAAAGAGCACGGCGAGCAATACTGGGATGGATAAACTTGAGAGTTGAAAAGAATTAAGTTGGAGGCTGAGCAAAGAAGAAGACACGGGCAGCCTGCGTGTCTCTTTCCTGCTGTGTGATGAACCTTGTCGCTAAGTGACTGTTCCTCCCTGTTTGGAGCTTATCTGGAAACCTGGAAACTGCACTTTGAGAGGTTGCAACAGCGCGTGAATTGCATAACGGGAAGCGACAAACCGCAGACAAAGAGTTACAACGAATGACTCAAGGTCGAGACTACGCAAGGCATTGGTAGCTATGAGCTTGTTGGTGTTTGAAACCAATGTTGCCATTAATCTAGTACATCTATAAAGGTAGATCAACATTAAATAAAGAAACAGTCATATATCCGTTACGCCGTATGGCTCGTTACATGCCGAATAAGTAGCAGTAGAAACAAAAGAGAACTAACCCCCCTCTCATTCCATCACTATAATGCACCCAAGAGAAGGAGGAGCGATCCAGTGATGCCACCCATAACCAGCAGGCTGCTGCTCAAAACAGCCGAAGAAGCTGCATTCTTACTTGGAGCTTCCGGCTCTTGCTTCTGTACGGAGTTGGTCTCTGAGGCAGCAGAAGTGAAGCAGCTTGCTGTGCCGCATTTGTACCCGCTGGGACAGCATCCAGCCACGGATCCTGCATCCTTTCCACACAAGAACCAGCCGCCTGCACACTTATCCGATGCCGTCGCGGTGGGCACGTCGTCTGCAGGGACAACCACGGTGACGCCATGGGAGATGATTGTCGAGGATGACGCCGGGCAGGAGAACGTCTGGCAATCGCGGTCGGTGCGGCAGCAACCGCCTCCATGAGTGGCCAGGCAACCATAGAAGCCGGTTGGACAGCCACTTTGAGTTTCGCCTGACTGGGTTGTCATGGGCGCCGAGGAGGTTGAAGTGGAAGTAGAAGAGGTGGAAGTAGCGTCTGTCGGTCTGTATGGCGGCGCTCCCGTTGCGGTCTCGGTTCCAGGGCCTGTGGCTGTTACTGTCAACGTTTGCGTGACCGGAGGAGGGATTGATGTTTCAGTGACGACGAGAGTCACTATCACGGTTGATGGATTACCTGTTGCGGCGGTTGAATGAGTCGGGGGCGTGGTTTGAGGCGGCGGTGCCGTTGACGACGGAAAGCTAGATGCTGCAGCACTAGGAACGCCTACACATATTCTTCGCATGAGTCTTGGTCGCACGTCAAGCAAACGACGGACTGGATTTGCTCTTCACTCACATCCAACGCCTACGCAGACATATCCCGGAATACAGCAGCCGCCACCAAGCGCGGATGGGCAGCTCACAGCATTTGAGGGACAGGCACCAACGCCTCCTCCGCAGGTAGCGCCATTGGGACAACATGCAATTTGCTCAGCGTCGGAATCGGATACGTTTGTGCAGTATGACCCATCCGCGCAGCATTTATCTGGGGAGCCAATGCCTGAGCAACTCTCTGTTCCCGAGGGACATGCCGCCCTGTTCTGGAGAATCGCCAAGACATCTGCGGCCCGTTTCAGCAAGTCCTCTTCAGCTTCTTGAAAGTGGTATGCGAAGGCGGGATGGTATCGCTTCGTCAAATTGCTGGAGCTGGCATCTTTATCCTCTTGGTCATCAAGCCAAAGGTTCGTGGGGACGGTCGTCTCGAACGGGTTCAACGCTGGGAGCGGCTCAAAAGCTAGGTGGTCAGGAAATAACTTTTCGTTGGCGTCTGGCAACTGTTTCTTGATAGCAGTGGCCAATGGTTGATTTGCCGCCACTTCTGCGACCAGGGCGAGAATCGTTGTCGGTAAGAGAAGCATCTTCGGAATAGAGGCCATCGTAGGGGGGCGATCAGAGCCTCTTGTTGCGTCGGCGAGATGAGGCCTCAATTGAAGAGCGCAGATGGAGAGGCAAAGAGTTCAAGTCAGAAGCACATGCGCATGTGAGAAATTGAGCCTTGTCAGCTGCTACAGCAGTCAAAAGAAACTAACGACCCATGCACGACCAACTGATCCCGGCTCGCCTCCAGCTGTGATGCTGGCGCCAATGCATCAATACAAACAAGCTGGTGGCTGGGGTAACCGCCTTAGCTCGCGCTTTAGTGGGCCGCTGCAGCTCAGCTGTGCCTGGCTCAGAACAGAGGTGACAATAATTTCTCATGCAGATTATCATCAATGATGGCATAAATATCACAATCAAGACTCTTCGAAATATACTTGTATTGCCTTGTTATTATCTTAATGATATGGTGCTGCCAAGAGTGTACAAGTGTCTAGTGTGGCTCTGCCATCACCAGCTGAATTTGACCAGGTAGCGTCTATGGATACATCGTAATCTTACAGGTCGCCGAAAGTTCTATATACATACATGTCATATACAGTCATTATACTCGTTCTATATAATATCCCTTTCAAAACATAGTTTCCTTCTCGTCTTTTCCAGTTTCCAGCTCGGGATGCGATGGCGTCTCTTCCTGAGTCTTAGTAGGCGTTGACGCTGTAATAGACGGCGTCCTCACAAAGGAGTGGCATAACAAGCCGGCAGCAACACTGACATTCAGGCTGTCCACGCTGCTATTGCGCACAAAATATGGCACTGACAGCTCATAGTCGGCTGCTACCTTGATTGGTTTAGACAGGCCATATCCTTCGTTGCCCAAGACCAGTATACAAGGATGACTGGCCAGCGGCTGTTGTTCCTCAACGTTGGCAGTGGAGATGAATTTGTCGTGTCTTTGCATGAGTTTGGGGTCGGGCGGTGCGACGGCAGCGTATGTCTTCCATCCTGCTTTTTTAGATTCCTCTATAAAGCTAATGGGCGAATCGACGCTGAATATCGTAATCTCTTCCACGGCACCGGCCGCGGACTTGAGTACAACCGGAGTCAAGGTGGATGAGCTGCGATTTGTGATGCCCACTGCATCGACACCAAGGTAGCTTGCTGTTCGCAGAATGCCCCCCAAGTTGCCCGGATCTAGAATCTCATTGAGCAAAAGGACAAAGGGTTTTGGTGCATTGTCGTTCTTTCGGGGTATAAACGTGTCTTGCCCGTTGATCGATTCCTCTTCCTTTGATTGGTAGTCTAGTTCGACATGGAAGCCTAGCTTCCCCGGCGTTTCTTCGAGTCTGCTTAATGATTTCACCGGTAATCGAGGCAGCGGCGACGTCTCTAGAACAAAGCCGTTGTGCGGCCGACCCATGCTCATCTTGTCCATTAATCTCTGGTCTTCGTTTGGGATGATCGTGATCGGGACGCCCCGTCTCTCCGCTAATCGAGTAATGATTGCATTGTCTTTTGAATCCTTTCGGTTTTCGCCTCCATATATGAAGAGTTTATATAATTTTCGCCTTCCTTGCTCAAGTGCGGCTTTCACGACGGATTTGCCGTACAGAAATTGCGAGGCGGCGGTCGTGTACTTGATATTCATGGACATCATCTGATTTCTCCTCTCACGAGGCAGCGGTGATTCTACATCTCCATGAAAGTCACTGGTGCGATCATCTTGACTTCGAATAGATGACCGTGGCCGTTCCGAACGCTCTGTAGGCCGAGCACGTTCTGTAGGCCAAGAACGCTCCATAGGTCGAGAACGCTCTGTAGGCCAAGAACGCTCTGTAGGCCGAGAACGCTCTGTAGGCCGAGAGGATTCCGTTCTGCGCCGGGGGCTGTTTTCCAGCCTCTGAAAGGGCAGCGGTCGCACTGGCTCTTGAACAAGAGCAGCAGCCTGATCCTTTAACGCTCCATGCTTGAGTTGGTAAACCAAGCTTTTCTTCCCATACTCGAACTCGGGATTGAGAAAGCGCTTGCGCCTCGTCTGTTTGCCGGATTCCTCCTCGTCTTCCTCGAGTTCCTTCCGGCCAAGCTTCTTGCGTAATTTCTGCTGTTGTCGAGGTGAAGCTGCACCTTCGAGCGCCCTTCTAGTTAGCCCACCACTTCTACCATTGAACGAAGAGTCTCGATCTCTGGACCGGTCTCCGAATTGGACTCTGTCGGATCGCCGCACTCCTCGGTGGATAGCAGAGAGGCTTGCAGGTCGACTTGTCTGCAAAACATAAGCACTGGGCTTGTACATGCAAAGGAATAGTTGGCGCGATAGCCCCTTGGGCCTTAGTTGCCCAAGAGACAACATCATTGGGATAGAAGAATAATAATTGAGCAGTGGTAGTTGTATTGCAGCTAAACCAACCACTCTAACGAGCTCACTAGGTTGACATGTTTTTTTTTCTGCCGCAGATCGTGGGGGACAATTACAGGGTCCTTGGAAGGCGGTGAGCCCTGATAAGCAGCTAGTTCCCTTCACTAAGCCCATTCCAGCGATTAGACCACCGCGTTGTGGCTACGGCCCGCGTCTAAGGCCTTCCAGAGCTGCAGGACGATCTAAATCGTGTGGTTTAGATCATTTGAACATTTGCGACTGTTGGTTCCATGGCACCGATTCTGTATATATCGGCTTGTATAGATGCATACCGATAGCGCTATGCGCTTGAGTTTACAAGGTACGGGGTTTTCACTTCACTTTGCGTTGATTGTCTTATCAGCGGGCGCTGGCATTCTTCCTGTTGCCCAAAACACAGCAGAACAGCTTCTGTTAACCAGAAACTCTAGATGAACGAATCAAGTGTCCTCCAAGACCTGTTTGAGCCGAACGAGGAGAAGAGCCATGACGATGTTCCCGCACTAGGCCTTCCGATCTACGATATGGGCGACCTGGGCGATCTTGCGCTGCTAAAGGCGGCGTTGGATGGAGAACAAGAGATGGCTGTTGATGAGGCTGAGGCTGAGGCTAGCGAGATGCCCTTGGACGACAGCCGCGATCCGACGCCCGATTTTACAATTCAAATCGACTCCGATACAGATACGTCGAGTAGCGAAATGCAGGTGGATGTTGCGCCGGCAACGCGGATTGAAGTCGCGATTCCAGAACTCTCTGCCGAGAGACGAATTGAGTACTCGGCAGTACATAGCATGGTCGTCGAACGGCTTGCGGCCTGTCGCGAATATCGCAACGACTACATCGAGTACGATTTAGAGTTTACAGACGGCAGAATCCAGACGGTACGTTTAGAGCAATCTGTCTATCCACACCTTGAGTATCGCTCTCGAATTCTCAGAGCTACAGTCCCCTTGGGTTGAGATGCTCCCCTGCTCGCGACCCACACTCACAATGCGCTGCTTCTACCTAATAACCACTACTTTCTCACCGGCGCTTCTCCTGGTTGAAGCTAAGCACTACCGCCGTTTCTCTGTCTCTCTTACACTGCATTTTCCTTCAACTCTTCATCGCTGCATTAAATGGGCCGGACCCACAGCATATAACGCTACCCACCAACCGCGCCATGTGTTTTTCTTGACTTCTACAATGTCTATTTTCATCCTCATTGATATAGTCTATTCATATTAACACATTTGAAGTTCGACATTACAGGCCTTCTTCAGCAAATCAACGGCGAACAGGTCTTACGGCGTTGGCACGAGGGTTCTGACATGAGCCCCGCTGATAACAAGCGAAAATACGTCCCTGATGAGGAGGAATGGGATTCCGAACTGAATGATGCCGCCTCTGACGCCAAAGCATCAGAAGTAGAAAACGACGATGAAATTTCCGATGATGAGCCCACGTTACATCGCAGTCGCACGCTGCGCTCGCGGCAAGAGAGCAATCGGCCAAGCTATGCTGGCGGCTCATTTGAATCCGAGGGCGAGGATGAGGACGGGTCAATCGAAGCTAACCAGCCATCGCGCCGCCTCCGACAGCGGAAATCAACACAGCTGAAACTGACCAACATGTCTTTGAATTCAAGCATCCTGGATCAGGACCAAGACGAACTGGCACTTGAATCTCGCCAAACATCAGAGGAAACTGACAACTTCATGCCTATTGTATCTGACCTCGCAACAAAAAAGGGCCGTCCCAACAATCGATCTGCAAAGCGTTCTCGCCGGATCAAGAAGCAAAATGAAAGAAGCGCCATATTGTCTCGCAAAGTATTGGATGATTCTGATATTGAATTTGAGCAGCCTCGGCGGTCTGCGAGAGCCACAAGGAACCAGACGAGCATGGATGACGACGCTTTCATGGACGACGACTCGTTTTATGTGATTGATGACAAAGCAGCCGCTGCACCAAAGATTATCTCCGTCAGAGAGGTTTTCCAGCCAATATCTCCAGACTCTGATTTCGGTTCTGCACATATGCAGCAATGCCATACCTGCGGAGGCTCGAAGCAGCGGGGCCAGCTGCTGCATTGCCAAGGATGCTCTTTAACGTACCACAAGAATTGCATTGGATACCGGAGCAACCGTGAGCATATGGCTACCAAAATCGGAGACGATGACTTTGTGCTACAATGCAGATTCTGTCTTAACACTCATTTGAAGAAGGATCGCAGTGCGCCCAGGCACAGCGCGTGCCAGAGCTGCAAAAAGGATGGTCGAGCCTGCGCGCCATTCTCACAGAAAAAGACCGCTCGGCAAGAAGAAAAACTTCGTGAAGAGAATGGCGGTATCGACCCAGTTACCCCCGTCTCTCCTGAACTTATCAATAACTCTGATAATGTTCTTTTTCGGTGCACTACTTGTCATCGAGGCTGGCATCAAGAGCATCTGCAATCCTCTGGAGACGACTCTGTTGGAACCGATATTAAACCCGAGCGCCTAAAGGATTACTCCCCTGATTGGCAGTGCAATGATTGCAGCTCTGTTGAGAGCAAAATACATCGCCTGGTGGCATGGCGACCTTACACTCAGCAAACGCCCCTCCCTGCATACGAAGATGTCAGTGAAGATCAGAGAGAATATCTTGTCAAGTGGCACGAGGCTTCATTTGCGCATTGCTCATGGGTCTCTGGATCATGGTTATTTGGTGTTGCCGCCGGCACTATGCGGACCTCGTTTGCAAAACGCGCAGCTGAGCAGAATCTTCTTAAATTTAGCAGTGATGAAGCTATTCCAGACGAATTCATCACTCCCGATCTCATTTTCGACGTCAAATTAGCCAGCTCGGGTTCTCGAAACAGATCAAAAGAAGAGGATCTTGCCAATATCTCTCAAGTCAAGAGTATACTAGTCAAGTTCCACGGCCTTGGCTATGATGATGTTGTATGGGATTCTCCGCCTAGTCAAGATAAACCTCGGCTTTACAGCGCCTTTGTAGAAGCATATCGCGGATACATAGAGGGCAAACACTTTCGTAACGAGCCTTCTTCAAAGATCAGAGAACGTATCAGAGAGTATAAGAATAGCCCATTCAAAGAAGTGGACACGCAGCCTGTTGGCCTTAAACGAGGAAAGCTCATGGGCTACCAGATTGAAGGCCTCAACTGGCTGCTGCAGAACTTTCACCAAAGCCGAAGCATTGTCCTTGCAGATGAAATGGGACTGGGTAAGACAGTCCAGGTTGTTGGTCTTGTAACTTACTTAATTCAAGATACACCAAGGGTAAGTGAATGCCTTTGTATGTGCTGCATTGATTTGTTCAGACTCTCTAACATGTAAAAGTGCTGGCCCTTTCTCATCGTGGTTCCGAATGCCACCTGCTCCAACTGGCGTCGAGAGTTCAAGCAATGGGCCCCAGGTGTCAGAGTCGTCGCTTATTACGGAGGCAGGGAACCTCAAGATATTGCCTACAAATATGAGCTGTTTCCAAATGGCAATACCGAAATGAAGGCTCAAGTTGTCATCATGTCTTATGACTCCGCGCAGGATCCACGAACGGTATCACTTTTCAAGTCCGCCAATTGGGCGAGTCTGGTTGTGGATGAAGGCCAGCGGCTGAAAAATGATCAAAATCTTCTTTACACTGCCTTGAAGTCCATGAAAATACCTTTCCGGCTGCTTCTTACCGGTACACCGCTGCAGAATAACAAAAGAGAGCTGTTTAACCTTTTACAGTTCATCGACGAAAAACAAAATGCAGAAAAACTGGACGAAGAATATGCAATCCTAGACAAAGATACTCTTCCCAAGCTGCACGAAAAGATCCGGCCGTATTTCTTGCGCAGAACAAAGCTTGGCGTCCTCAAGTTTCTTCCCCCTATGGCACAGATTATCCTACCTGTTACTATGACGGTTATCCAAGAAAAGCTCTCAAAGAGTATCATGGCAAAGAATCCCCAGCTCATTCGAGCTGTGTTTGCAAACAGTAAAATGAACGCAAAAGATCGTGGCAGCTTGAACAATATCTTGATGCAGCTGCGCAAATGCTTATGCCATCCGTTCATGTATTCCGAAGCTATTGAGGAGCGTCACCACGACCCAATGGTACTTCATCGCAATTTGGTAGAGGCATCAGCCAAGCTTCTGCTGTTGGAAATCATGTTGCCCAAATTAAAGGAACGGGGTCACCGTGTCCTGATATTTAGCCAATTCCTGCAACAACTTGACATAATCGAAGATTTTCTTAATGGGGTTGGTTATGGATATCGTCGCCTGGATGGATCAATTTCCAGCTTGGAGAAGCAGCGACGTATTGACGCCTTTAACGAGCCAGGCTCTGAACTGTTTGCCTTTTTGTTATCGACCAGAGCTGGTGGTGTTGGAATCAATCTCGCAACGGCAGATACTGTCATTATAATGGACCCTGATTTCAATCCCCATCAGGATATCCAAGCTCTATCTCGTGCTCATCGTATTGGCCAGAAGAACAAGGTCTTGTGTTTTCAGCTCATGACTAAAGATTCGGTCGAAGAGCGAATCATGGAAATTGGGCGCAAGAAAATGGCACTGGATCATGCGCTCATTGAGAGTATGGACGACGAGGAACTGGAGGGTGCTGACTTGGAATCGATATTGAAACATGGTGCTCAAGCGTTATTTGACGAAGGATATGAAAAGACTGCTATCCAATACGATTCAGCATCTGTTGATAAGCTCTTGGATCGTTCTCAAATGGAGAAGACCGCGGCAAACGATGACAACTCTGCCGAAAGCCAGTTTAACTTTGCTCGTGTATGGGCCAACGACAAGGGTGGCTTTGAGGAGAGAACAGATACTGGCGAAGAACTAGCACCAGAACCTATCAGTTCTAGCGTCTGGGACCGAATTCTTGCTGAAAGAGAGGAGGAAGCCAGGCGGGAGGCAGAGGCCAATAAAGAAGTCCTAGGGCGTGGCGCGAGACGTCGAATGGTATGATGACCAACCTTCAAGCGACTGATGTACAAACTAACGACTAACGATTGTACTCTTAGGCCGTGAATTACGGAGCCAAAGGCACCGAGCAATTTGTGGCTGGCGATGTGGGTGCTGATTCTTCGGACTCATCTGACGACTTTGATGTTGCAAATGCTCCCGAAGAGTCTGATGACGATGTAGATTTAGATGCGTCAACAGGAGGTAAGTGGGAAGAATGGTGGCCCTCCAAAACAATGACGGACAGTAAAGTTAACAAGACATCTTTAGCCGAGCGAGAAGTCGAATTTTTATCGATGCAAAAAGTCGGTTCCAAAAAGGGCCGAGGCCTTGCCTTTGCTACCCAACCGCTCATGACTACCCAGCCGCTCATGAATGTGCCACCAGCGGCGCCAATACCAGGCGTAGGTGCGCCTATACAGATGCAGATGGGCCCTCGTAAGAGAGGCAGACCCCGAAAGTCACTTGTCGACCCCAACGGCAATGTTATAAATAATGGCCCAGCAAGAAAGTATGGCCCAGCAATAAAGCATGGCCCAGCAATTAAACATGGCCCAGCAATAAAGCAGTCCGCTACCCCTGCCTTGGCTTATAAAACAGGCTACGGCAATGGCAGTGAAGTTACAGGCGAAGAGGCCAGGCGCCAACAAACTCGCCAACACTACGAGCAGTATATCGCTTATCGCGGTCGAGGACCCCCCATCCAAGCGCAAGCGCAAACGCAAACGCAAGCGCCCACTGGGTTTGAATATGTGTCTCGCCTCACCTCTGAGGCGCAAGTCCGTGTGGCCTTGGATTACGTTGCACACACCCAGGGCAATGTGTCAATGAAAGAGCGACACATTGCTGCATTGTTTCACAGATTAGAAGAGGTGCGGATACAAGGCGGGATTGCGCAGAGTTGAAATGCTCACTCACCGCTAGTAAGCATGAGAAGAAGAGAGAAATGATTTTAATGACGGTATTGTTTTCTAGATTGGAAAACAAGAGTGAATAACCTGATGCCACCAAGGCGTGTACATGTATATAGTTTTAGCATTTAGCATCTTAGACATTGCCCCAGGGTGGGCGGCCACCCAGCATTAGCAGGCAAGAAGGGGGAAAAGCAAAGCTTGCCAATAGGAAAATTAAAGAACCTGACTAGATAAAATTGCCGGTACTATTCCCACCAGGCACGGGGCAGATACCAGCGGATGGTGGTGAATTCGCTGCAGGTAGCCGAGCCCTGACTTAATCTATGGACAGGGGTAAGATACAAACGGATGAGGCGAATAGCTTTGATGGCTGGGACTGGACTGTTGAGATAAAATCTTCCTCTCCTTTCTCTTCCTTCCTCCTCACTGTCATTGATACAAAACTCCCTTTCCTTTAGTGTTGAAGACTCTGGGTATTGTTGTCCATCCAGCACTGCTCTCCTGTCAATCGCCATCAGAACCCCTTTTTGCGTTATACTATCTACTACCATTGCCTCTCATCAATCTATTCCTCAATCTTCTCGCCCAATCTTCTTGTTTCCTCTGCTATTCAATTATTATAGCAATGGATCGCTCCAGTGGACTCGTCTCGAGACAGGGAAGCATATCCCACATGCCATGGCCCTCTGAGACGTCAGCATTTACATCCCATCTTCGACAGTGCTCTGCCGAGCCTGCTATGGAAAGGCAGCTGGGATTTGACCGCTCACATCCATCCCTCAGCAGCTATTTCCTCCAACTATCTGGCCAAGACGGCAGAGATGCTATTAGGGAGCCGCCGCAGCAAATGGTTTATCCTAACCAGCAGCAAATGAACAACATCGTGTCGATGAGTCCCGCAGCAGCTACTCCTGCATCTCGAGGCCTTGCCTCGAGTAACTGGCGTACTATTGGGCAAGAAGGAACCCCTTTCACGCGAGCACATCAGCGAGCCCAGCCAAGCCTGGGTCTCGCCATGGCATCGATGGAGCAAGGCGACGCAAGAGGAGCCGTGAGCGATGGATATGCGTATTACCTGAATCGCGGCGATGGACAGGTGACTAGGCTTATACCGGCCGATGTGCTGCCGTCTTTGAATGAGATCCCGCCGAGGGAGCTTGAGCAGCGAGGAATGATTGTCTTGCCATTGCCTCGAGGTATTCGGCCTAATGGAACTGCAGATGTGAATTATGCAGTGACAGTCAAGGTGAGCAAAGTTCTTCATGTTGCAAAAAAGAAAAAAAAAAGTCTTCTTTCGAAGAGGAAGCTGAGGCTTTCAGGCTCAGGCATCTCCATACCACACTCCTCGACGGTCATTAGAAGTCGTCCAGGTATGTCCTAATCGAGCCCTGACTCATCCTCTTCCTTCTTCAACATCACTCATCCATTTTGACCGAATCATATCGTTTGTGAAGCTCACGAATATCTTTCTTCCAGAACCAAATCGACCGCATCGTTGCCACAAACCCAAATGTGCACAAGAGGAACAAGGTATACTGCGACATGTGGATCCACGAGGGCCGATGTGCCTTTACCCAGACAGGATGCAAGTTCAAGCATGAGATGCCCCTGGACGAAGAAACCCAGAGAACCCTTGGGCTTTTCCAAGGCCTCCCCAGTTGGTTCAAGAAGCAGCAGGAGGAGTCGGCCATGAGAACGGCCCGTGAGAGTTCCAGTTCCAGTTGTGAGGCCTCACCTACGACTTCGTCGTCTCGAAGCTCGGATTTTGCTTGGCAGAATGTTGCGCTGGGTAGGATCCCCGGAACGGTGGACTCATTAATGGCGATGTCGCAAGATAACAGCAACAAGTTTGGTATGTTCAGGAGCGAGTCTTGGGGGAGTAAACATTTTGGCTTTGATACTGATTCATAGACTCTTGCAGATGCTATCCGCTCATCTCAAATGATAGATGTTCGCCCGGTTCCATTTTCTTGGGGCCCTATTGCGCGTCCGAAGGGGGCGGCGTCGAAAGACAGCCCAGCGGGAAGGGCTTTTGGAATACACGCGTAGGATCGCGAGGCCGCATCAATTTTTGCTTTGGAGTATCGTTGAGTGCAAAGTGTTTATGTTATAAGGAGATGGAAGACAAATAGAAGGGGTAGGTAGACAGCACAAGTTTGGTATTCGAAAGTTCATGTTTGGTATCGGATAATTGGGCAGGTTTTGAGAGAAAGTCTTAGTATCTATGTAGATTAGTAGTAGAGGCTATACCAGATTTCTTTCTTTCTTTTGTGATTTTGATGGCATGTTATGAAGTTACATATTCCAAGCGAAAAGTATATATGTGTTGAACATTTGATGAAAAAGACAAAACAGGCTGCTGAGAAGGACAAAAAAAGAACGAGTCAAAAATAGTGAGTGCGCGCAAAAAGAAAAATAGAATGCTCATAGCAGGGCTTGAACCTGCGACCTCCGCATTACCAACATTGGAGTCATTGGACTCGAAATATTAGTACGAAGCTCTAACCAACTGAGCTATACGAGCGATCTAATTGTGATAGCGAGTACGCCGAAATCATATTATAGAGCCTGCCTGCAAGTCTTACTTCTAGATTGCTAGATGACTAAGCTGGCTCATGGCTGCCTAGCTGGACTTGTCCTGTTTGATAGACTACTCGAAATCACTGTAACGATTATCATGGCTTTGCTGTAGCCTAACAAAGAATTAAAATGCCCCTCTGAAGCCTAACCGAGGGATTCACTACCCTGTTTCCGCTATGAAGCCCTAGCGACCAAAGACCAAGTGGTGGCCATCGTTCAGGGGCAGCCATCTTCAGAAGCCAATCTAGCAATATCCACAGATCTCATAGAGGACAATCTTGGAAGACCGTGGGCCGTTTTCTCCCAGTTTTCTCATCTCTTAGCCTATGATCAAGCCGCTTGAGAATCATGGACCTTTCACAACTCCCGGATGTGAGCAACTGGCTTGTCACAGCGGATAATCCAGCTCGCGATGGTATATCAGGCATGGACCATGAACGATGCGCAGCTCTGCACAATTACTTGTTACAGTACGCCTGGCTGGCTGAAGGCCGTTCGTTGGGCAGTCTGAGAAATAATTCCAACACCTTCTTCACCGTTCACGGTACTGCGGCCGAGCTTATTCGTACGCGGCTCAGCGTTTCTCTGGCGATGTTCCTTGATACCGCCAAGTTGCCTCCCGATGCTACCGAGTGGCTGCCATTCTTCTTCTGGGCCGGCGGGCTCTCCGACCCAGGCTCACTCATCGACGAAGGCCTGACCGACTTGTTCGACCAGCCAGAAGACAGCCTGGTGTGCTTGTACTTCCCCAACATCGGTCAGGGCGGTGAATCTGGCGGCGGCCTGCTCTACCACCAACGCCACCACCGGGCTGCCGTCTTCATGCACATGGACGACCTCGGCTTTGCGTTACCCGTGGAGGCCCACCGAGAGCTCTGGCATCCGCTCGAGACGGTGCTGTCCAACTGGATCGGCCTGATTCACCTTGGCAAGGTCGCAGCGTCGCCCAGGGACGAGCCGGCCCTGTATGACAGCGAGAAGATTGGCCCCTGGGAGTGGCGGCCCTACGGCGAAGCCCAAGTTAGGTCTTGCATCAGCGCGTGGAACCGCCTGTGCGAGGCCATCGAGGCGCGGATGCCATCACAGCCTCCGCCAGCCGCAGATCCAGGGCCTCTGCTGACACCCGCCGTCCTGGATGGAGCCTCTGTGCCTCAAGACTGCTTTTCGCGCTCGTTTCTCACCGCTGCTCGGCGGCCTCTGTTTAACTTCATTGCTCCCGGCCTTTTGCTGCCTCCGGCGGACACGTCTGCCTTTGCCGCAGTGCAACCCTTTTCAAAATTGTCTCGCGGCTGTCACACCATACCTTCTGTTTGCATTTTCCCTGCTGCCGGCGGTGAGGAGGTTGACTTGGCGGGATCGCCATATCTGTTTTCCACCGGCATTGATGACTCAGTGCCGTCTCGTGTTCTTGCTGGTGTGTACACCGAAGCAGTTGATAGGAATAATTACGATTATGCTGAGGAAGGATTTCGGATGTTGCTTCCGTACGGCTTCAGGGGTGACTGGGGTGACCATTTAGGCGCGCGGAAAAGCGATGGATCAACTATTGAAAGGAATAAGGGTACGGAGCTTTTCCAACACGGATACAAACCTTTTGGTGGTGACTACTACCGGGCTCAGCGGCTGGAACGCTTGCTTGAGAGTTGGTTCAGGCTTGTTGACAAAAGTATCTGGTCGGTTGGGCCACAAGGGGTAGAAGGCACCATTGATACTTTCAAGGAGGCTGATACAGAGCGGTGGAAGGACTATCTCATCCCGCCCACTTGGTGACACACTGCTAGTTCTATTTCCCCTTATTTTACTGCCTTGAAGTATTTCGGCTTCGGCGTATTCCGACCCGTGTACAAATTTTACCTTTACTGTGAGGGAATCAAGGAGATATGTAAGGACCCGAAAGGCTGGTCCTTGTGTTGACGCCATAAGGTCGTACAATGGGTGGTCAGCTTCTTACACGGTCAGTGAGTAACATGCAATGTGCTAATTACATGCTCCGACAATAGATAATCACCTTGGAGATAATCTAATGCAATGTAAAATTCTCTAAATGAACTACGCCATGAGAGTACGGAAGAGGCAGGATATGTTCAGCTCCGTAATTTGAGCGGCAGCGATGCATATGGCCAAGTACAGGCGAGGTTAGTCCTCTGCGAAGGATTACATCTACCAATTATAGCATGACTTAGCCGCATTGTTTTGGAAGCAATAATACAGCGATTGAAGCTATGTATTAGAGCCTGGCATTCTCTAAGCCCCTAGAAGCTCTCACATCACTCACTCACCACTTCGGCCAAGCGAGGCGATCAGTTCGATGTTCATGTGGCACTTTCAAATCTTCCAAATACGATATGAAAAGAGTACTGTCACGCTTAACATTTATCGGCGAGGATATTTTGACAGGAGAAGCGTCACTGGAAATCGTCTTGGTCGGCAAAATGACGTCCTGGGTAGCATCTCGACAAACCACCCGTACCGAAGACAGAGCCTATTCACTTCTTAGAATTTTTGGCATCAATATGCGATTCCTTTACGGATAGGGAGAGAAAGCATTTTTGAGACTGCAAATGGAGATTCTGAAAGCTTCGACAGACCTATATTCGCCTGGATATCTGACGAGGATTCGGATACTCGTGTGCGATACTGTTCCATCCTTGCCACAGATCTTTTACGGTTCCGACAATGTCAATTTCTTGTGTCATCTGTCCATACAAAAAGATAAATGGGATTAAAAGAACGACAGCTTGACGTGACCGCGCAAGGCTTGAGAGCTGCTGGGTCTCTAGGAGGCTTCGACGAATGCTACCTTTTACCAATTGACTGTGCTACCTGCAACAACGATTTGGCCGATGGAAATTTGTGCGTGAAACAGAGGCAATATGGATCGAATCTCTGATTGAGCCATGGGACTTGATTTCTCTGCCACTTCCAAGCAATGCCTCGCGTCTCAATGGGCGCTTCGCAATCCATAGCTCACCAAAACACCGAGCTCCTGCAAAAGATGGTTATCAGAAGCTGGCAAAACTCTATTCAAATCAACTTAGATAAGAGGGTTCGGGTAAAATACCCGCCTCTTCAAAGTTGGGATGTACTGAATGGTCGACTGTTTAACGACGGATATCGGGGATCCTGGGGATATTGCAGACTATCGCTGCCCTCCTGCATTTCCAATCCCAGTGATACGTCTTTGAACGATGGCCAATATGTATAGGGAGTGTGGCCTAGGCTTCACTCGGAAGAAAGTGAGACAAAACTAGATATGAACTACCTATAAATAGAAACAGCTGAAATGATATGTCGCGCGTGAGACAGGGAGGCTATACATCTTCTGCTTCATTAACACTACTTTCAAGGTAACGACAGATTGCAGCCCAGACAGGGCAAAACAAGCATTTCCAGCTTGCGTCAATTATTTGCCTGAATACGGCGTCTTTTCAGTCGCACCTAGTAAGTGCACACCTCTCCACACCCACTTCAGTGTAAGTGTCACCGAATATGGCCCCCAACCGCGCATCCTTCGCATATCCTTGACATAGGCCTATTACCAGCTACCTATAATAGAACATGTACAGGCATCATATTTGCAGGGATATTCGTCTTGTCCTTGGGTAAACCCATGTATAAATAGGTAGGATTTGAAGTTCTCTTGATCCCCCAGTACCTGCATGCGATTTTAACAACATTTGCTCTGATATATACTTCTTACAGTCGGCTTGAATTCAGCTCTGTGAGCACAACCGTAATAATTACCGACTCTCTTCCATGGCTCTGGTACTGAACAACTCGCCGCAAGGAGAAAATCGGACAGCGGCGATTTACAGCGAAGGCACATTGGAATGGGACCTCAAACACAAACGATTACCGCCTCCGGGTATTCGCGTGCAGCGGCAAGATGCTCACTTTGGCATCCGCCAGAAGCCCAAGGACTTGTGGCGCAAAGCAAAAGGTGCCCTTATCACGTCAAGAAAAGAGCTGCAGATAGGGCCGCAGTTTCACTACAGCAAGCTTGGTACGGGAGAGATTCGGATTCTGAGTGTCCAGCCAGGGAAAGACGACGAGCCCCTAAAGGCCACCCTTTTCAAACGCAAATTGGAAGATGTGCGTAATGGATACGAGGCGCTGTCTTACACATGGGGGAATCCCAAAGAAAAGCCCCTGGATAAGATTATGATACGCGACCTGGACGCAGCGCTACCTCAAGCAGTAAGCATGAAGACGGTAGTCCAGGCTGCCGTCTTCAAAGGCTGGGGTGCACCTTTTTATATTCGAAGTAATCTGAATCGAGCACTCATGAGGCTGCGGAAAATGACTGATAGCCCTATCAATATCTGGGTAGATGCAATATGCATTGACCAGTCTGAGTCGGGGCACAGAGAAAAAGAAGAGCAATTGACCATGATGGCCCAAATCTACAACTATGCTTCCCATGTCTGCATCTGGCTGGGCGACGGCATTGCGCATGCAGATGGTGCCTTTGGCCTCGTCAGAGACATTATGAACTTTAAGAAATTCGATACAAAAGTTAAAAGCTCTGAGACTAAGGAAAATTGGATTCAACTCATTGAGGTTATGAAGGCCCCTTGGTTCAGTCGACGGTGGATCATTCAGGAAGTCGCTCTTTCAAAGAGCGCATCGTTACATTGCGCCGACCAGGTTGTCCATTGGGACGACTTTGCCGATGCTGTCTCGCTTTTACTAGAAAAGATTCATGTTTTGAGAACCAGGTTTGATGAAGAAATATTTGAAGACGTTGAAACAACAAGCGCTTCAATACTCATACAATGCCTGGACAATATTTGCCACAAGTCGTACACGGGAGACGTGTTGGCCAAACTACTAGATCTCGAAACTTTGGTCTCAACCCTTCTTGGTTTCCAAGCGACGTCGCCTCGAGACACCATCTACTCAGTCTTATCGCTGGCTAATGACCCTCCCGGCGAAGATGAGCCCTGGACCGAAATCCATTCTGAGCAACTCGAGAGTAACTGGAGAAATGACCACGAGATGCCATTAAGCCAAGATCAATTACGCGAGTTGAAAAGGAAAATCGCGTTGAAACCAAATTACGCCATCAGCACACGAGATGTTTTCATCGCATTTGTCACTCGTTCAATCTGTAAATCGAAAAGCCTAGACATCATCTGCCGGCACTGGGCACCCAATGTCACCGATGACGAGTTTTCAGAGAAGGTTCCCATGCCTTCGTGGATCTCAAACATATACAACGCACCGTTTGGCGGGCCGAATTCCTCGAAAGGGCGGCAGAATGGTGATAATTTTGTTGCATATCTTCCTCATGACCGACGGAAGCGATATAGGGCTTGCGGATCCTACTTGGCTGATGACTTTTCCATGGCTTTGGATCCATTCCTCCAATCCGCCGAAGGTCCATCTCTAAGAAAGAGCATGAATAGGAACAGAGCCCATAGCCTTCGGACGCAATTTCCTCTGCAGTCTTTTCCCTCACCTCGTCCCATCACGGTACTATCTCCGGTGGAAAACTGCTCACGTAAGTGAAAATAAGATGTCCTTCAGGGAAACTGCTGAGAGCTGACACTAGATATTTCTATCCTAGCCTTGATTGAACCATTTCCAGATTTACAAATTAGCACCGCAAATAGTTTGTCGACTCCGCCATCTCCAACGGCAGTAGAGGCTTCTTCGCTTTCAGAAACCAAGAGAGTCGGTGTAGCACCCGCCGTCACAGTTAGCGACCCCGCGGGGGGGACAACTGGCATAAGTCCGGCTTTAAAAGTTGAAATCCCACGATCTCCTCGAGTCAGTATCTCTGGAAACATCAAGTCCCGTCAAAGCTCTATCCGGGTTGTGTCATCGGATGTAGAGAGAAAGTATCAACTCAGCGGCGTGATTAAAGCCGGTGGAATCGTGCTTGGCAAGATCAAATACCAGTCCGATGTTATGCGAGGCGGCATCATCCCTGGCGAGTGGGTTACTCGGCTAGGCTGGAGGGCTGGAGAGAAACAGAACAAAGTCCCAGACACGCTCTGGCGACTGTTGGTGGCTGATCGCGCTGCTGGCGGTGGGAAACCGCCATCGTGGTATCAGCGGGCATGCTTGCACGGGCTGGTTGACCCTCGTGTATCTGACAACGAGGGCAATATCCATTCGGTCACGCCTCCGAACCGAAAGATTTCAGAGATGACGACGGAATACTTTCACCGCGTTGAAGCTGTGGTTTGGAACAGAAGATTGTTTGAAGCCGAGGCCAATGTCAGCCGTTTATCCAACGTCCAAGTTCTTACGCCAGAGACCAAGCAGGCAATGATCATTTTCCGCAAAGATATTCGCCTCGGGTCAGCATCAGGGCCTAAAAGTCTCTTTGGACTCGCATCTAAAGAAGCCGAGGACGGTGATTTGGTGTGCATTCTGTTTGGCTGTACAGTTCCTGTCATCCTAAGGCTTATAGAAGACTTGGGGCTTTATAAGCTGATTGGAGAAGCATATGTGCATGGTGTTATGGATGGCGAAGCGATGATCAGCAGCGAAGTGGTGGATGCGATGAAGGTAGATTTCCAAATATGCTAGGCAGATGTTTCGTCTCACTCAATGAAGCAGCCAATCCATATATAAAACTTGTTTGATTATTATATATAAAAGTAATAGTAATGGCAGCATTTCTGAATCAGCCACTCTCTTCCATAGCATCATCCACATCAAGCGACGAACCTTCCAATCCAAATTCGACAGGATTAACATCATCCTCGTCGATCCCATCCACAACAATCTGATAACTCTTTTTGTCCGAGCTTGCATCTTTATGAACAGATAGCAAACTTCCATCAGTATACTGCGCGTGTGTGACATCACCAGCGGGGGAGATCTTGATTCGCCGAAGTTGGAATGCAAAAACGACAGTATCTGATTTCCCTTGAGATTTCGTTACGCCTGATGCGCCTTCAAGGTCTAATTGAGGACGGACCGCGATTGGGGCTTGCGGCAATGGAGCATCGACGCCTAGGCTGAGATGAAGTTTGTTCTGCTTTGCGACTTTGATAGCTGAGGAAGCGCCTTCTGCAATCATGACACCAGTCACCATGTAGAGCTTGGTTCGCCTCAGCCAAGAATAATTTTGGGCGATGAACTCTTGCACCTCCATTTGCTGCAAACTCTGCTTTATGTAGTCATCGCTTGGTTTGAACCATTGTGTCTGTAAGTTACTGAAGGACCATGTCTCTTCGACGGCGGACGACGCTTTTCCTCCAATTTTGCTTTGAAGGAGTTGCTGAAACTTTACAAAGAGTCCGAGGGCAAAGCCTTTGGAAGCGTTCAAAGTGACGGCGCTATTAGCAGCATTGTGCAAGTATACTTGTTCCCCGGCGGAACCTGGAGAGACGGGTGGATTGTTTATAGGCTCTTGAACAAAACTTGGATCCTCAATTATGCTTCCAAGCCTTATTGGCCCTTCCGGAGGAATCGTTGTTATAGGTGAAAGGAAGTATGACTTGACTCGGGCCGAAGATAGATCCATCGTGACAACAAAATGGCAGTTGAGTTGATGCAAGGTATACGTGAAGATGACTTTGGATTACCCCTCAAAATCGATACCTAAAGGCGTCTATAAGGCAGATAAAGCATGATGCTTCTATGGTGGGTGGCCATACGCTCTCAATCAAATGGCCCCCACGTTTGTTTCACACCAGAAGTACCAGGTTATACCAAGTTACAGCGCAATCCTGAGGATGTGAAGCTGTCGATCATTTGGAAGCTCGCACACTTTGTAATTCTCGGCCTAAGGACATGAGGGCCAATCTAAACCCATGCAGTGCCTCGGTACTTTAGGGAAGCTGATACATTCACACCATCGATAGTCGTCATACAGCCTCGATTTTACTACGATATCCAATAGAATGAGTCCACGTCCCAGATCTCCAGGGGCCCCCATGCATGGTGATTCCTTTCGGTGTGATATTGCCTTTTAATGCAGAATCTATTGGCCACCTAGCGAGCCACAGCGTCTTGTATTGCATCGGGACACACACACATGGGGGATTAATCGCGCATCTTCTCAGGTCACTAGTAATGGCTAAAGATGCTAGAGGAAAAAATTTGGAAACTTGAATCATTTGATAAACTTCTTGACCATACCATTGGAAGTCAGCTTACTTCCAAGCCTTCATATTTGTATGCAACCGCCGCATAGGTAAGTAGTGCTCTGATGTATAACACTAGCTCTTCCGACAACATAAACCAGCTCTATGCGTCTATTGAGGAATTTGATGGTGATATTGATCGCCTGATTGATGACTGGGGGGTACTATATCCTTCGGTGAAAAGCCAATTAGAGACAGCGGATGAACTGAACTTGATGAATAGCTTTGCCGATATCTTACTTGAGAACGGAAAGCTTGAGTTGGCTACTTCAGTAGATGAGGATATTCAAGAGATATTGGAGTCCGATGCAGAAAACGAGTTGGACGAATGGAATCGCCATCGTTTTTACTCGCTCATAAATGGAAGATGGAGTGGCCAAGCAAACTCGGCGACGATAACCAACTCTAGCGGCTCACAGTACGTTGCGGCTTTCTCATGCCGAGATGAGACACCAAGGAGCTATAAACCAATAACAAATCCATCTCACTCGCAGTATAACGCTGCTTTCTCACGCAGAGATGAAATTCCAAGAAGCTGGGCGCCGAAAGCCACCCCAACGCCCGGCCCTCTTCAAGGGGTCGAATCATCTGAAAGAAGAGCAAATCAACGCCCTTTACCGGCTGAAGAGAGACTACAGCATAGATCCACAACAACCCACGCCAACGATATAACTCGGGGAGATACGTCTTTTGCGCCATTATTAGGACAGAGCCATGAACCATCTTTAGGATCTAAACAGTATGCCCCGTAATACACTACTAGAAAGATTTGGAGATCTAACATTAGCATAGACAGAGCCAAGCAGGCCTTTGGCAAACACATCTTCAGAATAAAACACACAAGTTCATGTATGGCAAAGACGAACAATTCTTTGGCACAAACGGCACCGGGGGCCCAGCGTACGAGCCTGTCAAAATCGCAGTCCTCGATTCAGACATTTCTCCCAAACATCTAAAGCCATTCAGAATGCGAATCAAAGCCAGAGAGAACTTTGCGGGCGGGCAACAGAATGCTGCCGACGCTGATCATGGCACGACAGTTGCTCAGTTGGTGCTCAAAGCGTGTCCAACAGCACATGTATACGTTGCTCAAGTCACCAAGCTGAATTCATTTGGCGAATCTGCCGTTGACGCTGAAGCCGCAGCAAAGGCAATTGAATACGCAGCTGATCCGACAGGCTGGGGAGTTGATATCATCACCATGTCGTTCGGCTGGACGCACGTCAACAAGCGCATTAGCGAGGCTCTTTCTTTTGCTAAACAGCATGGAGTCCTCATGTTTGCCTCGACGACAAATTACGGATTTGCCGAAACAAACAGCATTCTCTACCCAGGTCGCGCGCAAGAAGTAATCTGTGTAGACGCTGCAGAAGACACCGGGCAGTTGGCGGGCTTTGCCATTGAGGATATCATCCAAGGGCGCATCGAGAGATTCTCAGCCCCGGGCCTAGGTATAAAGAGTGCTATTTCAGGCGAATCAATGGATGGAAGCTCCTTTGCGTGTCCCCTGGCTGCAGGAATTGCGGCATTAGCACTCGAGTTTGCCAGACAAATCCCTTTATGCGGTAGCAAGAGTGTGCAAGAAGCAGTTCAGCAGCGCGAGGGCATGGTAAGAATTTTGAGGGAAATGTCAAAGCTAAACTCATCGTCGTCATCCAGGTTCCTTTGCCCGTGGGAGCTTTTGGGTGATGATGATGGACTTTACGGAGGCGATGGGCGGCCTGGCAGCGCAAGATATTTCGTTGCCTATCGCTTTGTCCGTCTTCTAAGGCAGGAATTTGGTTCAGATATTGGAAAGGAAATATTTCCTTAAGCCGAATTTTATTGGGAGAATCGTCCAATGCTCTTGATCATGCTAAAAATGATAACCTCAGCTGTGCCTATTGCTCCAAGAAGTAGGTATTTGGACACCAATACATGTATATGCTACGGGAGAAACTGAATGCAGCAAAGAACCAAAAAAATCAGAATGGTGACACAAAGATAACATGAACCTTTATTTAGCCCTTTGTGATTACAGACGCTCCTAAAACATATGCCTTCAGCCATTTCCAACTTCAGGCCTCTTTAGAGGCTTCAGCGGCCTCAGAAGCAGCCCCGCGATAACTCGTAGTGGGGAAGCGAGGCCCATCGCACTAAGGCTACAGGCACGGCTAAACTCTGGCTTAGCGCTCCATCAATCCTCCCCCACTATCGCGGCAGCTTCGTGAAGCTTGAACGACATTCAACATCCAGCCTTCAGCATCTTCCCTGCCTGCTTATGAAAATATTTACCGCTACTAGGACTCCCCTTTGATCTTTATAGAAGTCGAAACCCCCCAGAGCAGCATAACTTCCGACAAAGACCTCGACGGCGCACGACAACATCCTACTGGATATCAAGGCCCAGTTCCCTCTGAGCATGACGATCGGCAAATAGGCACCTAGCCAGACCAAGCTCACAACGGCCCGTATATATTCTGCGGCCTGCATGCCCTCATCCTGCCCAATTCCCTCCTCCTCTATCCCGCCTTCTGCTATAGCTTCACGGCATCTGTGAAGCCCACCCACCATGGACGACGCCAAACTCTTCTTCGACGACTTGGCTCCGGCCATCACAAGTTCGACTTCCAAGGCCTACGATGCCGCCGCCAAAACCTATGCCGCATCCGTGACAACAAGACTACCTGCTGGCATACGCACCACAATCCTGCGTGATCCAATCCAGTCTCTCCAGGTACTTCCGCTTTGTTCTTCTTTTTTCAGCTGCTGCCTCCCATCTTAAGCCTTGAATGCTGACGGACGGTACAGCTTGTTGACCCCGCTACCAACTCTATCGGATACCTCGCGATCATCGATGTTCTTCTCCGCGGCTCCATTCCACCATCTGTTTCCCGCCAACTTTTACTAGACAGTACTCTCCAATTTCTGTTCAAGTTTGATCCAATCCAGATTAGATATGTCGGGTCTCTATTCCGAGCCCTGCTGGAAGATCTCAGCGGCTTGTTTTCGGTACGCAGCGGCCCTACCCGTCAATGACATGTCCACCCGATAAGATGTCAGCTGCTAACGATGATGCGCCGTATGTGGTAGCCCACGGTTGCAGTAGAGCTGCTTGCAAACGCAATCCTTCGAATCGATCCGAGCGGATCCACGTTTACGTCGACGCACCTAGTCATGGCGAAACTGGCGTACGATGCAAACTGTATAGAGCCTGCTCTCAAAGTCCTTGATGCCGACATTCTTTTCTATCCACGAAACACACGCTTCGAAGACACAAAGAGATTATGCGATACAGAGCTCGAGCCCTATGCCTACATGTCCCTGGCTGGCCTTACAGATGCCATCAAGAGCACTTCGATACTCGAATATCACTTTGTTCAGGCCATGTCATATCTATCAAGAAGAGACTGGCGCAAATCACAGGCAGCATTAGAAAAAGTAATTGGACATCCGACCAAGGATAAAGGCGTTAGTAAAATTATGTCAGAGAGCTACAAAAAATGGATATTGGTAGGGCTGCTCAAAGACGGACGGCCTCCCAGCTTCCCTCACTACATTACCAGTGTGACGAAGTTTACTTTCAACGGGTTAAGCGAGCCTTACAGTAATCTGGCCTCGTTATTCACCACGGAAAATGCATCAGCTCTGAAAGAGGAAGCCGTCAAAGGACAAGCCACTTGGGAAGAGGACAAGAACCTAACTCTGCTTGAAGAAGTGATATCCTCATACCAGAAGTGGCAGATTATCAACCTTCGCCGGATATATCGCCAAGTCTCCATTGCTCAAATTCGACAGACGACCTTGAGCGCCCATACGGCCGAGACTTTACAGAGCGATGACGAGGTCCTTGCGCTGGTCAGCGACATGATTGAATCTGGCATGCTCAAGGGCCAACTCCAGGTTGGGCCTACAGCCGAGGAGAGCTACCTGACGTTTCTCGAAGAACACGACTTGATGACAGAAGCCGAATTTGCAGCCGAAGTGGCCCGTAGCCACAGCAGCATCGAGGCGCTGACAAAGCAGTATCGAGCGACAAATGAGCGGCTGAGTTCTACAAAGGACTACGCACGACACGTAGTGCGTGAACAGAAGCGAATGGAGAAGGACATGGCCGATGCGGGAGTCGGCTTCGATGCGAATATAGAAGATGAGGACCTGATGACGGGTGTGCTGGGCACTATCTAGACGAACTTGTCCCCGCCAAGGACGACGACGATGACTGCATGGGCGACGGCAGCGACGAATTTTGGGGAGAGAAACAATGAATACATTTGCCGTCGGCCTGGGCTACTTCGAAATGATGGAAAGTCAGGCTGTAGAAGATGGAGCTATAACATGAATAGAGCATTATACGACACGCCGTCTTCTCTATAGCACACGATGTTGATTTTATTGGGTGATTCAAACGTCGACAGCGTCTCGATTCGTATTCCCAGTCTGACTTTTGACTGGCTCTAGTATTTGATTACATTCGGTATGTCCATTTTGCAATTGCCTATCAATGTCGTTTTTGATGAAACTCATTCGCCCGACTAGGATCCTCCGTTAATATGCGGCATAATAATTGTATAAAATAAAAAAAATGCATCTATGAGCCCGTATAGTGAACACATTTCCCATCAAAGACAGTGCGCACTGCAAGCCTGATCGTGAGTCCCTCTTTGTATATGATTGCTGCCTTGCCGCTCCCAAGCCAAACTCTTAATGATTAGAAATAAAAGCAAAGCCGAAAAAAATCAAAACTTGTTACGCCTTTTTCCCCTTTATATCCTCTAGAATAATCTTCATGACATGCCCTTTCTCCGACGAATAAAGTTGGGCAATGTGTAAGAGTCGTGCTTCTCTTGCATGGTCGATGCAGAGGGCGATCCGATTCTGGAGCCGTTTCTCTTTTCCGGTGCGCAGCAGCATCCCATGGCGGCGTGCAGTAGGAATGCGAAATCCGTGGACAAGGCGGCAATCCACATAAAGGCAAACATCTTGGCGCCAATATCGCACTGGATGTTGAGCTGGTCCTGCGCCGTGAGGGCAATCTTGGCGGCAACACTGATGACGGTGGCGATGATTGCGGCCACTGTGAGGACGATGCCCGCTACGCCGCCGACGAGGGACGTGAAGAGGCTGAACCATCGCGTTCGGAGGACGAGAGGGGTGGCGAGCAGGAGGACGAAGTTGAGGACGATGCCGGACATGAAGAAGGCGTACATGACTTGGGATCCGATGCGGAGGAGGGTGAGGATGGTGACGACTTCGGAGGGGAGGGCGATTTTGGCGCCGGCGAGGAGTTCGCCCACGAGGACTTCGACGGGATTGAACCAGAAGAAGGATTTTGGGGGGGAGCAGAAGGTTACGCCTCTGTAGAGGTCAAGGTTAGCTTTTGAACTCGGCATTGGCTCTCTGACAGCTTCTCATGAAGTTGAGTTTCGAGGCAGGAGAAGTGACATACTCATCATTGTATCCCTCGCAGTAACTCCACACACCAACCTGATAAAAGTCATGGAGGCCGAGACTCCGCGCAACGGAGTTGAGCAGATTTGAGTTTTCGACCGAAATGGGGATGATGTGAGAGACGTCGAGCTTGAAGAAGAAGATGTCGTCGAGAACGGGGTTGATGTGAGTGTTGCCGATGAGGACGAGGATGAGGAATGGGATCGTGATGAAGTAGCTGATGCCGGCGACGGTGGCCGCAAAAGTCCGTACACTCATGATTTCTTCTTCTTCTTTTTCTTCGTGATTGTTTATAAAGACGACACTAAACGGCAAGACGGCATAGATGATTCAACAAAAAAAAGGCGAATGAAGAAGACGCGAGAAGAAGACGGGATGAAAGGGAGGGAGGGGCGTACAACACCCGTTGTTTTTGTTTTGGGCAGGGGAGGGAGATTTTGTATAACAAAACAGCAGAAAACGAATAAGAAACGAATAAGAGAAAAGATGGGGGGGGGGGGAGAAGAATAACGAGATACGAAACGAATTGAATTGAATAATAGACGAAAAAAGAAAGTAAAGAAAAAAAGCCACACACACTCGAAAAGAGGAAAAGGGAAGAGAAGATCAGATGGCTCGAGCTGAGCGAAACATTCAATGCACCTCTCACGTCAAAAAACGACATCCTTGCATGTGCCAAGGTCACCCACCTGAGTACGAGGGGCGCTATTACATGGGCTTGGTATGTACTCCGTCACACAAATTTCCTAGCACCGGTACATTTCATTCCCGCAAAACCCAACCAGGGGGGAAGATAAAGAGACGCAGAAAATCGCCGTCCGTCATCGCCCATCAGATCCGCTGGCATCAAGAAGACGGCCCCCCTTCAGGGCCTCTCAAGGGTTTCCAGGCCAGATCCACCACGAGGCGCGGTTGCTTAGCGGCTCGGCTTAGCGCTGGACCTTGACGACTGGGTGAGAAGATTTGGCAGCAGAGACGACGTGGCCAGGGATCCAGTTCGATTTGGGAGCTTGGCTTGGTTCCGCTGCGAATTGGGGCTGTCTGGAGGCCCCCTCCACTGGGGACCCCTTCTGCTGGGTTCTTGAGATGTTCTTGTTTGGCTTGACTCGTGAGCGTGAATGGATGAATCATTTGAGGGTATAAACCTGCTTGTGACGGATCTGTTGGACAAGAGATGCCGGTCCAAGGTTTATCATGCAGCATGAGGTATCGTGTCACTATTACTGCTGAGTAGCACATGCAGTAATATTGGGTAGCATTCAGGGCTCTGCTGCTGCTGCTGCTGCTGCTGAGTTACAGGTGCTAGCGCTGCTGAGCTACAGGCGTTAGCGCTGCTGGTATCCGCCCAGCTCCCGGCAGATCGGAGCGAGAGTGCCGAAAGAGGTGCCTGGCCGAACCGCGAGAACGTGGCCCGGCGACTTCGCCTCATGACCTGCGCCCGAAGCTCGGGATTCACGAATGACCTGGACTGGCAGCATCTATTGCGTGCATTCACGCTCCAAGATGCAGAAGAGACTTCAGCTAGCAGACTACAGCAGTTGACAGTCTGTCTCCCCCATGTCATGCGATCATCATCAGGCAGGCTCATGCCCACAAATCGATAGACGGCTGACCCACGCCTGTTCTCGCTTTGACTCTGGCGAGATGAACAACTGAGATTTGATACTGTCTGTTACATGTACTCTCCAACCACCTGAGAGACAGCGCGGATCGGCATTTAGCGCTCTCCACGCGCGGGGGAAAAAAAAACAAGAAGGGAGAGCCGCTGCCTGTGCGACAAACGCCGAGCTGGTTTGGTTGGCCAGTGTCTCTTGACCTGACAAATCTTGCTCTCACTGGCTGGAATTGTCTCTCTTCTGCCGTTCGCTTCGCCCTCCTTGGCATCAGGGCCTTGGACAAACCTGCTGGGGCGGAGGGGCTGAGACATGTGGACATGGATGGGTCATGGGCGGTGCCGGCGCCTTGCTGCCGGCCCCATTCCAGGTGTTACAGGAAGCGCCAGGGAACAGCGACGAAGCCCGCATTGTAATTGGCAATCAGACGGCGCTGCTGGACGAGAAGCGTTGACAGCCAGTCGCTGTGGTGGTTGGGCCTTGGGATCACGAAGCGAAGGGCAGCAGCATCGACTGATACCTGGACTATTAAGCGTGGCACGCGGCTAACGGTGCTGCCGCCGTGGCTGTTGCTGCTGCTATTATTACTTGTATGAGCTATGCGCCGCTTGGATAACATCATTTGCTCCAGGCCATCTTTCCAGGGTCTAGGTATCTATGCAGATCCTCAAACAAGCTTCAGCTGCTTCCAGCCAACTCCTACACAGGGAATCTGCCGCTACTAATCGCCATATTCCCTATTTACGCGCGCTCCCCTTTTATCTTCCCATCTTCTCATAGGACGGCAAAAACAGCTCGCTAACAAAAAAAATCAAAATCGTGGAGATCGAAACGCGCCAGCAGAGGAAACAAGAAACGAGCGGAGTGGAAACACTGGGGGAGATCATATCTTGGCTTCACGACCCAGCAGCAAAAATCTCCACCACCCTTTTCACCTTTTTTCTGGTCCCTTTCCTTCTTTCCCCTGGTTACTTTATTCCGCAGTGTCCGTCTGGCACGCTTTTTCATTCTTTTGAAAAATTCCATCAAGTACGAAATCTAAGCCTCGTCTTTATCATCCGGCTCTCATCCATACGAGTCGATTCACAGAGCGATTGGGCAATTTCCCCCTTGTTTAAGTGGAGAGTGGCAGTGACGTCTTGGCTCTCGGGCTGGTTCTCAGCTTTCCCTTACATACGTGCTCACCTCCGGCCGTTTGATGACGACGACGAAAGGGCTTTTCTGCCAAAAGTGGGTGAGCCTCTGAGCTGTCTCCCGATCGCCGCTTTACGAGCTCCAGTCCAGAAGCTGTCATCGCCCCGTGGCGGAATACACTGCTTCGGCACGGCACCCGGTCTGGCTGCCGGCGATTCCACGCTTCCCTTCCTTTGTCATCGGACATTGCTTTTCTTCTTTCTCTCCGGGTTTCTATTTACAGCTCCGGCATTTGGAATACGGTTTCTGGGGGCTGATAAACAATTGGGTACTGCTCCTCCCGACCCGGGTTATCTGAGGAGACGTCGATTTTTTTTCTCCTAGGGGGAGGCTCGAGCGCTGGGCTTAATATCAACGTTAATCTTCTACATCGACATTCACATCAGCATTAATGAGAGTCCCGTACACAGCTCTCGGCGCGCTGGCGCTGCTGGTGCAGGCCGTCACGGCGCAAAAGGTGTCGTACTCAGACACCACCGGCCTCACCTTCTACCAGGGAACCAAGACGCAGCGAGTCGGCGGCGACCCGGTCCCTACCGGCGTCTACCACTCCTACAGCCACAAGATCACCCTCACCGGCGCCCACTCGCAGTCGACGAGCTCGGGCTCCAGCTCGTCCAAGACGGTCAGCGCCAGCTTCCCGACCGGCTCGCTCACCACCGGCGCCAACGCCACGGCCACGGGCTCCGGAGTGCCGCAGCCGACTAACACGCAGGCCTGCAACAACCACGTCGAGTTCTGCACGCGCAAGTTCAGCAACATCACGCAGGTGGGCTGCCACAACTCGCCGTTTGTGCGGCCCGGCAACTCGGGCTCCAACCAGGAGCTGGACGTCAAGACGCAGCTGGACGACGGCGTGCGCTTCCTGCAGGCCCAGATGCAGTTCCCGGCCAACAGCTCCGTGCCGCACTTTTGCCACACAACCTGCGACCTGCTGGATGCCGGCCCCATCAACGAATGGCTGAGCGAGGTGTACTCGTGGGTGGACGCCCATCCCTACGACGTCGTCACGATTCTGCTGGAGAACGGCAACTACTCGGACCCGTCCATCTACGTGCCGTACATCCAGGAGACGGGCATCCTCAAGTACACCTATGTGCCCACCGTCTTCCCCATGGGCATCGACGACTGGCCCACGCTGGAGAACCTCATCCTCCACGGCAGCCGCGTCGTCATGTTCCTCGACTACAAGGCCAACCAGACGGCCTACCCATGGCTCATGGACGAGTTCTCCCAGATGTGGGAGACGCCCTTTGATCCCGTGGACCGCGCATTCCCTTGCACCGTCCAGCGCCCACCAGACCTGTCCACCTCGGCGGCCCAGGATCGCCTCTACCTGATGAACCACAACCTCAACGCCGAGTTCAACGTCTTCAGCCTGGAGTTGCTGGTGCCGGCCGTGTCGCTGCTCAACGAGACCAATGCCGCCGAGGGCTATGGCAGCGTGGGTCTGGCCGCGAACAACTGCCGTTCTGACTGGGGACGCGCGCCGAACATCCTAAACGTGGATTATTACAACTATGGCTCGCCGCCGGGATCGGTGTTTGAGGCTGCGGCGAGACTAAACAACGTTACGTATAAGAATACGTGCTGCGGACAGGTTCAGGCAAGCGACGCTGCGGCGTTGATGCGAGGAGCGAGGGGGTTGTTTATAAGCTGGGCAAGCGTTGTGACTTTGATCGCGTCGGCATGGTTGACGCTATAGAAAGGAAAGAGTCCAATCGGACTTTTTTATTTTTATTTTTGGGAAACATGGCGCAGAAAGCATTGAAATTAGGAGTTCTCGGCAATGTAAAGGGAAGAAAGATTTCACGGGACCGTGTTTATGGGTTTTTAGTCATGGGAGAGACTTTCTTAGAACGGATATTCTTTTTCCAAATTCCAGCTTAGCAAGCTCAGCAAAGCGTGCTACATTAATAGAAACGAACATGCAAATGTTACATGTTACTTTGGTCGCATTGACGTTTGTGGAGTTTAAAAGCCTGAGTAATTCATCTCTCAAACTAATAAGCCGTGCCTGTCATGCTAACGAGCAGCGAAACATCCAAGTCTTTATTTAGAGATGCTTACGAGAACAAACTTGCATGTTATATTACCGATCTGTCGGGGTTTAACTCGATGGGTTCTCAACTTGTTTTTCCCTTGTCAAGTTGCCCATCGGGCAATTCACCCATCCACTCAGTCTAATCTCTTTTTCCTGCTCTTCTCATCGCCGCACTATAATCTCACGCCAGTCAATTGTTTCCAACAAAGATCGCCGGAACCCATCAAGTCCCGCAACAAGAAAATAGATACATAGAACACAACGGGAAAGCCTCATCCCGCTGGCCCCCCCTTTTTTATTTACTCATCAAACCCCCCCAAAAAAAAATCCGCCACACTTTGAAAACGCCGTTTTATCTGGCAGGCTCAACGAAGCCGCAGCCCTTCCAACGGGTTGTTGCTTTTTTTGGACACGAATGTGTAAGTGTGGCACGAAACTTTTCCCGTTCCTACCGTTCCGTTTAGTTGGTTGTGCCGTCTCTTCTTCTAGCTACAGCTAGGCATTCAACCAATCACAGCTCAACCCAGGCCAGGGGGTTTAGCAAAATAGCAGACCGTTTAGCGAAGAAAAAAAAACTATCATCATCCACGGCGCAATAGACGCCGCTAAGAAGGAAAACCAAGCCTGGGAAGGCAGTTTTGGGGGCCGGGGATCCCCAAAAACACCACCGCACCGCACCACCAAAAAGAGACGCTACCGCATGGGTAGAGGGCGGAGGCCTGCGGAGAGCTGAGCTGAGCTGAGCTCGATTTTGCTTGGCCCAGGCAGTGTGTTGGTGGCTGACCAGCCCTACAGTACAAGTTGGCTTTCGTGTCTCCCCATGGCCCTGGCTCAGGCGTTTTGCGAAGCGAACTTGTGAGGTGACGGATCCTCCACCTTGCCGGATCTGTTCTCAACTTCTTCATCTTTTAAACCTCTTCGTCTTCTCTATTTTGTTCTTGGTTAAAGAGCGAGTTTCTCGGCCATTCGTTTGAGACGCTCGCCCTTGTAAAGTTGATGTTTTATTGTCCTACCCTCCTTCGCCTTGGTTGCTGTCGGCTATCTCGCAAACAATAGTCTCGGGTACTACACTCCACGCCATCCGCTACCATTTGCTTCTAGCACAGTCAATCATTCAGCTATCGAGCATACAGCAATCAGCATAGGCCACAGCTCTCGCCTGTAACCTTTCTCTCTTCTCCTTCTCTAATCTGCCTTCAGCCCAGCGATGACATCCCATCAACACCATGGCCTATAATCACCATCCGGGCCAAGATCCCCTCAGAGATCCCTGGGCGGGGCCACGCCCAGACCAGCATCTCACGCACACAGTCTCGGGCCTGTCTGACGCCGGCGATCGTGAACCCGAACTGGTCCCTCACCCGCTGCGAGGACGGGAGTCCATGGTGTCGATAGACTCCGAATACGACGGCCGCTCTGTGGTATCTTCGCCAAACACGCTTGGGGCACATGGGCCTCAGACGTACTCGCCAGTCTCTTCCTGGTCTGGCTCGTTTTCCTACTCGAGCGCCAGTGGGGGATATGCCCCCGTGCCTGGACAGACCGGCCAGCCTGCGAGGGCTTTATCCAGGGGGGGTCGTAGACCGAGCTATTCTGCGGTACAGCAAACAGTTCCCGAGAGCATAAGGGAAGAGGAACCGTATGATTTATCGCTGCTCACGTCGGCGGCCGCCATGGGCATGTCGGGACCAGCCTCGCGAGGAAGATATGCCGCCATCAACGAAGAAGACGATTTTGACGCCGTGCCGGCATTTGACTTTACAGCAACTCTAGGCCCGCTGGGCGCTCACGACGATGAGTTTATCAGAAAGTTACAAGAGGAGGAGTCGAGGGGGCACTTGACCGGAGGCATAGGCCAGGGATTCCGAGCCAACTCTCAGGTCCGCAGCAGAGAGCTCTTGTCGTCGCCCGTTTCTGCTCAGCCCGGCTTTGGCCGATCGTTATCACTGCGCAACGCGAGCAGAAGCCTGAACCGCACCGAGACGCTGCGTCACATGGGCCAGGACGAGGCGAACCGTCGCGGCGAGGTCATTGAAGTCATCATGGAAGAGCCGGTGGGCGCTGACCTGAGCAACATTGAAGGACCCAACATTTCTTCTGGTGCGCTGCGACAGTCGACATACTCGTCATACTCATCGGCATCTAGTATTAAAGAGAAGGAAAAGGGGAAGACGCAGACTTTCTATCCAGAGTGCAACTGGAAGCCATTCTCCATGCGATGGCCCTATCTGCTGTCGCTGGTTCTCCTCTCGGTTGCGTTGGCCGTTATGCAGGAGGTTCTGTTCCAGATGCACAAGAAGGATCCGCTCGTCAAGTTTACATCTCCGGACCAAGTCGAGCAGGGTCTCTACTTTGTCATCAAGTTCGCACCTACTCTACTTGCCGTCATATACGGCGTCTTGTGGCAGTTCACCGACTTTGAAGTCCGCCGTCTCGAGGCCTTCTACCAGCTCTCCAAAGAAGGCGGCGCCGTGGCCTCCGAGTCGCTCAACATCGACTACGTGACCAGCATCAACGTCTACCGGCCGTTCAAGGCCCTCTGGAAGGGCCACTACGCCGTGGCCGTGTCGTCCATCGCCACCCTCTTCGCCGTGTCGCTTGTGCCGACGTTTGCTGCCGCCGCGGTTGTGCTCACGCCGGACCGAGACGCGCGCATGGCCGATCCGAACGGATACAAGGATCTCAACTTCAACTCGGTGTGGTCACGCCTCCTGACGTCGACGCTGGCCGTGATTGCCGTGCTGGGCTGCATCCTGTTCTATCTCCTCCAGTCACGCAAGTCGGGCCTCATGTCCGACGTCCGGGGAATCGCTGGTCTCGCATCTATGGCGGTGGTGAGCCACATTCTCATGGACTTTAAGGACATGGACACGGCTTCCCCTCGTGACATCCACAACAAACTCAAGTATAATCGCTACACGCTGTTGAACTCATCCCTGGCACCCGACGAGTTTAATTCAGCAAAAGTACGTGTGGTGACTTCTGAGGAGAAGCACAAGTATGACGACTTTGACCTGCCCACGAACCCACATCCCATCCTGCTTCGCGCAGCGGGTCTCATCCCCATGATTATCGGAATCCTCCTCTTCACCGGCTTCATTCCCGTCTTTTTGTTCACACCCGCCGAGGTTGTGACAAACAAAGCCCCGTTTGTCGTCACCATCATGGCCGTCATTGTGAAAATGGCCTGGGGCGGCATGGAAACCGGCGTCCGCATGATGGAGCCGTACTACATCCTCTCCAAGAGACACGCGCCCGCCAAGACGCTGCTGCTGGATTACACGGCGCTGCCCTTTGGCTACATGCCGCTGCGGGCGCTCCTCAACGGCCACTTCCTCGTCTTCTTTGTTGGCTTCGGCAGCATCATGGCCGAGTTCCTGACGATCCTCGTGGCAGGTCTGGCCACCGTCGACGGACACGATTTCCTCCTCACCTGGAACTCCACCGACAAAGCCTGGGAGGTCAACTCCGGCACGGAGACGGTTAAGTCCTTTTACGTCTCCGTCGGCCTATCGCTCTTCATCCTGCTCTACATGGTCGTCGTCGCGCTCGTTGTCTTCTTCCGTCGCCGCCACGCCTTTCTACCCCGTCAACCCAACACCATCGCCTCGGTGCTGGCGTACATCCACCAAAGCAAGATGCTCTACGACTTTGTAGGCACAGAGAAGTTCACCGCGTCGCAGGTGCGGCAGAGGCTGGGCGAGTATAAAGTGTACGGCCTGGGGTGGTTTGTTGGACGGGATGGGCAGAAGCACTGCGGCGTGGATCAGGAGGAGCTGATTAGCAATTATAAGCATGGCATCAGTTTGAAGGAGGGCACGCAGCCGTGGAATATGCAGTGGGACGTCTTATAAGCGTCTTGACTCTCTGGCTTTCATTTTGCGTTTTGATTTTTTATTTGGTTAATTTTGCGTTTGATATCATTGTCGTTTTTTAGTTGCCTTATACTTGTATATAGACTTTTTGATGCATTTACGCGGGATAGCGACAGAATGTTATGCACGGCAACAACGAACTTGAACCGGTATATATTGTTTCAGACTATTCCTTGTATTTCTTGTGTGCTTCCATCGTTCATAGGTCTATTGCATCCACATGCCGGGGATGTTGCCGCTCCCCCACCCAACCATGCAGATGAGAACCTAGTCTCCGTCTGAGCAGGGCACTTATTGTTCTTTAATTAGCAACGGAAGAAGCCTCCTAATACTAAATAGCGTGTGAATATTAAGTCCGACGAATCCAGAGACGTCACTATAAGCTCGTCGGAATTAATTGCTCCCCACTATGGTATACGTTGCCGCGCCACGACAGCAGCATTAGGCTTCTCGCGAGGCAAACAACATGAATATCACATGTACGATATATTCATTGAAATGGAGAAAAATAAAAAAAGCCAAACCCGGCTTTTTCAAGTCTGATACACAGAATTTGAACGTCTGTGGCTTCCTTTTTGTTTGCCAAAGCCAACGCGCCCGACACGCAGCACCATGTCGCTATCCAGCAGCCCAGCAAACGAGCCATCTGCTCAGACGCCTGGCGGGATTTGTCTCGACTGCTCGAAATATGATTTTCGGGGAGCCCTGGCAGCCATGAACTCTAGCACGCGCCCCAACCGCAGCACATATCCTACTTATGGCATTATAATCGCAAAAGTCGGGAAACGATATAGAACGCCATTCGAAACAGACTGTTTTCTATGTCGCATTCTGTTGGCATCGCGAAAGTCAGCTCTCGAGCTATACCCGATCAATGGCAAATACGACCCAGATGAGCTACGTGCACTGTTGGCATCTCAAAGCTCAGCTCTCGATTCATACCTGGCCAATAACCAAAACCTATACAAAACAAATGAATTACAGTCACTGTTGGCATCTCAACAGTCACATCTCGATTTATTAGTGACCAAGAAACAAAACATAACAAACCCAGATGACATTAAGCAACGTATACATATACTGTTGACACATAGAGCGTTATCTATCAACAAGTACCTCCTCGAGTCTCAAGATAAAAACGACACAAAGGAGATATGTGCACTGTTGGAATCTCACAAGTCAGTTCTCGAATCATACCCGATCGACAAAACCAAAGGCGACACAGATGAGCTACGTGCATTTATCCTTCTAAAAGACACCACAATTCACGATGTCTCGGTACGGGGATCTTTTTTTGCCTGGAGAAACAATTCCCTCTATATTGATTTGGCATCATCACATTTCCCGCTCAGTTCAGAACAACGACGTGCCCATGGAGCCAAGCAGGGATTTGCAGTTATCCGCCAACCCCATGAACATCCAAAGTTTACTGCTCAAGTAGTTCCCCCTTATTTCGACCCGACTGTTGCAATGGATTGGATTTGCCACTGCAGACAACATCATCGAAAGACATGCTCTTCTCGAAAAGACGCGCCCGCCATAAATCTCAGGTTGATCGACTGCGAGACTCTCGTCGTGGAACCAGGACGCTCAGAATCCTCATACGTAGCCCTGAGCTATGTCTGGGGCTCATCCGCCGTGTGCGAACAATATTCTCTCCGGCCAGCGTCCGGCGGCACATTTGCTCTCCCTTGTGTCCTACCAGCCGTCATCTTGGATGCAATAGCCGTCACCAAATCCCTTGGCTTCCGGTATCTGTGGGTGGACAAGTTCTGCATCGATCAAGCGAATAGTAGTGCGAAACATCAGCAGATTACGCAAATGGATTCGGTCTATGAAAAAGCCGAATTGACTATCATTGCGGCCGCTGGTGTTGATGAGACCTATGGCTTGCCTGGAGCAGGCTCCAAACCACGATCTACGCAACCCTTTGCGCGCGTTGGGGGCCTAACTGTCTTATCAACCATGAGAGATGCCCAGGACTCGATCCGTTCTTCAAAGTGGTTCACAAGAGGATGGACCTTTCAGGAAGCATTGCTTACTCGACGCCGCCTCGTGTTTACAGAGGAACAAGTCTATTTTGAGTGCGGTGCAATGAGCTGCTCTGAAAGCTTTTCTGCATCAACAGAGGCATTGTACAATGAATGGGGGGCAACATCCCCACAATATCTAAGAGCTGGCATGTTTGAAAGATTTGGCTGGCAGAAATTTGTTGGCTTCCGGGGCAGGCCTGGAGATACCCTGAATATATTTATACGATATCTGACTGCCGTCGAGGATTACACAGCTAGGGAACTGAGATATGAACAGGATTCATTAAACGCATTTGCTGGGATAATTAAAAAATTCGAGAGGGCTCGCGAGCCAATCATTCAGCTATGGGGCATTCCTACTACTACCAGGCGCCGGGAACTGACAGAACGCTGCTTTGTCGAGGCTCTATGCTGGGGTCATTCTCATAGCTGCTGGGACAGTCTTCTACGGCCCATCCGCAGACCCGACTTCCCCTCGTGGTCATGGGCTGGCTGGGCTGGCAAGGTAGAATACACAAAAGTGTCTGATCCAAAGTCCATGGTATCGCAGCTTCCCATTCTACAGCTCTCTGAATGGCAACAGTCAATCCTGAAAGCAGTGGTGCACGTAGATATTTCTCTCGAATCTGAAACTGGTCAGATTGTGGAATTGAGCGATATAGCAGAGTCCATCTCGATTGATCGCTTTAGCGTAGCCTTTGCTAGAATACTCCGACTCGAGGCAAGCGTCTTTCCTCCATCCTCATTTTCATATGATGAGAAGACAGGATGGAAGCTATTGGGGCTTCCCGCCGTAATATCCCTATCTCAGGGGCCAGATAGCCAGTTTCGGCTTCTCGAGCAGTTGAATAAGCGGGATAGTAGCCTGCTGTGCATTCATGTTAGAGATACCGGCACCATCATCTTTGGCCTTATTATTGAAACGCGAGGTAGGGTTTCTTCCAGGGTCGGGCTCGTCACTGCTGATCGGCACAACTACGCTGAACCAAATTATAGCCTCCTTGAGCAGAGGACTTTTCGCATAGTATAGAGAATGCGAGTTGTACAAAGACAGGCTCTGTATATCAAGCATCTGTCAATAATTTGAAATGGATTGATGGATTTGGGGTCATGGCGGAGGAAGAAAGGGGGCGATGTGAAGCAACAGAATACAGTAGGACCCAATTTCAGGTATACATACAAGAACATGTGCAACCAAGATGGCAAAAGCATGTTCGAAGTGGGCAAATAGAACCCAGTAGAGGAAGCAAGACTAGTCTCATTATAGCTAAACATTGAGCACAAGCTGGCTGCTTTACTCATCACTGGTCTTCAAATAATTACGCTTTCATATCTTGGATCGGGTATGATTATCTTTGATTGCATAATTTTGTAATTGTTTTGGGTGGCTGGTCCATTCGTAATTTATATCAGACTTCATATAAAAGGCGATGATGTCTACGTATAACCATAAATATCCTCGATGGTCTTGCTGCGCCTCCAGCAGCGATGAGGCTCCCGGGGCTATGTTTCAAATCAAGGGGAGTGAATTTGGGTAGATCAAATCAAATTTCAAGGAACGTTTCTAATAGATCGATAGCATTCCGGTAGTCTGCATTGACATTTGTGGCAATGGAATGGGTTACTTGGAGAAGCGTATGCGTGTCTCAGACGATTGGGCGAGACATTCACTCACTCACTCACTCACTCACCCACCCACCTTTTCAGGCTTCGGTATCTCTGTTTATGTAATCAGGTGCTTTGGTACCGCAAATTTTGACTCATCATGTGCCTGAGCAGACGTCAAAATGGGTTGACAACTCTTTGGTGGGAAACATCGTTACCATCATGCATCATGTGGCCCATGTTTGCCCCTATGCGCTCGTATTCTCCAGCCATCAATCTTCATCTCATTGTGACCATCCGGATGGAGTGTCTGCTGCGCAAAAAAGAATGGTGATGGGTCTGGCGTGGAATTTCAGACAATGAGGGATGCGCAACTGAGACATGCGAGCTGATAAATTGATTATACATATCGACATACTCTTTCGCTGGGAAAGCATCCAGTCCAACTTACACGTATGCTTGTACTTTGGCTCGTATTCACTTAGGCATCGCAAGGATCTGCGCCCCCCCCCCATCACTACAGCAAGGCCATGACGTGCGTATACAGCGCCAAACCTGGATTCAAGATGGCAACCAAAATACACTCATATTAAAAAAATGCATAGAGCCATTTTATGTACAAGAAAAAAAAAATAGAGAAAAATGCTCAAAAAGGTACCCGTTGGTTCCACGCGTTGGTTGATTTTCATTTGCGTGGATTCAGACTACCGGCTAGGGCATCCCGCCGCAGTGGAGGAGGAACTTGGGATACATGCCATCGGTACCTGTGGCCGCGTTGAGCGACAGCGCCAAGCACATGTACCCCGCATGACTGGCGCGAGTAGCGGCACCATGGCGCCGGAAGTGGTAGCTCGCAGATCGGCCCCTAGTCGATACGTGCATCCTTCTGTAATGCCCACTGCAGCAGGGCACGCCCCGGGGAGCAGTCGCTGCGCCGGCTGTCCATTTGCAGCGACGCGGGCCCGGTTCCAGCACTGGGCTCCGTGCAGTACAGTCGAGAATTCCAGGAGAGTCGCTGCCCTGATCAAGGAGCTCGGCAGCTGTTCGCGGGTGGCTGGGCGCTGCTCAGCTCTTTTGCGGCCGTGGCGCCCGCCTAGCCTCGACAGCTGCTGGGGCCCGGACTGTGCAGAGTGGTATGCATGCTGGGAACCTTGCCTTGGAAGTTAGCGCCGCTGGTACCTCTGTGCCCCATTCGCCACGCCTTGTCTACCTGTCCGCGTAACTCAATGACACCACCCACCCGCTAGTCCAATGCGTCTATCCACTGTAAGCCCACTGTAATCGCCCCGAATCGTCTTCTCCAGGAATAGCAAAAGAGCCTGCACCAGTCACTTCCAGGTGGCCCATGCCCCCAGCCTGGTCTCTTTTTCCTGCATCATCAGCATCGCACCACGCCTTGGCAAGGAGATCAAGAATCGATTCCACCCGTCGCTGGGAATCCGCTTCTTGCTTTCTTCTTCTTCATCTTCTTGCCTCCTCCTCCGCTCGCTCTGCGTCCTGCGCCGCCAGAACTTCCACTCGCTTTTTCCTTCGCTTTTGGTGCCGACGCATCCGCTGCCGTCCGGCAAACCTTGCGTGTCGTCAGCGACGCTCGTTTTTTCCTCGTTTCCCACCGGAGCCAAGAAAATCTCGCTCGCTTCGCAGATCTTTGCATTTCGTCATCGGCCGTGCATCACGACCAAAATAGCGCCCTGCATCTCTGCGCGACAAAATCTCGAATCACTGGCGACTCGATTGTCTGTCTGCATCTCGACTTGCATTGCTCAGACGCTGCTTCCAGGGCGCCTAAACGGCCGGCTCAAATCAATTGTGCCGACGGGAACGACCGAGTGCAGATACGCGCTCACCGTTTTCTCACGCTGTATCCATCTGACCTCGTATTCCGCCCAATTTCCCCTCGTCATCCAGCGCCACTGGCCGGCCCGACCAGCCTTTTGACGAACAGCGACCTGGAGAAGGAAAAAGTAACATCGCCGCCGAATTTCGAACCCTTCACCTGCTGCGCGCAAAAAGAGAAACGAACAACGAAGCATACGATCAACCGCCATCCTTCACCATGCGGTCGTTTCTGAGAGCGCCGCTGGCCGTCTTGGCCATGCTCGGCATGACAGCGTCGCCAGTCGCGGCGGAAAAAATGCTCCTGTCCAACTCGCTCAACATCTGCCAGGAAAACTCCAGTTTCCAGGCCAGTCTGTTCAACGTCGTCTACACGCCTGCCAACAACTCGGCCAGTGTCACCGTAGAGGCCACTTCAACCGTGGCAGGCCAAGTCAAATTCGATATTGAGGCCTCTGCGTACGGCTACACCTTTCTCAGAACGACGCTTGACCCTTGTGAACTCAAAATCCAAGGTCTCTGCCCTATGGTTTCGGACAAGCTCTCTTTTGGCTTCAACGTGCCCGTCGGCGACGAGGCCGCTGCCAACATTCCCGGTATTGCATACCAGGTTCCCGACTTGGATGCGTCCATTAGGGTTCGCATCAACTTGACCAGCACCGGCGAGTCTATTGCCTGCGTTGAAGCCGACATTTCCAATGGGAAAACCGTCAACCTCGTTGGCGTCAAGTGGGCCACTGCTGTCATCGCCGGCTTGGCCCTCGTTTCGTCGGCCGTCATCAATGGGCTGGGACACTCCAACACTGCTGCTCACGTCGCCGCCAATTCTCTGTCGCTCTTCAGCTTCTTCCAGTCCCAAGCAATCATCGGCCTGACTGGCGTCCGTCTCCCGCCCATTGTAGCGGCTTGGACCGAAGACTTCCAGTGGTCCATGGGCATCATTCGCGTCGGCTTCATCCAGACCATTGCCACTTGGTATCAGCGCGCCACTGGCGGTACACCTTCTACCATCTTCGACTCCCTCAGTACAGTCTCCGTCGAGGTCCAAAAGCGAAGCCTTCAGGTCGCTCGTGTCGGCTTGTACCTGGCGAAGCGCACCGTGGAAAAGCTGCCCACGACTGGTCTCACTCTTTTCAAGCGCGGCAACATTACCAATGGTTCCGGAAGTTACGTCGTCTTTGGCATCCAGCGTGTTGCCTTTGAGGCTGGTATTGAATCCACCAACCTGTTCCTGACCGGTCTCATCTTCTTTTGGCTCTTTGGCCTCTTCACTGCGGGCGCTGTTGTCGCGTTCAAAGGCTTCCTCGAGCTTCTCGCCAAACGCCGACTTATCAAGGCTGACCGCTTTGAAGACTTCCGAAATGGATGGGTTACCGTGCTCAAGGGCATTCTTTTCCGTGTCTGTCTAATTGGTTTCCCTCAGATGGTCATCCTTTGCCTGTGGGAGTTCACTCAGCGCGATTCAGCCGCCGAGGTACTTCTCGCCGTCGTTTTCTTCTTCGGCTTGCTCTTTACCCTGTGCTATGGCGCCTTCAAGGTCATTCGCCTCGCCCGACGCTCAATCGCCATGCACCGCAACCCAGCATTCATCTTGTACTCGGACCCTCAGGCTCTCAACAAATGGGGCTTTCTCTACGTTCAATTCCGTGCCTCGGCATATTATTTCATCATTCCAATTCTTTTCTATACTCTCATCAAGGGAATGTTCGTCGCGCTGGCTCAGCATAGCGGCGTCACCCAAGCCATCAGTCTCATCATCATTGAAGCTGGCCTCCTTATTGCAGGCTCGGTCCTTCGTCCCTGGATGGATAAGAGCACAAACTCCATCAACATCGCCATCTCCGCTGTAAACTTCATCAACGCCATCTTCCTCTTCATCTTCACCAACGTCATCGATGTTCCTCAATTGGTGGTTGGCGTCGTCGGCGTCGTTCTCTTCGTGCTGAATGCCGTCATGGCCTTGGTCTTGCTCCTCATGGTCATCATCTCCACCATCCTCAACTTGATCCGCAAGAACCCGGATGCGCGATACCAGTTCATGTCCGACGACCGTGCATCTTTCATGAAGTCGCAGTCGCAGCTAAACGCCACCACAGAGCTCGACGCTTTGGCAGCTACGGCTCGAGGCGACAAGCTTGGCTACAAGGGTGGATTTGACAACGAGTCCGTGGAATCGTCTGACATTCGTAAGAACAATGAAGCATCTGCATCGTATAGCATCTCTGCCACAGAATCTCAGAATTCCTTCTATCCTGGGGGTCACGCTCCCAACGCTGCGATTCCCCTTTTCCCCCCTGCCCAACGCGGTGCCAGCCCGCTGCGAGAGAGCGTGGTGAACCCACAAGCTTCTGGCGCTTCTTTGGCGCAGCAGCGAACGCACACTGCCAGTCCAGCAAGCGGACACCGATCGCAACACAACGCCAGGTAAGTTACTCTTGAGAATTCCTTGGCAAATCTCAAAGCTTCAGGTTGCCTTATACTAACTCATTTTCTCCTCTCTAGCCCCTGGCAACGTGGTGCAGGCTATGACCACTAGAGCGCTTTGATGCAAAGTTACTAGATGCATAGCGTCCAAAATTCTTGTTTTTCGATGTATTTCTAATGAACGACGAAAGGGGGGGTTGACACAATGACACAAGTACGATCATCCAGCCTGCATGGAAAATCTGGCTATAGCAGACATGTTGGAGCCTCCCAACGTGTTCTAATTTATCTCGTATGGCAATCCGACACGCATAGCCAATTTACGACCCTCCAGTTGTATACGCCTTATTGCTAGGCTTTGTCTTGATGTCACGTCGGCTCAGGGCTGGAAGATATGATGGCGTTTGTAGGAAGGTGTTTGGCGTTGAGGAACCATGGGGTTCTACGTGCCTACGAGAGAGGCCTGGGTTTTTGTTTTTTCTTCTTCTTCTTTCAAGCCCCTTTGGTCCTCACTCCTTTGTATATACGCCCATCATTTTATAAGGAGCTGGTGTGAGCAGAGGCGGACACAATCATTTCATGATCAAATCAGTAGCTCAAACACAAGTAGGCCCAACAGGTCTAACAAGCATTGGGGAGGGTTTCACTCCTCGCGCCATAGGATAGTAATGACATTACATGTTGAATAAACTTGCGTAATGACTCTTTTCACGTTGGGAAACGCTAATTAGGTGGCTTGTATAGTTCCAAGTCGATCCTCTAGATGACCCTCAGAGATGAAATATGACTTTTTTATGATGCCATGGTACATGTTACTGTCATGTTTATCCCAACACTTTTTTCAATGAGATTCCACCCTTCCTTTAATTGCCTCATTAGGTAACTATTGCGACATCTGAACATGGCGGATTTGGCTAAACTTTAACCTTTATTTTTAAAAACAACTCTCTAAAAGTAAAAAGTGAAAAAAAAAAAAAGATTTTTTGATTTTGCTCAATATTATTAACCCCTTTTTTTTTGTGGGTGCCGCTAAAGGTTTAAAAGAAAACCTCAAATAATAAGTGAATAAAACAGCCGGAGAAGTCAACATGCAGATGACAACGGAGAATAAAATAGTAGCGTAGAGCGAGGAAAATGTGTTGTCTAGGACATAAACCAGCAGCACCTACTATCTAATAAAATCATCATGCTTTAGAAACCAACCTGGTCATAATGAAAACTCAAACTCCGTTTTGCAAAAGATTCTAGATGGGGTGCTCAAGCCCAACAAGAAATCATAATGAAAGGACTGACCAAGTAGAACGCATGAAACCAAGTCAAACATAACAAGTGCTAGGCAGGAACAGGGTTGCGGCCATTCTCAAAACACAAAACCCTCTTGTATCAGCTTGTCCACATCCCCTCCCGCGGCAGCCACGGCCTTCATCGCCGCCTCGCTTAGTTTCCTTCTCTTCTCCTGGGCCTCCTTCTCCCTCCGAGCTTTCGTTTTCGAGCTGCCACTTGGTGCCACGCCGGTCATGAGAACGCTACCATCGTTAGGCGTAAAGTTGACAAAGCCCAGCCCATCGCCGCCCCCGCCTCCCAAACTTATGCCGCCGCCAGTATTACCCCCCAACACGTCTCTCGATCGGCGCTTGCGGACCCCTCCCGGTGTGTTGGGCGCGGACCCGGGTCCCCGGCCGGGGGTGCTGCGGACGGAGGAGATGGACCCTGTGGAGCTGTGTCGGGACTGGTTGCGCATCTGAGAGTGCGCTTGCGTGGGGGAGGCCGAGGCCGAGGGGCCCCGAGTTCTGCGCATGGGGGACGAAGACATGTTGCGATGTCGAGTCCCAGAGGAGGGTGCTCGCGGAGGCCGACTACCGCGCTCTGCCCCTGGGATAGGAGGTGGCGGCGGTAGATATGTCTGCGCGGAGAGCGCAATGTCGTTGACAGCCCCTTGTTGAGAGGGGTGTTGCTGAGGCATGTGAATCATGAGACCAGTCGCACTTGCGTCTGGTAAGGGTCCATATTCGTAGGGCAGCTCGCCATGCTGAGAGTGCATTGCTTGGTTAACGCTGGCGTTCATGCTGAACTCCCACCAGCGCGGGTCTTGGCCTGTCACGTACTCTGGGCCGCCCCATGGCTCTGGCGCTGTGGGAGTCGTCAATGGGTGCTGCCATCCGCCTTGTTGCTGATGCTGCTGCTGCTGCTGCTGTGGCATCGGTGAGGTCCCATCGACGGTAGCTGTGGATGCCAACATGCTTGGAGTCCCCTGATACAGCTGCTGCTCGCTCTTGATGCGACGGGTAGAACCACGCACTGCCGTAGGACCCATGCCGCCATCATTAAAATATTGCATATTTGGAGAAGGATATGCCCTCGGCTGCTGCTCAGCAAAGGGGTCATCGGAGAAGCTAGTAGCATAGGCCGATGGGTTGGGTTCATATGCCAGGGGCGATGGACTCTCGTGTGAGACGCTGCCCATTCTGGCCTGAGTAAAGGAGTGCATTCGTTGCGGGCGAGGGTGGATGGCCATGGGAGGATGCTCGAGTGTAGGAGATGCTGTCCTCTGAACAGACATGAATTGCTCAACAGACAGCTGTTGCTGAACAGGCAGCTGTTGCCGCTCCTGTTGCTGTTCCTTTCTGTTCCTCCGTCCCAGAGTAGTAGTCGCCTTGCGGAGAGAGGATGATAATGCCGCAACGAACTTTGGCCTCTTGGTATTGTTGGGTGGCGTGGAGGTCGATGTAGGTGGGACAGAAGAAACATTCTTTTGCGGCGAGCGAAGGGAGATGTCTTCGAGGCGATGCAGGTCATTATCCGACATGGATTTGCGGCCCAGATATCCATGCTGATGATGAGTTCCGCCTGTAGCCGGATCGGAGGTATCGCCGAAAACAAGCTCAGCCATATCTTGGCTATCATTTCCATGGCTATCATTTCCATGGCTTGCCGCGGATGAAGCATTCCCCAGACGAGAGCTTGTGGCAAAGTAATCGAATTCATCTCCGGACGAGACGACCGAAGAGGCAGTGAGCATCGCTGCAGGGTTGATGAAGAACGCATCCGGATTGCCGTTGCTGCGGTCATTGTTGATGGGAGTTTCAGGGGCCTCATCTCCATCCAGATTCAGGAACTCTCCGAAAAAATCTGCCGCGTCAGTCTGACCGCCATCTTGGTGGCCCAGTCGGTACGTGGCGGGTTCCCTCTCGACGGCAGACTCTAATCGAAACTCAGTCCTCCCCCAGAAAGCCATCGAAAGTACAGTTTGGTGGCAAGCCCCTCTCAGATTCGGGAGTGGCTGATTCGTAATGATGGACCGACAGATGCGGCTAGTATCCAGGTTCGTTTTGATTACAGTGATGAGAGATAAGAGAGTAATGACGCGTTTTGTATGGAGCAGTCAGTATTCGCCGGATCCGACGATATAAACACATAAAGTTTGAAAAAAGAAAAAAGTTTAAAATGAGAGAGGCGAAGTAGAAAAAAGAGTGTGGAGATGCGTCTTGGAGACAAGGGAAAAGAGAAGAAAAGAAAAGAAAAGAGGAAAAGAGAGAGATGGAGAGGACATCAACCGAATGTCCAACCTCAAGACTCAAGCACGGAGCACAACTAGAATCATCAACCAAATAGCTCGTCTATATTAACGCAGCCATATTGCTCACTCACCAATTGTATACTCCGGAAAGATACCACAGCAACCAAAGCTTTCCGTTCCTTGCTGGACTTTCCGTATACGGAAAAGGAATGCGCGGGGCCGTGGCGACGCATTCCATTGCCGCTTCCCCAGCTGTATCTCGAGGCTTGGGATAGGCCCAGCCGTCAAGGGCTATCCCACTAGCTGCTGTCAAAAGTGAAGCTAAGCTGGAAAGACGATGGGGCAATGGATAATAAGACAAAGAAGGTCCTATCTCAATCTCGTTGCGATCGGGGCGTCAGAACCTCATCGCATAGGTACATGTAGCTGGTGGGCAGGCCGTGCTTTGGCGCAGGCGTGATCTGCCCACATGGCAGTAGAAAGTGAGCACTCGCTCAGATCAATTGTTGGACAGAGACTCGAACTTGCTCCCGAGAGATGAAAGGCGAGTGACAGTAAACAAGATGAAACGAAGCGCTGCTGCATGGCACTGGCCACCCTGCATATCGTGAGCCTTGATGGCAGCTAATGCGAGGCACCGAGCGGCTTCCCCATCTCTGCCCTGCTTTCAGATCAACAACTGCCGATCAGGCCCTTTGGCTCGGCGCGGTTGCAGCCAGTTCTTTGAGTCGTTCTCCGCAGGTGGCAATCTCTCAATCGTCTGACCTCGCTCAGCTCCAACAGGAGCCAGGCCTTTCGTCCATGACCGCGGTTCCGGGGGTGCAATGTCTCAGCAACGAATGTCATTGCCAAGTCAACGGCCGCTGCTCAGGGAGAAGCCATCCGGGCACCATGAGGCTGGGCGGGGCCAAGGTGGTCAGGTTGACTCTTTCTTTGTGTGGACAAAGGGCGAGCTGCGAACGGTCCCCTGGGCACGAAGGGAGGATGTCTCTGAGGAGCAAGAGGACTCGCAGTCGTGGCCATTAATCGACGCTCGGTTCCGCGGTTTTCCGAATCTAGCTTGTTCCAAGTCAGCATCCGGACACTTGTGTCGGCCCATCTTAGCCTATTCTTGATGCATGAAGACTCTGGCACAGGGGTCACTCGACCCTCGTAGCCAGGGGTGATGCATCATATAAAGAGACTTGGTGGTAGTACTGTAGGGCGAACAAGAAGAAGGATAGTAAAAGGCTAGGAAATATCCCAGTCAACGTACGACTCAGCACGTGGCGAACTGGGAAAGCAATATCCCTCCCGGAGAGGATCCGAAGCCAGAACGATGATGGCACCATGATCGAGCCCGTGCTTCTTTGAGGTTACTGTACATGGCCGGCCCGTTGACCGGTCTCGCAAGTTCCATTATCCGAGTTGGAGAGCAGGCATTTTTGGGAAATGTCGTCAAAGGAGAGGCGAGAGGCGATGACAAAGGAATGTCTGATGGTGGTCTATGGCGATGGACATGTTGGATTCGAGCACCTATCAGAAGAGCACCTGTTGATGCATGGCCAGCATCCCAATGATTGGACAATCGTAGCCATGGTGGAGTTTCATGCGGCCAAGAAAGAGCATCGGAATTTGCACATCGAGATTGAACAAAATCGAAAAGACGCCGCAGCACAAGAATTTGATGAGATCAGTGGTCACGGCCACGTACGTTTCCAGCCCAGTGGCAAAATCCACACCAAGCCCCAGCCCAGTCCGGCTTCAGCTTCAGCTTCTTCTACCCCCGGGACGACGCGCTCACCGCCTCCTCGTAGCGCCCGTTTAGCGCCCGCGCCACCCAATCAGCGCCGGTACCAGAAAACAAGCAACGACTGGAGCGCCCATATCGCTAGAAAGCCGCTGGAGACCTTGGCCAGGATCCCTCCCCCCCTATAAGCCCAAATCCACTTGAACCGGTCCCGAGTCCAAGCTGGCGGTATCGCATCGCCATCGCCGCATGAAAGATGGTCAGATTGGCGCCCAGTTTTTTTTTTTTTATTCTTTTGGGCTTACTTGGATTGGTTTCGCTGTCCATGATGATGGCTGTTTTGCTGCAGCAGGGTGGAAACGCAGTAATACCACGTGGACTGCTTGCACCGGAGCACATGTAGTGCTACGTGTTTGTGCATGTCTATATGCACATGCACTCCATACAAATACATATGTATGCTGTAGACAGCGTTGTGCAAGTGGGGGAAATGAGGAGAATGGAAATGAAGACATAATCACAGAGCTTGACGCCTCGCGTGCACAATCATGATGTGATGTCGAGGTCTCTGCTTACAGTAGACGCATACTGTACGTGCATACTGTGCACACACAAGCGAGGTCGCGCCACAGGCTGTAGAAGGGCCGTTTGCTTCTAGAAAGTATAACACGTTTGCTCCTATGGGGTATACTAAAAGGTACTACCAAAGTACTAGGCATTGCTTATTTATTTTTTTGCTTCTCGATTTTCTTGATGAATATTCTAGTGCTGTCCTGCCCGTCCGTCCCGCGGTGGAAACTCGCCGGTTCCCCCACGCATCAAAACAGCGAGTCAGGTTCCATGTCCCGAAAAAAAAACCCAAATATTGCTCCCAGCCAGTCCCAGAAACACCCCCAGCCTGCATGGCCGGGGAAAAAAACGCCGTTGTACCCATTCCTTTTTACCAAAAGATGCATCCAGATGGGTCCCTCCCCCCTCTTTCCCATGTTACGCCATCTTCCTTTCCCAAGTGTTGCTCCATCCATTCCCCTTTTTCTTCTCCCATGGCTGTGGTAACACGGGCAAGGCGATGCCACCACGTCCAGGGGAGGGAGGAAAAAAAAATAGAGTGGGTAGGAAATAAATAAAAAAGCAGGGGACAAAGAAACAAAAACAAGAGTAAAATCGGAAAACGCCGGTGTAGATAGTGTATAACACGTGTCGAACGTCGATGTCATTTTTTTTTCTTCTTTGGACTCCCGCTAGAAAATGTGCAGTAAATAAGAACAATTTGAGAAGTGAATATGTATGTAGTATGTGTAACTGGCCTGCGCCAGAAAGTCCCGTGTACAAAATGCAGATTGATGTGATGTCGAGTCCCCTCCCAAAATGAAAAACGCCGCGTAATGTCGTGTCTAAATCGTTTGTTTGTGCCAGCCGTGGCAGAGAGCAGAATATATAGTAGGTAGTTGAAGGGTGAATAAAGGATGGTGGATGTGCAGATCAGCTCAAGGTAGAGTGGGAGAGCTACTGCATAGAAGCGTGTGCTGTTGCTGCTTCCTCGACAGCAGCCATGGCATTCAGCTGGCTCGACTCGCCGGTGGGTTCTCTCGAGGTGCGGAGTCTGTGTTCCTTCTTCTTGTGCGACCTCTTGCGCATGCGAGGCACGTTGCGCACGAGTTTGGGGCAGCGCATGGCCGCCTCGGCAGAGGTGGTGAAGCTGAGCAGTCCTTGGCTCCTCAGCGTGCCGGCGAGCTTCTCGCCCAGCC